CTCCCCCTGCTCCCTGCACACATTGCATAACCAAAATAAGCCCAACCATGATGCCTGAGACAATAATGAATTTTGTCACAGCTTTTACACTGAAGAGAAGCATAATCCTCAAAGGACAGACAGAACACGGAAAGAAAGCAGGCACTTTGTGAGTGAGATTTCAACCATCCACATATTCTGTATACCAAAAAAAAAACAAACCCAAGAATGAGATTTTACAGTGGTACTGCCACAAACCAGCAAAATTCTGCTGGACATTGCTGTCTTGTTTACCTGGGGAGGCCTCCCTGCAGCATATTTTCCATCCCTTGCCATGCAATATTGATCTGCAGCAATTTAAAAAAAGACCTTTGAACCCAGAGTGCACCCACACTGATTGTGGGCTGCCACAGGGTAGGACAGCACACCAACACGTGGTGCCTGACTGTCTGCCCTGCCAAAGGGTAACCAATGTGGTGGAAAATAAATAGAGACCAGCTGAAAGGTGTGCTGTGAATTCACTCATTCCTCAAACCCATAATCCGGGGCCTGCTATGACTTTTGGGGCAATCCAGCCGCATTGAGGGTGCAAGGGAGGAGAGGAAAGCTCACTGCACTCCCCACAGAGCCTCCTTGGACCCCCAGCACAGCACAAGGTGGTGTCACGGGAGAGCTTCAACTCTTTCCTATCTCTTTTGCAACCTGAGAAGTTTCAGGCTGTTTGGGAATTTCAGCCCCCCCAGGGTATGCAGGAAATGAGCTGAAAACACCTCGAAACTCCCAAGTTGTATGAAGAAAGGAGAGGGCTGACTCGAGTGTGGCAGTTTAAAATTCCTGGAAGATGCAATGATGCTGGCAGCTTGCAAACACAGGGAAAAGACCAAGTTGACAAGGATAGTTGCTTTTAAAAGAATGAGAAGGCATATTTGACCTTGCTAGCTTCCCTGAATTTTCATGCTTGCTTTAAAGGTCGCAGTCATTGGAACCCATTCCTTTTACATACAGAAAAACTTTTCCTTTCTCCACAAGGCTGAAAACAAGAACTAGACCCACCAAGTAAGAAAACACATCAGTGTGCCTGTAGCTAGAGGAGCTGAGAGATGGCATCCCCTTTCCACATCTTGGCAAGTGGCAAGAGCTGCAGGATGCCCAGAGGTACAGAAATGCAATGTCAGTTACTGCAGAGACTGGTCTGCGGATCCAAAACTGCTGGAGGCAGCCCCTGATGAAGCTGGTGGCTTTAATGAAGGTTCAAGCAGCATCCAAAGGCTTTGCAAAGCCCCAGGCAGTGCAGACACCCTCCAGCGACACGGGGGTGCTCCTCCAGCCTGAATGCAGGCACTAACAGCAACGCAGCAACGCAGAAGGAAAACATTTCCTTTTCACCGGGCTGGGAAGCAAAGTGTGGAGTTAGAATCAGTGGTGGATGGCCCTGCTAGTTTTTGCCTGTTTAATGCATGGCCCAGGAGTTCTGCTCAGAGGATACCGAGGATGTAAATCCCACTCCATGGGTTTTTACCACCCTCATGTAGCCTGTGCACTCCTCCTCCTCCTGTTTCAGTAACAAAAGCAAGGTATTTTCTGAGTCCATCTTTAGAGTCAGCACAACGCTCCCTTCCTGCCTGTTAGTATGTTTGTATTGCCCATCCCTCAACAAAGACAAACCTCCCGAGGTAAGAGTATCTTCTGAGCTGAACAAAATTCATTTGTTCTCCTTTCCCAGCATGCTAATGCCTTGATGGTTACTTTATCCCATGAAAATTAACATTTTGAGACTCTTCCAAGTTTGCAGCCAGACGGTGGCTTGGTGCAAAACACGAAGCAAAGCTTTTGTCACCGCATAGGCTGAGCACAGGCGGATAATGGAAGTGTTAAGTCCTGCAAGTGCAGCCATATGGCAAATCTGAGCTTGTCACCACGAACTAAGAGAATCACTTCAAGGACTAAACGGGGAGCTCACCTAATTTGCCCATCTGTCCCAGGACGTTTATTGGTTTAAAAAGGTGGAATAAGCTATCAGGAGGAATGCTCTGCATTGATACATTGGCTTCCAGGCTGGTTTGGTTTCATGTTGGTATCACACAGCCACACACTGCACTGCAGAGAAGATAAAATCTTATACAGGTTGCAGGGACAGCCATGGGGAAATCAGCAACCACTGAACTGAAGCTGGCAATATATCTCAGATTCCTTTGTTCATACAGGTTATTTTTCACTCTTGAACCACAGGATCAAAAACTGCCCATGTACGAGAAAGATTCAGTGCCCAAAAATGAAAAATTGGCTTTGAACACACAGATATGCAATATACATTTTTTTCTCCTACTCAGTGCCTGGCTCTGTAGTTCACCTCCTTCCCTCATCATGGCCTGCCATGAAGACATACTGAAATTCGGTCCTTGCCCCTGTGATGATGGGTGGGCCACTGGGAGTCAGGTACAAGTACAAATAAAGGCAGCAGTTCATTGTGTGTTCAACAGAAATTATTGGAGTTGTAATATTTGTAAAAAAAAATTCTCCAAGTGGTCACAGATTTGGCACCTGAAACCTCAGAAAATTTTCACTTCAATTTTACTTGCCACATCTACTCAACTGAAAAGACAGGAGCAAAACCACCTCCTCATTTCATGGATGTGCTGTGAAAATAAGTTCTTGCAAGTAACTTTTTTTTCAGGAGAAAGAAAAGGTTTTCTCTGCATCATAGTCAAAATTTGTCACTTCTCTCCAGGAGCATTCCCAAACCCTCCAAGCCCTCTGGCACTCGTTCCCAGAGGCATCTCCTCCAGTCCTCTTTTTTTTCTCCAAGCATTGAAGCAGTGCCTAATAAAAATGACTTTGCACAGGTCTGCAGATGTGGCAGCACTTGTGCAGTGCTCCAGTCTCTTCTGCAGGGCTGCAGTGGCTGCACAGCTCCTGTACCATTCCCTCCAGCCTCCACACACTGTGAGAGGATCTCTGGACTATGCCTGCTTAATCCAGCAGGGACAACAAAATTCTGCCACCATCCTTTACACGTGTTCTTTCAATACAATTTTTTTAACAGTTTCTGAAAAGCAAACTGAGAAGGAAGGAGACAATCTATCAGCACGAGGCATCATAACCCACACCTGCAGGTCACCTCGCCTCCAACCCAAGGCTCTTTGCTCCTCTCTGCTCTCCCTCAAAGATGCTCAATTTGTGTCACATGGGTGATGGGTTGAGCTGCTGCTTCCCCACCATCACCTCAGCTTGAGAGAGGCTACTCAAAAGTACAGGAGGAATCTCGAGTGCCCCAAAGCACATCTCTGAGTGAGGTGGACATTTCAGCCAACTGATGTCTGATTTAATTCCTTCAGACATCATATCTCAGTGGCAAGCCAGCAGCACAGCAGCAAACTCAAAGCAGAAAGTTGGAAGGTTATTGCAAGGCAAAATAAACTCATAGGAGTGTACTCAGAGTCTGTTGTGAGTGTCTGGCCTGGTGGTTACTTATGACTGAGCAGCTGAGAGCCAAGCCTCAGCAAGGTGAATTAGGTGAGGGTGGAGAGGTGCTGCAAAACAATGCCATATGCTGAACCTCTCCTAGTATTAACTCAAAGGGGACCAGCAGAGCCCACAGGGCTGCCTGATAATCTTGGGCCACCAAGGGAGCTGCTTAAAATCACATTTTGCCAAGTCCTTCCAGTTCATTATGCTGGTCATGAGCACCAAGTTGGTGGAAATCACAAGTAGAAGCTGGCATATTACAGACACTTTGGAATTAAGAACACTGGAACAATGATAAAGCATCACACCAATTCTCCAGCAGCAGCAATATCCACTTAGAAACCAAATACTGGGAACCTTGTTGATGCTCTAGACAAATCCACAATAATGTACCTCAAAGCACCACTGCACACTTGCCTGAAGGTAAATATTTAAGACATATCAGGTAGACAAGCCCTTGTTACAGAGTACTGGAATACAGTTGCCAGATGTCTCTCTAAAAGCCCCATCAGTCCTTTAGCATGTTTTCCTAAAGATTACCAGAAATGTGCCATGCTTACATCACTTTTAAAACAGTGCATTTTAATCTGCATTTAAAAATTGCTACAATTCAAAACCAACACACAGCAGAACAAAAAGTGCTGCTGAGAGCCCAGAGTGGGGGATCACAGGCAGAACAAAACCTTGGGAGAGAAGTTGAGACCAATACTAATTTGGTGTTAGCCTTATTATTTCTGGATTACCAATAAACTCAGCAGGAGGTGAGACCAGCCCAGCATCCTCCTCCCAAGCTGTGGCAGAAACTCAGAGATGATAATGAAATGAGATCGTCTCAGTAAGGCTAATACTGAAATGATCATGATGTTCTTAACTCTGTCAAGTATAATAAAGATGCTTAATTTGTTAAGAAGTGGTTGTTGTCTAGACTGTGCAGGTTTTTGTTTTAATTTTACCTGACAGTATTTTCCACTCCACCATCACACAGAAAATCCTGAATTTAAAAGAAACTCATATGGTCCTTCAGTTGTTTTTAGGAGGGAGACTGAGTAAAGAAATAGCACTGGTATTAAATGAAATTTCAAACACTTTCGAATGAAGAAAAGGAACATTATAATATAAATCTAGACTGTCTACACAGACAGAATAGAATCTATTCCTAAATTCTGTGCATTCAGACACAGAGTGAAAGAGAGGCTTGTGTTAAAATAGGAGGGTCTCCTAAAAAGCCCAAATCAACTCCTACCATGCTGCCTTAGAATTAGGTTGGAATTCAACACAATGGAATGGAGATACCACTTTGACTCTTCCTTTTACAAAGCTCCCATCATTAAAATTTTATTTTATATGAATTCTTACACCCTGCCTTCTACCATTGGATAAATTAAGACATTTGGTATCATAATACAGCAATAAGTTACACAAAAAAAAAATCATTCTCTTCAGCTTGACTCACTAATAAATTCCAACTTAACTGGAAAGTCATGTTGCTCTGTTTCTGATGGCCAAGGACACAAGGCTCTGCTTCTCACATAAAACATTGAAAATCATTTTCTTACCGTGCTCCAATGACATCGAAGAGGTGCTGCCAGCGATCATTGATTTTATTGAGTTTATCATCTATTTCTGCAACTCGGCTCTTGTTGCTAGCCTTGATTAACTGATCACCCATTTGTTTCAAGTGAAGCTTATTTTCACTGAACAGGTTTATTTCTTCCATGCAGTCCTGATAAACATAAATAAACATTGCTTTAATTACAGGGTAAAACAAAACAATGATACCAAAACAAAAATACGTGGGTTTTTTTCCCAGGTGTGTGATGTGAAGTCAGGTTTGGCTGAGGTTTCTACATTAGCATGTAGAATTCTCACTGAAAACAAAAAGAAAACCTCAATGAAGAAGCCCTCTCACAATCTATGAAAAAATAAGTAGTTTATAGACTTGCAAGTACCAGGAGTAAGTATTCCTAAAAATAGCAATTGAATGTTCTAATTTTATCGGCTGTTTTCCTGATTTAACATCATTTTTCAATGAAGCTACCTCAAAAGAACCCAAATTCAAGTCTTCGATGGCTTTATTTTGCTGGCATTCTCATCCAGAGGAGATCTGGGATTAGATAGAGATATTTAGCCATAAAGAAGAACAGTAGAACAATAATGGTCTTCTTAAAAACCAAGCTAATACAAAAGTATTAGAAAGCACCAACTACCATGAGGGAAGGGGAAGAATTAGGTTTCATTTTTGGGTTGTGGTAACTTCTTGTTCGCCTGGCATAAGACCTACCCCATTCTTCAATCTTTTCTTTGCCCTCTGCCTACCAATTGTGTGGATGATGGAGACAGTGAAAGCAGTGAGCTGCTGCTCCCAGGACATCACTCTGAGCACTGCTGGGTGTGCACGTGTGCCCCAAAACTACAACAACCCAGACCCCACTACCACAGCTCACACAGCTCACACTCCATGACTAAATGCAGTCCCATGGAATTTCTGTTCAGCTTTAAGCTCCAAGTCTGAACATCCAGAAGAGCTAACGACAGAAAAGCTCATCTCATAATATCCTGTATGTATTGGTTTTACATCATGTATCACTTCCAAGAAGCAAGGAATACATGAGGAATGGTGCCTGTACAATGAGTTATCTGACTGCAATTGAAAAAAAGTGGCATTACTACTTACCTTCTGCAATTTGTCTATCATGTCTTCAATGCTAACATCTGCAGTCTGCAAAACTTTGCTTTCCATTTGTACCAGCCAGGAGCACAGCTCCTTGTTCTTCTCATTGAACACGATCCAGGCATTGAGCCGATCCTCGATCTCCTGCTTCCGCAGGGACACCTATGGAAAAGCACACACAATAAATTCTAGCAACAGTTTTTTCAGGAAGGAAACCGGCAATTATGAGCCTTCTAATTTCTAGTCTGTATCTGATCTTATTCCATTTTGCAGCAGTAGTTATCAAGTATTCTACCTTCCTTTCCAAAGCCAGCAAGCAGATTGTTATTACATCTTATTTTGGATAGCAGGGCAAAAAGTTGACTAGCAAATACCAGATTCTCTCCCTCAGAAGAATGAAACTGAGTGACAGCTTTATAAATAATGTGCTTATATAACAATTTAAATGTTACTCAGTGAAAACCTGAAAACGTCAAACACAGAAAGAATAAAAGATACATAATTACTACATAGTGTTTAGTATGGACCTATATATAACACAAGGGAAATAACACCTAGGTTTTTCTGCCACTCTTAGAGAAACTTTGCAACTACTGACTGCAATTATTTCATCTCTATAAAAGCCTCCCTCTTTTCTTTCAATTTGCCCACCAGTAACAGGAGAACTTCCAAAAAATCAGCATCAAGAATCTATCCTTTTCATTGAAAACTATGGATTTTTTTCTCCCTCAAAAATACATTTTCCAGGATGGATAAATAAATTGTCTAGACAGAGAAATTAAGGTCTGATACTTCCTACTGCACATTACGTTTTGCTTGTCTTGGCTGTAAATGGCCACTCTAAATATCTCCCCACGGCAGGAAACATTCCCTTTTCACATCTCACAGGCACTTTATACAGCATACGACTCCTCAGAATTCTCTTACTGATTCTTCTAAGCTAATCTCTAACACTATTTTGTACCCCCGACTGAAGCTGAAATGTGCAGTGTGGAAGCAAGGCCAGCTCCGTGTAACACCAGGATCAGAACAGAAGGCACCAAGCCATCTCCCACCACATTGCTTTTGTCCCTTAAATTCTGACTTGTTTTCAAGGAGAGGATGGAGGAGTGAAAGGGATTTCGGAATCCTTTATGACAATCTAAGCAATGAGATGAGGATGAAAGCACTGCCTTGGGACATAGGGAAACAGTCTCCCAAGCTCTCCATAGGAAAAAGCCTGGAGATGCCAGGGACCTCAAAGTTTCTAAGAGTGTCTCTGCTCTGGGATGCTCCCATGTACCCTCAACCTCAGAGATTTGGAGGGTGAACCCTTCATCCTTCTTTACCACTTGCAGCATCTCCCATGAGATGAGTTTACCTGGTCAGTGGAAGAACAAACTCTGCTTGTGAGCTCTAAATGCTGATGTGATTCTGACTGCATGTTTGCCTGCTAGCTGGCTAAGCAATACAGGCTGAGAGTAAAAAACAGGATCAACCCAAAATATTCTGGACAAGCTTCTAGGAACATGAGTCCTTCATTGCTTTGAGCACTTTCTCCTCTGTGCAGGTGCCCTGGTGCCACCCCCATTTTGCACCCACTGTGTGAGCATCGTGTGCATTCCAGAGGGAGGCTAGAATAACATCCCTACAGGACGCTGGCTGGGATGAATGGTTAAATCTGTGACCTACATGCACCTTGCAAGGGCAGCTCTGTAAATGCTAATCCCTTGAGTGCATCTGCTCCCTTAGCCTGCCTGCCCCTGCCCAGTTGAGCACAGGCATCTGGCTGCTCCAGGGCCGTGACAGCTGCAGCTCTTTCACCTCCCTGCAGTTATTCTGCAGACCTTCCTCCACACAATACATCTTGACTCTAATTTGTTATCCAAAACAAAGCAGTCATGCCAACAGCAAAGCTAATGAAGTCTGCTCTCCTACCCTGGTGACCAGCACTGAGCATCACTGTGGGCTCTCCTGAGGCTCATTAGGGCTGTGCAAACATTCAGAATTTCCCTTCACTACAGCACTCAACAGATTCCTCCCACTACAGATTTTGTCTGCCTAATACAGTTACATCACTGTCACCTCCTTCCTCCCGCCAAGACAGACTGAATTCAACGTTGTTCCCTCAGGAAATTAAAATGGAAATTTTGAATAAAATCTGAACTTAAATTACTACAGGAAATTACTACTTGCATAGACTGTAGTGGAGGACATGTCAAAATTTTTAATTTTCAGGGCTATTTAACACAGTGGAGACAGCAGGCTTCAGTAGCTCACAAAAAAAAAAAAGAAAACCAACAAAGTTCATTCATTTATAGGCTTAACTACAGATTTCCATTAGGAAAATGGTTCAGGCATTTTGATTTAAAAAATAATGGCTTGTATTTCTCAGGAGGAGAGCAGTTGTCTCTGAAATTACTTTCAGAGTTCAGAAAAAATAACAGAGAAAACACGGGTTATAGCACAACTGTCCAGTTTAAGGAAAAGAAAATAAATTCTTCTTTTTCATTGAATTGCAAAAAAAACCAACCCTATTTCAATTAAACCAAATAACTATTTCATCACAACACAGTTTGTGAAATAAGCACAGCTGTTCATTACTCTGGCAACATCCCCACCAAGACTGCTTTACCTTTGCCTGTGTAAGGGTTAGAAACAAAATACTAACTGGCTTCAATACTTCTTTACAAACTGTAAAATAAAAGCTATTTCCTTGTCAGTAAAGAGAAGCAAGAGTTTGGCTTACTGGTGTGTAGAGCTGAGGGGCTCTTAAGTAACTTAAGACCCCAAAGTATTTTACCTCTTCCAATCCTATTAACAGGGCAAAGTAAACACACATTCAGACTGCATAATAACCTAATGAATCAAGTCCATGTGACTTTGCTGTAAATGTTCCCCAGCAATTTTAACGCAACATTAAATTCAGTGTAATATAGCAACAAGCCACAAAGAATGCAAATGTTTCACAGCATTTTCCTGCTACAAAAAAGACAAGTCAGTTTCAGGTGTGTTCAAACCCAAGGAGTTAGTATTTAAACACATTTAAGTTTCCTTTCTGCTGGTATTTTGTTTCAACTTTCCTCTTCCTTTCCCTGCTCCATGCCCTCTGGTAATTCCTGTGCTCATCCCTCCCTCCCTTTGGCATCCCGGAACAAAGGCACCTATTGCAATGAACAGCTGCATCTGGGCTCTGTGCAGTTCCACACTCACTTCTCACAAAGGGTTTGCCACAAATCCCTCGGCAGCCTGTCCAGGACACAAAGGGCAAACTCCATCCCGGGCCAGGAGCAGCAGCGTTCCCAGAGCTGCCCAAGGGAGCCAAGCCCAGGAGCAGCTGTGGGGACACAGCCCCGTGGGGACACACAGCCCCGTGGGGGACACAGCCCTATGGGGGACACACAGCCCTATGGGGGACACACAGCCCTATGGGGGACACACAGCCCTATGGGGACACACAGCCCTATGGGGACACACAGCCCCGTGGGGACACACAGCCCTATGGGGGACACACAGCCCTATGGGGACACACAGCCCCGAGGGGACACACAGCCCCGAGGGGACACACAGCCCTATGGGACACACAGCCCCGAGGGGACACAGTCCAGTGCTGCCCTGCTCCCCCTTCCCTGCCTGGCCCCACCGACACCATCCCGCTGCAAACAGCCCCAGGAGGTGCAGACTCACCCGCAAGCAGAGCTCTTCCCACTGCCTGTGCAAATGCTCCACTTGCTCCTTGAGCACCATCATGTCCTCGGTGAGGATGAGGTGTGCCAGCTCCGCCTTCATGGCCTGCAGCTCCTTCATGTCGTGGGCCCAGTCTGCCAGCGACTGCTCCAGCTCCTGCATGGAAAAGCACCCGCACAAGCCTTGGCACTAAGCTCCTCGGCTTTCCAAACCTGCTGGCTAATCCCCTGCCTGGCCTGTGGGGGAGGAGAGCAGGGAACGTGCAGCCGCCTCTGCATGCTCTCCAGTGGGGAGAGGGATCCAGGATCCCCGGGAGATCACTGGAACCCCACTGGAACCCACGGCAGTGCCCCCAGCTGACCCCACTGGAACCATCACGGCATCCCAAAGTGCTGGAGCACAGCCCGGCCCCGGCAGCTCCCCACGCTCCAGGGCAGCATTTGGGCTCTTGCACCCAGGCCGGCACATGCCTGCTTCTTCAGGGTTTCCTTTCTTCCTATTATGATTATTTTGGACAAGTTGCTTTCCACCTGCATTTGCTCCTGTTTCAGGTTATTTTTCTAAACACAAAAATTAAATCAGTTGCCTTCTCTAATGAATGATTTCATAGGCATTTCCTCAGATTTATGAGGAATGTGGAGCTTTTAAACTGCTCATTCACAGAAAACAGGCTCTCTTTTCTGCTTTGCTCCTCTAACTCCCCTTTCCCTTTATTATTAGTTACACATTTTCCTTAACGCTGTTAAAATTTTCACCTAAAAGGCAGAGGTACCACTGTGTGCAGCTGGGGAAGGAATATGAAACTCTACACACAAGGTCCTAGGTCTCATTTTGCAAAAAAGCTGCTGGGAAGGGTCACCTAACAAAAAAGAACCTCTTAGAGAGAATCCAGTTTGTCTCATTTTAAAGGGGAAAAAAAACCTGTGAGTGTTTGTGTCAGAAGCCTGCTGGGTCTAAACCCTATGAGGATATTCACAGGTCTTGGACCCAGCTTCAATACTAGAGGAAAACACTAAACAAAATTTACCTGAGATCACAGTACTCCCATAGATGTGCACACATGCATTTATGTCTCCTAACAAGGGGCAAATCCAGAGCAATTACAGAGCTAATTATGGCATTTCATGGGACTTTGCTAGCCTCATGCAAGGTCAAGGCTGAAAGAACAATAGTTTTATTCCATACAGAAGTGAAAAGCAGGAAGAGCATACCATGCCATTTTAGTCCTTTATTGTACTATCACACCTATTAGCAGCACTTGCACTGGCACTGTCTGACCCTGATGCCTCTGCAGCTGAATTTCTCTTGCTGGGATAAGAGGCAGAAGCTGTGTGCTTCCATCTCACAGATAATTCAGGGCTACAGCAAGGCTGCTGCCGTGGGAAAGGCAGCCAGCACTCACAAAGAAGATTTCAGACAGCTGATAATGAGTTCAAAGCCTTGGCTTATTAATAAGCTTATTTGTTCCCACTACATAGGTCAACAATTCGTTTCATAAAAGGATGATGAAAGACTGACCACTCCAGACAAAATGTCTCCTATCCCTTGGAAATGCTTTTCTTGCCATTTAATTTTCATGGTGCAGTATGGGCTGCAAGGAATTTTGCCACTCCCTTACTCTTAATTTTCCTTCTCTTTAATTATTCCCAGATCCTACAGGTATGTATGGTGCTTTGCAGAATTACAAGGTCTCTTGCCTGAGGAGCTCCATGTGCAAAATGGATTGGGAAACAAAAAGGGAGATTCAGTCATGGGGATAGCAGCCAAATGAGCTGAGAGAAGGGAGCTTTTTCCCTTCTGTTTGAGAAACTACTTATTTTATAAATGCAGACTACAAAGGGAGCAGAAGCAGAAAAAAAAATCCGAACATTACTACTACTCATAATCTTCTTGGTCAGCTGCACTTTGGAGATGGGCAGCAATCAGGATGGTGTAAAGGAGAGAAATTCAGTGCCACTGAAGAGCAGGTACGAGGGAAAACTGATTTTTCAGGGATGAGGTATTGTGCAAAGACCACATAAATTCAAATGTAACATGGGTGTTCATACCTTAATAAGTTCCTTGGCTTTGTGGAGCTCTTCGTGTTCAACAGGGAGTGGATCTTTTACTTTCTCCTTTAGCTCTTGCAGTCTGCTTTCCAGTTCCTTGATTTGCTTTTCAAAGCGGTCACAAGTCTGCTCAGGGAGACCCAAGATGTATAAAAGGTGAGGATACTTTATCAAGACATTTGAACCACATGGATATGTTACAAAGTAACATCTTCAACCCACTGAAATAATCTATCCTGTGCTCTGGCTTCTTGAATTTTCTTTTTTGATACACAGTGCAATCCACAAGGATTTAGTGCTTGGATTTACAGAATTTCAAGCCTCTCCTATTTAAGGCTTGCCTTAGAGATAATTTCTACTAATTTTTTTTTTATTCAACCCAAGAGGCTTTAAGCATGGATTTTGGATTGTATCAGTGACAGTATTAAATTTTAAGACACACCTAAATGTGCTACTTAGCCATGAAAGCAAATTCATTGCTCTAAGAAAATAAATATGACCAGCCCTTCTATTCAGATGTTCAACAACATGAGGAGGAACACGTCATGTTAACTCTAGGCTGTATTTCAGCTTCACAGCCCAAAGCAGGAATGAGCTCCAGACCATGGGGAGAATGAGAACAATCAGAGCAGGAACATCCATTGTTCCAACAAATGGAATCCAATTTAATTTCATTTGGAGAATCAGGAGACCACAGTTTTAGCTTCCCTCAAGACCTGATGACACATTACAGACATTTCCCTCAGAGTGCCCCCGAGGCAAGCAGCAGCTCAGCCCTGGAGCTGGTGGGACAGGGAATCTTTTGACACCCAGTGCCAGAGCAGCAGGTGGGAAGGGCATCATCTACCTGTAGGGTGCCACTGAACTGCATCTTCTTCTTCTCCAGCAGGGCCTGGGTTTGCCCCCAGCGCTGCTGTAACTGGCTGAGCTCCTCCTGCAGAGCAGAGCTGGTCTCGGGATCGCACACAGTGCGCAACTTCTCCCCAACATCGATCACCAGGGTGTACATGGCTTGCCACCTCTGAAGGATCACTGCCTTACTCTTGAAAAGGAAAAGAAAAAATAACTTTCTGAGCTGTTCTTAGCGCTTCTCAGAAGTGCTTTCCTGGTATTTCACTAGGGAAGATGACTCACAAGGTGTAACTTTGTTCATAGTCATGAAAGAGTAGTCAATAGATCCCCTATCTGCTTCTTTAATTTCAGAAAAATTATGTTTTCTGTGATATTTTGACTTATAAAACTCTACAATAGCTTTCCTCAGACTGAATCTATAGGATGAAAGTGCTGCAGTCAAAAAAGAGATGGAAATTCAGTTGTACTAGTTACTCAGAACAAAAAATACAATATAAGTACTGCGACCACCTCTAACACCAACATCTTAGGCTCCTTTTTTCTGAGATAACAGCTCTGTTAATCATGATGTACTCCAAGTGAAGTAAGCCATCAATAGTAATTTGCCCACAACAAACTGATCTCTAACACAAGGAGATATAATCAGAATTTCTTTCTGTGGAAGAGCAGCAGGAGGAAAAGGGCAATTTGGAGTAGGAGGCGGAAGACTTTCTGGCTTTTCTCACTAAGAAAAAAGTATGAGCACTAAGTTGTAGAATCACCTTTACACAGCAGGTAGAAATAAAGATGAAATAAACAGGGCAAGCACCGAATGGAATTCTGGTAATGTGTTAATCCATCAACACTAGGTGTGTAGGCACACAATAAAAATCTTGGACTGTGCAAATAGCATTCAATACTATGATTTAAAAAGGTTTTAGATTGCCTTATGCAACCAGCAAGTTGCTTGTTTCTACCTTCCTCTAAAACAAAGAGGTGCATAGTTAAATGGAAAACCAAAATATCTGAAATTAACAAAGGAAAATATTTTTTCCACTGCATAAAAAATGCAGAATTCACTGCTGAAGAACTTCTCACCAGGTTTGTGTATCTTGGAATGAACAGACTCCCTTACAAGTGCCTTTTCTTTTGCCCATTCCTGCACACAGGACCTATATGGCTTGTCTTGCCACATAAGTACCTTCCTCTAGGCAAAATAAAAGGCCTGAATTCAGAAGTAATGTCAGTAAGATACACACAGACCTAGAGGTTACCTGCTGACTAGCACGTCTGTCTCATCTTCTGGCACCCTGAATTTCCATTTTCACATCTATAAGATTTTTAAAGCATGCAAGGCTACTAAATGGTCATGCTGATCAAGAAGTTTCATGAACCTTTTGCAATGTCACTGCTTTCTTATCTGTGCTCAGGAAAACGTATCACCAATCATTTCTCCCCCAATAAAGTGTGTAATTTTAAAGCATTTTATCCTACTGGACAGAAGTTGTTTCAGTCTGAGGGGAAATGCCCACATATTTTAGATTTATGAGAAATAAACACAGTACCTTGAAATCATGAATTACATTTCTAAGCTGGTAAAGGCTGTAACAGTCCTGGCTCTTCACAGCTGCAAGGAAGCTGTTTGTGTCATCAAGGAATCTGTTGAGGCTCTGCAGGGAACTCCTGAAGAGCTGCCACTGGCTCACGAGTCCATCAATATCTTTCTTCCTCTGCTGAACCATTCGGATAACATTCTGCCACTGCTCCTTCAGCAATGTGAGCTTGGAAATGAACTCTGTCCTGAAAATTACAAGGGCTGAGTGTTAATTTATTTTGATCTCAAGGCTGCATATTATAGTAATTGTGATGGATCTCCATTGGCAAGGTTGTTCTCCAATTATAATACACAACTATGCAAGAAAGCTCTTTGCAGCCCTAAGCTCAGCCCTGCTCTCTATATTCCAGCAATCCAAACAACACTTACATGATAGAAAAAAGGGTAAGGCAAGTCAATCTTGCAACTATGGTATAGCAAAATACACAGTACAGCAATCAGACACAATATGCACTAGACACTTCTCTGAAGAACAAAAAGGTCAATCCAAGTGACACAAGGTCGCTGATTACGCTACAAAATTGATCTGCACTATGGAAAATTGTGTAGTTATTGAACCCATGCAAGCAGTTATTTTGTCCTCTTCTTCAACATGGTCAGATGATCCAGCAGATTTGGCTGGTTGATTAAGGCAGCCCCATCTATCAATTCTGCTTCTCTGCAGGAGGCCATCATTCCTGAATCGCTCTGATACAAACCCCTGCCTTTGTGCAGGTAGTTCCAAACACAAAAGCCCAGCAGGTCACCTTAGTTTAACCCTACCTTCCCTGGCAGTTTCAAGCCAAGCTATGGATTTCATACAGCAGGGGAGCACACACATTGTTCTGCCAAGTATCTGGAAGCAGCAAGAAGTGGCAGGGGGGGATATGTGCTCACCCCAAACACCTGAGGCAGCTGAACCTCTGCTCACAAACATCACCTGCTGTTTCTCACCCTACATGGATTCAGAGAAAGATGTAAGATCATACTGATAAAAAACAAGTTTGTGGTTTCATGGCCAGTGACTCAATGCCCTGCCATGTGTGCCAGGAGCAATGTGGATAGTCCCCACCTCTGCACTCTGAGAAGCAGAGAGGTCCAGGAAGAGGGAGAGAATCCTTCATATGCAGCATCCTCATTATGCTCTGTGGGCAGGCAGCTTCTCAACCACAGGTACATAACAAAAGACTCCTGTTCAGGAGCAATTATTTTTGTTTTCAGCCCAGCCTGTTATTATCCCAAATGCAGTGTGGCCAGGGAACCTGTGTTTTTTTCTCACTGCACCTCCTCAAGTTTTTGTCATCATTCAAAGAGTGAACCTAGGTAAGAATTTGTGTTTATGTCCTCATAGGAGCAAAGATTCAACACCAATTCCAAGGAAGACAGCATATCCACTAAATGACCAAGATCTTAAGGAGAAAAACAAATAAAGTACCTTTTCTCTGCTTCTCCAGATTCCAAGGAGAATAGAACTTTTTCTATGATAGAATTAAATGTCTGCTGATTTATGGAAATCTCAGTCTGCAGCATCTGAAAGATGAGAACAAGTTTTAACTATTCAGTGAACAACCTTTGCCATGAAAGCTGCTTCTGCTCCTCTAGAGTGACAGCATTTATTTAATTGTAAATGCTAAAAACTCTATTATTTTCAATTGCTAGTGTCAAAAGCACCCTAAGAGTCCACAGTTTTTGGATACCAGGAGGAATTTGCAGATATGTGATAGCAGACCCCACTATGAGCTGGATAATACAGATCTGAAACCTAAAGTTTTTTGACTGTTTCTCTGTAACAAATAGCAACTGCTCAGGAAAACGCCAGTGAAAACAGATTTCCACCAAAATCTAGTAACAGGTCAAACCAAAAATATGCTGTAAGAATACAATTTTAAATACATTTCTTCCAGAAACTGCTAAGATTGCTGCCAGGTCTCCAGCAAACTACCCAGTTAGTTGCCACAGGCTCCAGAGTTTTGGGACAGGCAGACAAGTACACCTCAGGGCTGGAGAAATTTAGGACTTCTATGACACAGCACTTGAAGATGCACTCCTAAAGGTCTGATCCTTCCAAAAAGCGATCTGTCCCTTTGGAAAAGGATTTTCATGTTTCAGAGTTTTTACCTTAATAGGCATCATTTCAAGAGTGAAATGCTCTGTAGAATCCTGCCCAGATCTAATTTCAAAAGGCACAGCACTTTCTAGTGATTTCCCCCTGTCTTCATCATTCAAGATGCTGCTTTCATTTTTAGAGTTAGCTTTACCTCATATACTCTCTGCTGCTCTTGCAGTTCTTCAAACCGTCCTGGAATATCTGTTTTTAAGGCTTCTTTCATTTTTTCTAGGAATTTCATCCACTTTTCACATTTCTGAAAGAATTTCTTCTCATCATTTTGGGTTCCCTCAAGCATACTGTAAAACGAAATGAATAACCAGAAACTTCTGTTGGTGGATGTTTTTCTGGGTATGTTTAGAGGTGCCCTAATGTGGTGATTAATAAAATTAACATAGTGGGGGTTTCATTTGGCATTTTGCTCCCTTCTCCCCCAATGAACATCCAGGTTTTTGTTTCAAGAGACTTAGGATACAAATAGCCATGGAAAAATCAAGTAAACTGAAAGGGCAGAATTCCACCTGGCAAGCCCCTGAGAAAGCTGAGAAGAGATTGCAGGACATTCCATACTTTAACTTGGATTTCATTTTAATCACAGAAAAGGGATTGTTACTAGTGATTTTTTTTGTTTGCATTTCAGACCTGCAACATTCCAGAGCAGCTGCTGTTTTCTGACTCCACTGCCGAGTCAGGCTCTGCATTTTCTTCAGAGTGAAGTCACTGAGTGGCAGCTTTATGCTTGCTTCATTCAAACTCTCTATGCTTGGAGAAAGTGCAGCAAGCTCCAGTGTCTGATTCTGGAAGTAAGGAAAAAATAAATTATTGCAAAAAAGTTCTGCCTTTCTTTCATGTCAAAGCAGTAAAGAAGCTTCTTCTCCACAACTTAAAAACATCCAACATTTCTGTGTTAACTTCAAAAATATAGAGAAAAAAAAAAAGTAGTAACTCTTTTACATAGGGCTCACTTTTCCAGCAGTACTGAACAGATACTCAAGACTTGGTACCTCCACATTTACTTCATACTCTACACTGAGGGAAGCAGGGTAGTTCCAGACAAATCTGGGGAAAAAGATCTCCCATCAACCCCAAATGTGGGTGATTTTCCTCCCTTCCATGCAGGTATTTGGCCTGAAATGCAGATCTAGAGTTTCTAAACTTCAATCATTGCTTTTTGTGTTCTGGTTGAATTATAGTTACTCTGAAGGAAATGCTGCAACGGTGACATTTAGGACACAAAGAGCATCTTGCTGTGGGCAAGGGCTGAGTAGTATCTTTTTGTCTTTGGGAATACAAACATACCATGAGCAATTCTGAGTTGTCTTCTTCCTCTAAACAGAGGCTATCAAAGGTGTCTGTGCAATTCTTGACACGACCCTCCAGCGTTTCCAGGCAGTTGTTGAAATCTTCCAGTTGTAAAAGATTGAACTGGGGTGAATATTGAAAATTGACATTAGTTACTATTTATTATACTTATTCAGTGTACAAAAAGGAGCAATAAGCAATATTATCAGGAAAACAAACAGTTATTAAACCTAAATTCTGATGTATTTATAACTCTTTATTGATTTTTTTTTTCCATTTTTCAACTGGACAAGGGGAACATTTAACCCAAACCAGAGAGAAAGTAAAAGAATCTCAAAATTCTGAGACAGCTGTAACTATGTGAAAGGAATAAAGGTTTCTGTGATACTTTTCATAGCTTGGTGCTATTTAACTCACTGTGAAATTGGAAAGTGAAAACTCAGCTTATCAGAAGGGGGAAACTTGTGAAAATGAGCTTCCTTTAAGGTACACACAAAGCTTGCTCCCATGTTCCTGCACAACCAAAGCTGTGCAGCTTACACGAGCTCTGTGGAGAAATCAGCAGGGTTGAAATTCAACTTTCCTTTAGCAGAACATCACTGGGAAAGCTTTTACTTTCTTTCCAGAATTAAACTTCACATCCCTGAGAGCATAAGGGATGAATGGCAAATACTGGTGTGTGGAGAGAGATTGCTGTGGTAATACTACAGGGTCACATCAGAGAAAATGACTACTCAGAAATGCATTTTTTTGTGCAGCAAGAATTTCACAGGGAATATGAGAAACCTGTTATCTTCACAGTGATTTCTGGCTTCCAGCCATGAACTGTGCTGGTAGATGGATCATAAACAGAGCTGCCTTCAAATGTTTTGATGAAATTTGGGTTTACTTTAAAACAGAACAATTAATTGAAACCAGACTTTTTCCATAAGAACAGACTAATTCTGCATCAGTAAATGTCCAGCAGTACATTTGATTGGAAGCTTTCTCAGGAATACCTGAGCAGAGGAGAATTCAATCCTCCACTACTCTGAGCAGAGCTCCTGGATCCAGGTCTCTCCCCACCTGGCCTGAACAGGAATGTGAATCTGGTTCTCAGAATTACATCATCAGTTTTCTCTTTGGTTTTAGGTTCACTACCTGAACTCTTCCCAAGGAAAACCGAAGCCCACAGATTTTTTTCCAAGGCAGAGCTGAGAAACTTTATCACTTACTTCAATGTTAAAAAAAAAAGGCATTTCCTAATATTTAATCATCTGAGGATCCTGGGGAAAATAGGCCTACTGACAAAGGCTGTTAGAGTCAAACACAAGTAGGTAAGGGTGAAATCCTTCACCTGTCCCTCTGGCTTCATGCATTATTTCTTTATATAGTTTATCATCCTGATGAGTTTTACTAAATTGAAATTTCAATTCAAGAACTATAGTGCTCTAATGAGGAATGTGGCTAAAATAGGACTCTAGTGAGGAAGTTACCCCACACTGACAGCTAATTTAATATTTAAAAAAAAAAATACCTGAAGTTCATCCAACTTCCTCTGCAACATCTTTTCCAAATAGGTTGCTCTCTGAAAAGGCTGCAGCTTCTCCATCAGAATGGCTTCAGCAGCTGTCCCAGCCTGCTGTTTTATCCTGTCAGCCTGCAAATAAATCTGAGTTCGGCATCCTGCAATGTTCTGAAGGCCGTGCTGTAAATTCTGATGAGAGAAGGGGAAAGGGAAAAAAAAATCAGTAAATGAATCAGATCATCATTCATGTGCCACTTCCATTTGGTATCTTTTGTTGCTGTAACTAAACTCCTTTTGTTGATCCCATCTGGGAGCCAAACTCAGCTATGGTGAAAGCTTCAGTCTTTTACATGAAGGATAATGGGAATTGCATCCATTGAGTGCAGAGCTGGGAAAGGCACAGGTCAAAGTTCAATGGAACACCAGTGACTTCAAGCAGCAGGATACTGCTGCTCCAGAGGAAATCAGGGAGGAAAATCAGAATATCCCTCTCTACAACATGGGTACACTAGAAGATGGAAGAACTGGCCCATGCTGCAGGTGAGGAATGCTTTTTAGTTACAACCATACCAGTACTCTGGATCCCTCAGTGACTGAGGACTATGGGTTTGGTTTTATTTGTTCCCCTTTACTAAGAAAGATGCTTTAAAAATTATACTCTAAAGGCAGTACAAGAAAAAAGGGAGTGATTTTAGACTAATTCAATGCACTTGATTTGTTTCTTTTTTTTGACAAGTGAAATCTGCTCTTCGTCATGAAACGCCCTGAAATTTGCCACTATGTACTGTCTGTTCTGAGAATTATGAGCAAAGTTTTCTCATCAATAGCAAAGAATACACACATTTCCCCAGAAAGCAAAGTGGTCCTTGCCTCCTGACCCCTTTGTTCAAAAGGATCATATCCTCTATACAGGAATTTATTTTTATTTTTTGTGGTGACAAAAATCCATAAAACTATAATCTCCCCTAATCTATAGAGAGGAAAAGATTAGAAGGATTAAAATACAACTTTGTTATACACGTGTATATTCAAATACACAACTCATATGCCATTTCACTGATCCCTATTCTTTTAACTCACCACTTTAAAAACAGTCAATAAATTCCATGTGTTCTAGCCACACACCAGGATAGGATCTGCAGTGCAAAAGGCATTCAGGTGGTCATGCCTTGCTTAGTAGATGTAACACTCTTCCCAAAAATTTCCAGAAAATGCAATTCCTTTTTGCTGACATATTGGTGAATTTCTGTCACAGCCATTAGTAGATCAGAAAAGACTAAAAACATTCTGGTCTAGGCTTTGCTGCTGTCAGTTTTTCCTGACAAGAAAGACATACATGACTTCTCTTCCCTGTAATGTAAAGTTTCTTATTTAAGGTTACATGCAAAATGGAAGACTCTGGACTTCTTCCAATTCGTGACTAGAGATTCATAAAACATGATGAATCACTGCTCTGTCCTGACACAAGGATTATTGTATTTCTTTATTGCAGTCTGAAGAAACCAAAAATGTCAGAACCCAATGACAGCTTTGCTGTCTGAGAGATTCCAATGTACCATGTGGATTCAGCATGAGATCTCATTTGCCTAAAGACAAAAGCATTTAGAACAATCTAATAAGCTCAGAAGTCTGTGAACTCATCACACCAGACCAAAACACAGTACCAAATCCAATTAAAAACAATTTGAAGGCTGTGGAATAGTTCAGGATGATCCTGTGCTTGGGTACAATGCTCTTTTTTCTCTCTGCTATTGTTCTAGTAAATATTATCCCTCCTCCCAAGCAATGCCCCATAAGGTAAATAATTTTTCTTTCAGTGATTCCTTTCAACACAGGTGTGATTTTTGTGTAGAGCAGAAAGGGGCAGAGATGGAATATGACTCCCTTCTGTTCTCTCCTCACCATACACTAACTCTGGTTTGGTCTCTGGTCAAAGTGCTTAAAGGAAATACACAAGTGCCTGTTCAGGGAAGAAACCCAATATTTTATCTTTTCCACTGACTGGACTGTTGGTATTCTTTTGCCTTGTTTCTCAAAAATAAATCTTGGTTTGTACCAGGCAGCAGAAACTCATCCACGTACCTTTATCTCCTGTATCCTCTGCTCCAGGGTTTCTATCGTGTTCTCCTCAGGCATGTGAGCATCCAGGAGCTGAGCACACTGCTGGCTGTACTGCTGTAACTTGGCTGCTGTCTCAGAGCACAAAGCATCAAAGGGCTCCCAGAGCTGCAGAGCTGCCTGTGCTGCCCGCAGCTGATCTGTGATGTCTTCATTTACTGAGTTCCACCTGCCAAAATATCAAAAGATTGAGAGTGTTTTCCTAGTAGGTTCTCCTGTAGGATATGATTTGGCACAGGATTCCTGTGGGAGTTGCTTTGCATCCGCACTCATGTTCCTGAAAGCCACAGTTGGTGCTGTGGGAGCCATCACAAGAAAAGCATGCAGGTAAAATGTACAAGTTCCCCATCCCAGGAAGTATTCAAGGATGGATGGGGCTTAGAGAAACCTGCTCTGGTGGAAGGTGTCCCTTTTGATGGCAGGGGGTTTGAAGCTGGGTGATCTTTAAAGTCCCTTCCAACCCAAATCATTCCATGATTTTATGATTCTGCTGCTCACAGAGATGCCCTTAGATGGGTGAGATGCATTAGTATAGATTTTCAAATCTGACAGATGTTAGAGTCCTGCCTCAACAACCTGGGTTTTTTAAATATTAATAACTGGGGTCTGATTTTGCAGGTTTACCTAGTGTGTGCCTCTGTGCACTTCTGGTCAATAATCTCTGCAAAAGAGGGGGAGCAGCTCTTCTTCAGGTTACTGGCAGCAGCCTGGAGCTTGGCCCAGCTTTCTTCATTGTTCTCTGATTCATCTTGAAGAGCCTGCAGAATGGATTATTGCAATTAATTGTGGGGGATAAACAACCTAAGTGTAACTTCCCCTATACATTGGCAGGGATAGGGCAGCAGTAATGCCACACTTTTGCAGCACAGATTAAAATGTTTGCAGAAAATGTAACACCTGTTCCTAAAAATTAGGAAGTTAAGAGAGGTGAAATGGTCCAAGTTAAAAAAAAAAAATCATTCAGGAAACCTATTCTAAACTGAGATAATTTATTGGCTGTTAAAGTAAAAGCTCATTTAGCAAACCCACACCTCTGAACTGAAAAATGAATTTGCTAGAAATAAAAAATGCTTTTATTTTTAGCCACTGTTTCTATTGGCAGTAAAGTTGGCTTGACACCTCCCATCCTCAGCTGCAAGTTCCCCCTCCTGATACAGGCAATTACAACATATCTGTGAACTGCTCCACGTTAAAAGTAAACCTGGAGACTAGTGATTGAAGGAAGGAGGTGAGAAGGTGCCCAGTTCCTTTTATTTATAACATGAGACAAGGTGAGGGTGGTTGTGCAGAGTTTACTGCCAAGAGTCCCATACCCAGCATTCACAGCCTCAGTCTGTCCTGCAGCACTTCTGATTCAACTTTAAAAAACCCCAAAGCAGCCCTTATTTACAGGAACACAGGGAGTGCTTGCACAGCCTTTCAACACTCATTTAAAATCAGGAAAGTGGATTTTAGCCAGAGCTGTGAAATGCCCAGACCCAGGGCCAGCCTAACTGCCAGCTCCAGATGCTCCACTTGGAGTCTCTAACAGCCAAGCAGAGCAGCAGGAGGACCCAGAGCATTTATGTCTGGCATTTTGACTCATTCAGAAGCTGTGCAGGAGACTCCAGCTCTCTGGAAGTTGACAGAATAGTTGGGCTGGTGCTGGACCAAGCAGAAATGTCAGGCTCAGCATCAATACAAGGTGCAAGGGGCATGAGGACTCTGTGGGGTTTTTTAATGAACCTTGGTACCTAAATTGCACTCAAGTTGAACTTATGCACTACATAAAATAAGAAGTTGAAATGCCTCTGGAGATAAAAAAAATAGTAATATTGCGCTAACTTCAGTGTCATTATAATAAGGAAAAATTTGCTCAGAATAATTTGTTCAGTCTTTTTTTTTCAGTGGAGTTTGTTTGCCTAAAGGCACAGGAGAAAGTACAGAAATAAGACTTTACCTGGAGAGTTTTGACCTGTTTTTTCAAAGCTTCCAATGAAGCTTCTTCCTCAGATGGTTTGCACTGATCTATGCAGTACAAATATCTTGTTGTCATCAAGCTGACTTCTGCATAAATTTCATCATATGCTCTCCACTGCTCCAGTATTGATTCCATTGAGGCCTTCAGCTGTGCAACCTGCAGATAAACTATTTTTGTTAATATTTCTTGGATAGTCCTGACATATAAATCACCTTTAAATTGACTTAGAAATCTAAACTCAATGTTCAATCCATGACAATCCACAAGAATTTGCCAAATTGGAGTATTTTACTACTTGGTAAGGAATTGTGCAGGCTTCAAAAAAAGCAGTAAATCATATCTAGAGTGAAGTGTAAGAATTTGCTGGAGATTAAAATTTCACTGGAGTTCAAGGCAACACTATTCTGCTAGAACACCCCAGGAAGAACTGAAATAATGAACTGCTTATTCCTTCCTGCCAAAATCAACCTGAAGTGGGAGGAAGCTGAAAGGCTTAATCTTCTTAGGAAACAGATAGTTTGATCCAGAGATCAAGTTTCCTTTCAAGGACAATTTGAACAGAAATTGGTTTGCATGGAAGAAGCCACTACTGCAATACTTGAGAGTTGTCATCCCTCTTATACCATTGTGTTCTAATAATTCAGGCTCACCTGGATCCCAGGCTAGCAAGTTCAGGATTTTCATACAAAATTAAATGATGGATAGCCCCTTTATTTTCTGTCTCTTTCAGTATTACAGCTGTCTACTCTATAAGGGGTAGGCATGGCTTCCATTTGCCACAGGCTCCAAGATACTGCAAACAAAACCACAGTCCTCCTTCAGCCATTTTTATCCTTCTGTTTCAGGGAAGTACATAAGGCATGTCCTGGGTTAGGCAAAACATTCACCTAGTTCAATACCAACTCTCAGTCATGCTTGGAGAAAAGCATGAAAACCAGGCAGACAAAAAACCATGTGTCCACAAGACCTGACAAAAGCCAGATACCAGATTTCAGTTCTGACCATGCAGCCTCTCAATGGAAGATGAAAAAAAGGTCCACACCACAGTTCACCCTAAATAGACTGCACAGATCATTTTATCCTAGTGTTCTAGTTTCAGGCACACACAGGCTGGTGGATTAATCATCCCTATTCTCTTTTGAATCATGGTACAGGTGGGAGGAATCTCTAATTGCTTTTTGTAGCCTGTAGCTAATTACTGCCCACACAAGGAAGATGGAAAGACATCGTTCTCGGGAAATGTCTCTGGGCCACAGACTCACAGGCTCAACCTACAGACAATTTAATCAAGGTATTACATCTCCTTAGCCCTGTATTAGAAATCTCTGCCTGGCTCTGATGTGAGCAGTCACCCGTGGGAAGGAACCTGCACTTGCTGTTTCACTGCACACACAGACAGCTCAGCCCCAAGAACATCCTGCAGTTTGCAAGTTTGGTAGTTTAGTCATAAAATTCCTAAAATTGACATGACCCATGGTGACTGTAAGAAGAAAAAAAGCACCAGGCTGTGAATCCTGCCGATTTCTATCCCCAGCTATACATTAGAAGGAAAAACTTCCCTCATGTACATAGACATGGAATTCCCTGCTTTCACGATAAGAAACAATCACATGTTTTCTGCTGAAACCTAAAGCAAGAAGCAGCAGATCAATGCTGGATCGACATCTCCTGTGGAAGAGCAAAAACGGTTCAGGTTTCACAAAGTTCAGAGGAAAAAAGGCAAGGAATCTGTAATAAAGAGTGTAAAGCAATCTTAACTGAAACACAACCACTCCATCATGTATAATTCTCTATAGCACGTGGTTATTTATTATCACAAATTCAAATCTATGAATGTATTCATTACTATCTCTCCTGCACCTATCAATTACACCCACATAAAAAAAAATCAGCTCCAATTACAAAGATATTATGACTGTAACTGCTGGGGAGACAGTTTGCATGGGAAACCAATCTGCCAGACTCTCCTTGAAGCAAGTGGAAACTACACAGGATTTGAAGATGGCAAAAGCCACCCTGATGTGTGGATGGAAGAGTAACTGGGAGGTGGAAAAGCTGCAATGAGAACAGGGCCAGAGTTGCACTACAGGGGAGAAAGAGCAGAGTATGAAAGAGAAGGAGATCAAGTAAGAGACTTTAAGGTTTTCATTTTCAGCTTGACAGAAAAAAAAGCAGTAGCCTTTCTTAATTTTCTTAAACTGCACTGTTCCTCCTCCCTTTGTACTCAAACACCTCAAGATCAGACTAATTTTTCTCTCTCAACTCGGAAATACATTAATTTACTTTACAGTAAACACTGAAAACTAAATTCTTAGGAAGGTAAAGAGTAAGGAATACTTTGCATCTCTTTTTGTACCAGCTCCTGCCATCCCATGAAGAGGATTAATAACACTGGTGGTCAGAACATGCAGTGGAAAAAGCCTGAACACAAGCAAGGCTTTTTTACCTGGTTTACAATGCTGTCCTTCATTTCACACAGCTCAGTTATCCTGAGAGTCTGAGCTTCTGAGGTTTGTTCTGCACTACCATTCGAAGCCAAACTCTGTCGGAGCTCATCAAGAGTTTCGGATTTAGCTGTGAGTTGATTTTCTAGCTCCTAAATAACGGGAAAAAAAAAAAAAAGATCTTTTAATGAGCATAGAAAAAAACTTCTGTGTGAGGGGCTTAGATAAACATTCCTTCTTTAAAACCAATTTTGTCCAATTCTCCAGTCATGCAAAAGTAAGACAGGAACTGGTTTTGCAGTGGGCAAGTTCCTGACATCCTAACTTCTAGAAAGTGATTTTCAGTTTGTCCCTTTACTCAGAGGGACTCCCATGGTAAAAATTCCAGTGAGATCAATTCCAGTGAAATCAAGTGAGAACAATCTCCAATGAATGGAGATACCTGGGAGAATAACTCCTTCCCCAGCACAATCAGCAAAATAAGTCTTGACGTGTTGGGGAAAGCTCAGCAGGGAGTTCTTTACTATGTGAGGAACTATCCATGCCCACAATGGGCCATAACATTTCCCTATAATGCTACACTTAAAGCCATGACCTTTTTTCACCTCTCACTGAGCGTTCCCAAAACATTTTTAAAGTTGGACCTCATATTTATTGACCAAATGAATTTCAATGAAACATTTTAGCCACCTGTATCCTAGCACTGTGTGATGCTCTGAGCAGGTGAGTGTTTAATCCAAGCTACCCTTGAGCCTTTCTTCCATTCTGGCCCCTCCACCCGTTTCAGAGATGCAAGTAACTCAGTGTGTAACAGAGCACTCCAGACAATAAAAGCAGTCTACTACAAGAGAGATGTAACCATGGCAATGAAAGAACAAATATTCCATGTTAAAAACCTGAAAGGGAACATTGTACTGAATGAAAACAGAAGACTGTCAGAGTAATAGGAACCAATTATTAGCTGGCTGCCACCTGGATTAATTTTGAGGGATCTGATGCCTAGAAAAACATAACAAATGACACCCAGATCCTTGAGGCTGTGGCAGAGAGGCTACACTACAATCTCGGGCAGAAGGAGAGAGGGTTGCTATTTCTCCAAATGGAACTGAGTAGTTTCCATGACACTTCCATCACAGAGTTCTTCAAACTAATGGAATTGATAACTTCTGCAATGGCTGTGCTGAACTGAGAACTACTTCTATTGGAAGCATCTCAGAATACAATAATGCTGCACAACACTCCAAATATCATGAAGCAACAGCAGATGCATCTTCAATTGGTGGAAAAAAACACAGAATAGCCACTCACATTAAAAGTGGCTCTGGCTCTTTATCACCTGAATGCAACATGCTTTAATTAAAATTATACTGGAGAATCCTTCTGGGAAATGGCAATTTCCTTCACATTTCTTTCTGGGAAAATCTGTGCAGTTCCTTAGTCTGGATTCAGCAGTGCTAAGTAAGGCTTTAACACTAACATCACTCATGTCATGCTTTACCTTGCAATCATCTAAGGTGTTCTGTGCAGAGATCAGACTTGCTGGGGTCCGTAAGGATCTCAGTCGATCACTCTGAGCTTCCAGCCAGTTGTGCAGAGTCTGGGCTTTGTTCTCATTCTCAGTAATATCCTCCAAAATGTGTTCCAGGTCTTGTATCTGAAAGTTACAGAACTGTTTTAACTTACTTGAACCTACAGCTGGGCAGACACAGGGCTCTGTCTTCCATGACAAAATTTGAGATTACAAAATCTATACTGAAAATACTCTTTAGAGAAAATATTTTGAAAGGAAAACCTAAAAGGTTTTGCAGGCACTTCAGGATCTAACATTTTCCTTTGGAAGAAACAAGGCAGTGTATGTTCTGGAGCTGAGAGACCTGACAAGTTGGGGGACCCTGGGTTATGTGGACACTTTCATATGAAGTCCGAAAATCTCATTATCACTAAAACCTACCAACAAGGCTACTAATAAGAAAGGGACCTCAAAAGTTTCTTATATTCATATCTTGGCCCTGAGGATCCATTAAATCCTAGAATGGAATTTCAAGAAAATTCCATTTACAGAAGATAACCTTTTCCCCAACAAAACTGAAATTTCATTATGGAAATTTTCAATTGTATGGAAAATGAAATTTCCACTTAAAAATTTTCCAGAAGATTTTCTGAACTAAAAAATATTGGCAATTTTCCATCCGACCAGAAGTCTTTGTATCTGAATTCAGAAAGGGCAGCTTCTCCCAAAGCTGTATAAATTGAGATGCAGAGAAGAAAGAGAAATGTGTTGGTAGAGGGATTCATTCCAGCAGCCTCATGGTTGCATTTTGGGATTCTCAGCTCCCCCATATCTTTTCCATATCATGAGTCACACCAGCTTTTCTGGGCATTGGTGCACATAAGCAGCAGCATCTAATTCTGGATGCATGGATTATTTCTAGCCTCATTAGAATAGAATAATTCTGAGGCGTTGCCTGAAACAGATTTTCTTCAGAGAAACAAGATTATGTGCTGATAGGAAAAGTCTGCACATAGACTGACTCTATCAGCTGCTGACCTTCAGAGCACTCCATTGCAAAGCATATTTAACTACAGGAGGAGGACACGACACAGAGTGAGCCATTTCCAGTGCCCCAGGAGGGCTGGAGCAGGGCTGGGAACTGATCCCTGCTGTGCCTTGTCCAGGAGGCTCAGGTGTCCCCATCTGAACGTGGCTGTCAACGCTACTCACTTAACAATCTCTGCTTTCACAAATCCAACTGCTACAACAGGAAAACTGCTGGTAGCTTGATATATCCCTAATACAGAGCAGTGGCACGGGTAAAATCAGAGCTGTAAGAGAGAAGGCCATGGGAGCTCAATCCCACCTTTCTGCTGAGGGATGCCTGCAGGCGGTGCCACCGCAGGTTCATCTCGCCCAGGCACTCAGCAAACTCTGTCCTTTCGTAGCGCTTGCTCTCCACGTCACAGGTGCTCATCTGCAGCAGGGACTGGTTAACAAAATCCACCATCCACTGCTTAAAGTTCATTTCCATCATGTATTCCTGCAGGGGAAAAAAGAGAAAGAACATAAACGAAAGCCACTCGGTTTTGTAGTTTTAATCTGATTGGTTCCAATGATGCTTCAAGGCGTGGCAACGGGACATAAATGGCTTTGTTTGAATCATGACTTAAAATATTTTTCTGAAAGAAATCTGTCTGTAGAAATAATTCTCAAATTTTACCATTCTATATTTGTGTAGCTGTTTCCATTCACTGAAATTTCTGCAGAAAATCTCTATCATTACGTGGGTAGTTCAAGGTAAGAACAGAATAGTGATAGAGCAGGGGATAAAACCCAGGGCTGGCAGACCCTGTACTTAATCAATTGGACAAAACCATCACACTGCCACAAACCCATATTAGGCTAAGACCAAGGCTTTCCCACACTCCTGCAACTCACAGGCAATGCAACAAGAGTATAAAAAGTGTCCTCTAGCACCAGCATCTCTTGCACAGAGAGCTAAGTGAGAAATTACATGTGAAGTGAAAACTTAAGAGAAAGTCTTTTTATTTCAGAGGGTATTAGAAAAGAGCAGGAAAGGGCTCCATACTTATCTAGTAGTGCCCAGAAAAGTCAGCAGGGAATACCACATCAGCGGTACTGAAGCCACAGCTGCTTCCCTGTAGGAATTTGTGACCCTCATCCCAGCTTTCTTCTCAGCACACACAACCCCACCTTCCTGACAAATGCAAAAGACACACCTACAAACCCACCTCTAAATATCCAAAGCTAAAAACAGCACCTCACCTACATGTCCCAACTGCCAAATCCAACTCATACAGACCAAAATGTTATGTATGTGCTGTACCAAAACACTTGGAAATAAATGTTGGCATGGACATTTGCCTTACGTGCAGCACCAAAATGCCTGTGAGCTGCAGCTGCAGACTGAGAACTGTCAGCCTCTCTGAGCCCTGACCAGAGGCAGAGCAAAATATGGCTCTGTGGGGATGCATGCCCTGAAGCTGGGCTCCCTGGCATCTCTGGAGTACACAGCTTGAATCCTTCCTGTGGCTGGAGCAATCAGCCCCTGCCACTCTGCTACAACATCTGAACAGCACCAAAGTCTGCTGCAGCCTCTCTCTCTGCAAGGATGCTCATCTTGTCCCTCTTTTCTAGCAGGTTATTTCTTTTGATGACACATAAAATTCAACACCTCTGTTCTCTAGTTAAATGGATTCAGGTTATAGAGCTCCCTTAGGAGGTATTCCTTGTTAAAAAGACACAAACAGAGTCTGTCTTCCTATGGAAGGAAAGCTTGCCACGTTTTATAATCTAAATGCAAGAGAGACAACAAATGAGACAGATGGGACAGCAGGAGAAAAGGAGATTACAGCCCAGCAGGCAGGAGCTGTATTGCAGAACAGGCAGTGGTTTGTGTGCCATGGAAGCATACATTTTACAAAGGATGTTACAACACGTTTCAGACTAAGGAACGCCCTTGAGAGCAAGGAGAAGGATATGACAGTGCCTGTAGGCTGCTTCCATCCTTTTTACAGCAGCCTGGACTTACAGATTCCCATTTACCTTGTACTTCTGAAGGAGGGTCTTGACTTGGGCAGCACCACGTTGTGAATTTATTGGCTCCTCCTGTTCCTGCTGCTGTTCCACATGGTCCAGCCAGGCCATTAGTTCAGCAATAGCTTCCCGTGATGAAAGCTTTTCCATCTGAAGCTGAGGTAAAGCATATAATGAATCCTCTACACTCTACTTGTTAGAAATACCAAGGAAAATGACATTTCTATTTTTAGAAAGGCTCAGGCACTATAATCGCATTATTGGGGCATGAACTTGAAAGTGAGCCCTGTGCTCCAGAGGGGCAAATGACTTCAGTTCCAGAATTCATTAATCTGAAATAACATTCTTCCCAGTTTTGAGTAATTCTTTCCAATTTTAAGTAACAGTCTTTCATGCAAAACTGCAAAGATAACAAATGTATGCAAAACAGCCCAGGAAGAACACAGCAATATTTAAACTGTAGTATAATATTGGGGTTATTCTGAAACCATAGCACAGCTAATTCAGAAAAAGGCAACTGAATCCCAGCAGTAGCATTTTAACATCATTATTTAGCTTGAACAGTGATGGCAGCAGAGCTTCTCACTCACCTGGTGAAGCTTTTCTTGGATGGCTGGGAGCTGTGTAATCAGCTCTCCCCATTTTTGCTCAAACTTTGCCAAAGATGACCTAAGTGCTGCCATATCAGCTTGCTTCACATGGAGGAGCTGGCTGGCAGTGCTCACCACTGATGACTTCAGGGAAGATTTTTCATCAACTTCCTTAGAAAATGTCTGAGGTGCATGGGATTTAAGGAAGAGTAAATATTTATGCATCTATTGAAATGAAGACAAGCCATATTTTCACAGGATGAAATGCCTCAACAAACAGATTTTAAGATGGCAAAGCTCAGAAAACCTAAGTTCAGCATGTTCTGGCAGATAAAGCACTTTTTTTTGCCCACCTTGATACACAGTGCTGAATGCCACATTTTGCTCTCACAGAGACTGGGAATATCCTGATCCTCACTTCACATGGAGAGGTCCAGGGAGCAACCCCAGTCCTCAGACCTCACATCTAGCAGCCAAACCTTCATGATGATGCTTTGCTTTCCCTTTGGGCACTATTCCTTCTGCCTGGCCTCACACTGGGGCTGAACCTCCTGGCCAGCCATCCAAGGGGAGCAGGCAAAGACATGAAATGCAATCAGCCTGTTTTTCTTTCCTGACTTTGGCTGACCACCTTCACTCCTGTACCCTGAGCCCACACTCCAGGTTCAGTTGTTCAGTGGCTTTGGGGCACACAGCCATTCACTGCTCTATTATGTGGGTGGCTCAAGGTCCTGGCAAACAAAAAAAAACTAGGATCAGAATTCACAATGTCTTAATCTAAACCTGGCAGCAGTGACTTACAAACAAGCTGCTGATGTTGTCCCTGATGGTGGCGAGATCTTGTGACACATTGAGAGACTGCTCCTTCCAAAAATTCATTCTCTGCTGAGCAGAATCCAACCATTTCATCAATTCCTCCGAGTCTTTGTTGTAGCTACAGGAGGGAACAAAGCACAGACACACATATCTAGCTGAGGCTGGGATACATTTCTCACCCTCCAAGTTGTCTTCCCTGTGAGAAGGCCCCTCTGTGCTATTCTGGCACCTCTGCTGCAGAAGCATGGCTTCAGCTGTCATCTGTAAAATAATCACAAACTAATGTCTAGCTGATACCTCAAATTGTTTTTCTGTGTTAGACCCACCTGACCAGGAGTTTCAGTAATGTTTGAAGTCGGTGTAGCTCATGGCCAACTTTTTTGGTCAAAGACAACCACTGTTCTTCCAGCTTCCCAATCTGGCTTCTTATTTCAGGACAGCTCACAGCAGTCAGCAATTTCTTCCCTTCTTTCACCATCTGGTACAGCCTGGCATGCTTTTCATCAACACTGCTTTTGATTTTCTGTCAGAATATGGGAAGTTTGCAAAACAGTAACATTTTAAACACAGAAAACACAACTAAAAAACCACATGTCACTTGTTCTAACTTCTCAATCTTACTTTTCCTCTGTAATGTATTTTATTTTCCAAATGATAGGAATCTACAATTCATTGAATGCAAAAGGGACACAGGCTTTTGAAGGTTTGTTTGCCCCATCTTCTCCTACTTTTACAAGTCAGTTTTGAACTTGCATCCACACACAGCTGAGGAGACAAAGGAAGCAGTGCCCTGCAAATCATCTCCTCATATACTATTATTTTTTTGCCAGCTCTACTGATGCATAAAGAAAAGCAGTGACAAACATATAAATACCTCTAGAAGTGCAATCCTTTCCATTAATCTTTCTTCAGTTTCTTCAACCAAACTGACAGAAGGCAATGTAGAGGCAAGTGCTTCTAACTCCTTATTGAAAACTAGGCATTCCTCATCAAATACCATCCAATCCTAAAAAATACATTGAATTCTTAACACAGCACACATCCACTTGCATTTTAATACACCAGACTCAGGCCTTAATGCCTTCTCTAACACCAGCAGCTTGTACTTTAATGAAACGTAACACAAAAGTAAGTGAATAATATGTAAATATCAAAGTGAGACACGATTTCACCACAGATGAATTAATTATGCCTTTTCCCAAATTTTTAAGGATTCTTATTTTAAAGTGGTTTATGCAATTTTTTATTCTCTAGGGATGTTCTGAGATTATTCATTGAATTCTTTAAGTTTTATTTTACAGTGGTGCTGGTATTTTTCTGCCTTAAAGGGCTCTTCTGTCAGTCCAGACACTCAGAAATTACAGCAAGAAGCCCTGAAGTGTGATGTGTTGAAATATCCACTTCCAGAGATTTTCAAGAAGGAAGTTGGTTTACTGATACACATAGATTAAGTAATAAATAGACTGCTGCTGTCCAGTGGAAACAGGAAAGGACAAGTACTAGCAAAAGGATCACTGGCAGGACAAGAGCTGCCCCAGACGCTGCTTTTCTCCTTCCCTGTAGGTTTTACTCTTAGGTGTCTTTTCATTTATTACCTTTAACAAGCTTTCTAAGTGTATACCATACTGGCAGGCCTTCTGCTCCAGCAATTTGACTTCATTCACCAGCTCTCTCCAGAACTCCTCTCTCTTTTGCAGGACAGAAGGACTCACTCTCTTGGAAAACACTTCCATGTAAGCCATGCGTGTCACGAGGTTGCGGAAAAAATCCTGGGAAAAAAAAGCCAAGTTAAAGCTTGCTCTTAAAGAAAGATCACACTCCCACAGCAGGAGTTCTAAGGCTTTAGTAGGCAGGACACAATAATCCTTTGGGATAGCTATAAGAAATGTGTTTTCCTTACACAGTAATATGTTATGAGGTAAGCAGAATAGCAATTTATTTCCAAAATTGGTACTATTTTGGTCTACTGAAAAAACTTGTCTTTGTTTTCTGCACATAACACCAGTCCCTCCCCTTTGCTATGAGCCAGTCACTGTCCTCCACTACACTGGAGAGAAACCAGTCACAGATACACTGCTCCTTGCTATGCTGCCCTGGGCAGTACTGTGATGAACAACTCATACCTTGTGATTTTTCAGGTGAGACTGCAGAGCTGCTCTGCTTTTTGTCAGGTGCTTTGGATCTTGTGCCATCTTCTCTCTTCCAATAGCTACCAGCTCTGCAAACCCACGAAGCAAGTCCTCATACTGGCTTTCACTGATGGAAGGGGAGTTCAGGTCCATGTATTTTGCTTTCAGAATCCCCCACATGTCATCCAGAACATCCTACAATGCAAACACAGGGTAGCCATCAGCCTTTTGATGCTGCAAATGCATTGCTTAGAAGACTCAAACCTTGGTGAGTAAGTGGAAACTGTACTGTGCTCTTACCTCTAATTTATAAGCTTCCTGGATTAAAGTGATAGGTAACTGCAATCTTTCTCCATGGCCTCTCAATTTTGCTACTTGGCTTTCAAAGTTTTGCAGCTCCACAGAACAGGCACCAATTTTCTGGACGAATGACAAAATTAACTATTAGGAAGAGTTCCACTCCAATTAAACTTTCTATTATCACTGGTAGTGCAGTGAATTCAGGCTGGATCTCTCCTGTGCTAGCACTTCAGAAAATCCAACGAGTTTATAAACTAAATGGGCAAAACATGGCATAACTTACTGTGTTCACACAGCACAACCAAGAAGGGAATTCAGGTCTTGTGCCTCAGGACAACATTCAACATGCCTTTCTATTTACTAATACAAGAGCAGCCATTAAAAGGAATCATGGACTCAGAAAACAGGTTTTTTCTTATGAATCAGAAATAATCAGGGATTGAGACAGGATCTCTCTGAAGAAAGGAAACCTGTGTACTTCTGGCATTCCTTTTCCAAGAGTGGTTACCTAACAGAATATAGCCAGTCCTTGCTAGGGAATTCAGCAAGGAACACAGCTCTTGGTCTGGCAGAAAATTATGCCTCTAAGCAAGGTTATGAGCCTGTAACAAAAAAGCTTCAGAATACCCTCCCCACTTTGGTAATAAATACGTAAATGGCCAATGACCATTCTGGGGAGGATTTGCAGTCTGTTAATTTTTAATTTTCTGATAATCCCAATAAAGGTCAAAGAAAACAGCTTAACTGGTCAAATTCCATATGATAAAGTGCTCATAAATGCTGCATGAGAAGGTAGAAATACCAGAGTCCTATCCCCACAAAGAAAAGGCAGTTTGGCATAAGAACAGGCATAACATGTAGAGCTCTTTTTCTTCCCTGCCATAGTATGGGGTGTATTTGCTCTGGGAGGTTGTGGAGAGACTGGTTCAACCACTAAAATCTCTGGAATTAGGTCCGACTATGGATTGGGGTGTAGTTAAAAAAAAAAAAAAAGGAAAAGGGGTGGTGGTGAATACAGCAAATACTGAACTCTCTCCTTTTCCCACTTTAAAAATCTAACTTAGACTCAAACTTTAGAAAATATGAAACTTCACAAATTGCAGAAAAATTGAAATAATAGCTAATTCTGCAGAAACTCTCATTTCCTTCAAATAAAATTACCTGAAGCTGTTCAGAAACATTATGTCCATGTAGTTCATTCAAGCATTGTTGCAGAGCAGCTTTTTTCTCAGTTAACTGATCATACAGTAGCCTGGCTTGATTCTGCAAAAGAAACAAACATCACAAATACATCACGTAACAGGAGAATAGTAATGACCAGACAAAATTACACAGCAAACAAAATGATTACCTCTTTAGGTAAATGCATTTTTTCCCTCTTAAACAAAGAAAGAAAATTAAAAAAAAAGAACCAACACCAAAATAAAGCATATGTATTATGTAGTATGTAAGAAGCAGATTACTCTGTCACAATGATCCTCTGTGACCCTAAAAATCTGGGAAACTGGTAAGAGAATCAAATTATTCTCTTCTGAAAATGGGAAAATGAGCCCATTACCAGGGACTGATGGAGCTCTATGGATTCTGTATAAGTAAACATTGCAAGACTAGTTCTGTGGCTGTTTGGAGACAACATCCCAGTGTTCTTCAAAGAAGCTGCTTTATTATTCAGCAGTAAAAGGCCAGGATGACTTGCAGATGATGAGCACACTGGAGTTTTGCTGGACATTGCAAACTGTATTTCAAAGACCAGACTCTTCCTTCCCTAGCTCAGACTAAAGACCTGATCTGAATATTTTCCAGCAATAGTAGATTTAGCCCATCACAAGAATCTAAAGAAAAGTTTCTCACGATTTGCTTTTCCAACAAAGAACAAAAGAAGGAAAATTTGTGAAACTATGGCTTCTGCTTCTGTGGCACAAAATCTAAAGGAACAGTATATGCAGTGGGATCAAATCAACCTCCAAATACATTTCTAAAAATAAGGGAGGAAGCTTGCCTCTCCTGAGGACACAGCAGCTGAAGGAATATATGACACCCTCCTTGGCCCAGTCCCTAGGCACAGAAACTTGCTTTAGCCTGCAGCTCAGCCTACATGGGATCCCAGGTTACTTCCATACTTTCTGCATGCAAATTTTCTACTGTGATCCAGGCTTCTGTGGCAGCCAGCATTGCAAACAGCACTGTAACCAGCAAAATTAATCTGCTTCTCGAGAGACCAATACAAGTTTTTGAAGTAGCAAAAAAAGAAAAAAGCCCATCAGAGCTCATCTGTAACTCAAATGCATTAACACTGACAAGCCTAACAGATGCTGTGAAACAAGATGTGCATTTGGCAGAGGAGTACCAGGTAATTGCTATTATGATCCAGCCCAGCTTTCATGGAGCTGCTCCTTGAAGCAGTGGCAGCTTGAGTTTGTTCCAGCCGCGCCTGCAAGTTGTTAAAGCACTCGCAGAACACATCTGTGCTCCCACCAGCACAGCTGATGGACTTCAGAAGATCATCCTTTTTATCACTCAGATCAGCATGAAGTTTTTGCAGCTCCACAGACAGAGTCTAAAGGGTTGAAAGAAAAACAACATGAGTGAAAATGGTCTATGCAAGGACTCTTGCCCGCAAGAAGCAGCAGGACTCGAGCTGATAATTGTTAAAAGCAACAGACTCAAATCTGTGCAATACAAAATAGTTTGGAGGCATTATCCCTGAATAATGCCAGCAAAACAGAGAGGAAATACCAGGCCGTATATATTCTGCTGTAACAGAAAGCCACTGGAAATCCCTGAAGGACTGGGGGCAGTTACCTCATAGAGAGCCTGCTGCACAGCTGCCTCTTCAGTGGAGAGCACCGAGGTGTTCAGCATCTCCTCCATGTTATTCAAACACCGGCTGATTGCCAGAAGCAACTCAAACAATTTTCTGTCCAAATTGGAAGAGACTTCCTCTGCCACATTATCCTGGGTAAATGCAAGCCAGCTGTCAGTACTTTCGCCCAAGGCATGGCTAATATTCATTCACTTGTATAAGGTTAGAGGCTTGCTCAGCTAATACTAAAATGGAATTATTGAAATACTGAGGGACAGACTTGGATATATGCATGTAACATTCAGAGATGTCGAGGCTGAAGCTGACACAATGACCCTTTATGTACTGGACAATGGCTGTGCTCTTACACATCTCTAATCTCAGGCATGAGCACAAGAAGTTTGTCTTGTCAGCTCCAATCCTGCAGATTTACTGAAATCATTCACAGGCTCCTTGCTTTGCACTGTTTGAGGATTTTTACCCATACCAACAAACTTTTGGACTCAGGTAGAAGTATTGTAGTGGAAACTTGGAATGTTTCCTCTCAAAATCCTCAGCCTATTTCAACATTACAGTCCATACCCAACACAAAAGCTCACTACAGTGAATGTCATTTGCAATAATATGATTACTGGTTGTTTCCCAGTGTCCGAACAGTGTCTTGTGTCTAGAATCCCTGGGGTTATTTGCAAGGCTTAGGACATGCCATCTTTACCTGTGCATGCACCACATTTGCTTCCTGGCTTAGGTCTCCCAGCTGGACAGTGTAAGTTTTGAGCTCTTCCACAGTTGGGGCTCCTGCACCTGAGAATGTGCCTCGAGGCAGCATGTTCATCTTTGTTGTGATCTAACATTTGGAAAAAGAACATTGCAATTAGAAGAACAGTTCAAATGAAGACAGGCTATGGGAACAAAATAACACCCCTGTCAAAAAGCATTAAAAGATTTAAGGCACTGATATAAAGCACCTGGATAGCAGGGCTCCCTTTTTCACTGGCAGAAATCGGGCACGCTATGCCCTGATGGGAGCTTGACCAAAAAAGGAGCCTCTGACTCTCAGATTTATGGGCTACAGTGTAGTTTGGGCTAAGGCAACACTACTGCCCACTGCAGGGTAAGTCTTGCCTGAAGAAGAGTTGACATTCATCCTTTTATATGTCAGATGTTCTTCCACATATTGTAGCAATTTCAGAGGACAGAAAAATCTAATAATTCTAATTTAGTATGAACAAAACTGTTAATAACAGGAATTACAGTTTTATCCAAGCAGTACAAGTCTGCAGTCTGTTCAGAACATACAGCCAACTCAAACTCTGCTTTTAATGTGTGAGAATGAGAGAACACAATGGTGACTGGCAGAACAATACTTAAGCCAGAGATTTGCTTTCACCAAAATGTTCTTACTTGTGGGAACTGAGATTTCACCTGCATCCAAGGGAATCAGCTGTGAGTTTCCTGGATAACTCCCTTAGTTCTCTTGAAAGAAGTAAGCAGATAACATCTACTCTGAGCATTAACCACAGGGATTCACCTAAGTGCTCCCACATCATGCTTAGCAGTCACTACTTCAGAGACATGATTTACCTCCAAGTAAAATTAAAAGACAATTATGAAAACACTATGCAGTGACAGCCTCCTCTGGAGAACCCCTGCACAGGTTTCAGTTATCTGATGGACAGCCATGCTACTATGACACAGAAAGATACACCAATTGCTATCTACACTATCAGAGTGTTGTATGGAACTTAAACAAACCTGAGGTTCCACAAGCTGGCAGAGAGGAGATTTCATCTTTGATGACAGCTCCTGTTGTAAATATTGCCATTTATTACCCATTTGATCCTTTGGAGCTAAGGTGGCATCAGCCTGCTTGCTCTTTGAGTCAGATTCTCCATTGCTGTATTGAGAAAACACTGTTAGAATGACAATTACTGAAGCAGAGCAAGTAAAACAAGGTTTCTTGTATAAGATTAGTTTCTCTTGCTCCTGCCTCAAAAGCAAAGTGAAACCAAGTGCATGTATGATTATTAATCCAAGCTTTGATAAACTTGTTTGGACTTTCCCCTTCCCATGAAATATGCCAGGGGCCTGCTGGCAGCCTCCCCCTCTGAAGTGACAACATGGGGAGCACGGTCCTGCAGGAAGTCTTGGCTCTGTGCTGGAAGGTGCCTGATCCCAATGTGCCCTTTTCCAAAGCTGCTGCCTTTACACTGCTGGGTTATCTGTACATTTGTACAGCCATGGCTGTGAACAGAGGCACCCAGCTTGCCCCCAACAGGCCTGATTTAGCTCATGGCAGGTGTCAGTCCTGGTACTGAGATCCTAAACTCTGGGGTCAGCCAAAGAGGCTGTCACATAAACGAGCCTCCATTTCTCTGGATTGCTGATGTGAGAAATCCCCAGGCTTCTGCCGTTTTTCTAAAGGCACACAGAACCAAAGAACAGAACCAGGGGTGCCACTGCAAGGCTTCAGAAGTTTAGGCAGTTTTACATCACTCAATCTGGTAACTGATGGTGTTTTTCTGTACCTGGATTCTGATTTCAGAGTCACGCTGTCCTCAAGCTGTGGCTGCATTTTTTCCACACACGACTCAATAAAGTCAATGAGGCTTTTCTGCTCAGCTGCTTTTAATTTCAGGTCCTGTGCACAGAAAATAGCATGAACAGTTATGTGAAGTGTAACAATCTGAGATGATGATTATGCTTTTCCAATCACATTTTATGTGAAATCATTTAGCATAGAAAAAAATCGTTTAGCTAAGAAAATAAGACCACACCTGTAAGAATAAAATGCAGTTTATGTATGAACATGAATTTACAGAACAAACCATTTCTGCAAACATGCATTTTTATGGAATATATTTCTACGTGAGCTGAAGTTTTAAAAGCAAAGCCCAACCAGGAACAAATTACATATAGAAATTTAAACACCACTGACTGCAATTCTTAGATAAAGAAATAGACAGGGAAAATGGGGATTTGCTCAAATATGAGTTTGGGTTCCATTAGTTAAAAGGAGAGTGTCGAGTGAAAAATGAACAATTCTAGCAGCTAAAGCTGGACCATTTTCTCCAGCTCTTTTCCAATAGCGTGAAAAAGGCAAAAGTTATTTTACAGTTAGCAAAATAGAAGTAATTTGCAGAGTGCAGACCATTACAGGATTTTTATATTGTGTTAACAACAACCTTAAAAGTCATAGTGAGTTAGCCCACGGGAGTATATTCACAAAACTTTAGTTTCAAACTTACCTTCAAAAACAGTATCAGTGTATAGATTCAGATTTCATAATACATCACTGTTTTTTAAAACTAGGACTCTTGCCTTATTTCACAATGATTCAAGTGGCATCACCCACCTGTCCAATCTCCTAGCTTTATGATATTACTAAAACTTTTGGACAAGGGTTTTTAGGGGTGAGGACTTTCTCCATCCTGACAAACTCCCCAAATCCTGGAGGAGATGGGCAGCTGAAACCTACCCTTGACAGAGCTGATCCCACAGGGAAAAGCTGTAAGTGTAGCTGCCCCCCAGCCCACAGGGGATGTGGAGCAGCCTGGCCCCATATGGGAGGAGAATTAATTCATTACCTGTGGCTGCTGGAGCCCATTGTGCCAAGGCTGTTGGGCAAGGGGCAGCTGGGATGTGCTGAAACCATCAGAGTGCAGGATCTCCAGGGGCTCTGGGTCAATCCTCTCCCTGCTGGGCACCTGTAAAGGGAGACTCGTTGTGGGAAGGCTTCTGGACTTGACAAGAGAGCAGAACCCCACAAGTGCAGCTTGGAGAAAGGGCAAAAGCAGAGCTGCCTTGATCTGACCAAACACAGAATCAGCAGCACATGAAACAAAACTGCTACTTTTGCCAAGATTCTCGTCCAGTTGAATTCACTGAAAGTTTTAACATCCTAACCATTCTAACCTTCTGCCAAGGTCCTCACGTCTCCCCCAATAGTTACTTCACTTTCTTTTCTTTTCCTCCTAGCAGATTAGGTGATACTAACCCTCCCTTCTTTTTGTTTGACCAAAATACAGGTATATGCAATCTGTGCTTATAAATTTGGTCACACACCTGAATTTTCAATCTGTCTGTGCTCACAGAAGTTTTTGAACACAAGCCTTTACCAGTGCTAATTCACACCAGAGGGACTGTGGCTGCTATCAAACAAACACACCAGGTGGGCTTCTCTGATCCCTCTCACAACAGAGAGGGAATGAGCTCTGAAGGCAGGAGTTACCACCTCACCCATCTCTTTGCTGGGAAACTCAGCAAAGACTATGGTGCAGGAGAGCTGACAGAACTCACTGCATTTAAGATTTCTTCAAAGAGAAAATTACTAAAAGGCCTCTGTGCTGTGATACTGTCACAGATAAACATCACAGCCTTTTTGAGCATTTAAAAACAAATCAAACCCTAAGTCCTTTTTCTGTGCTCTTAGCAAAATGCTGACCTCTGTCACTGAGCACTTAGAGCAGATAAGATGCTGTTCAGAGACTCATTAAAAATCCACTACTTGTTGCAAGCTACAAGTAATTACACAGCACTGTAAAGTAGAATAATGGCAACTCCGACATTTCTCCCTTCCTTGCTTCACATGCTGAGCTCCAACTGTTCCTCTGCAACTACAGACCATTAAAGCACCAGGACTCTCAACTCGTGCCCTGCACAACATTCATATGCTTTACCTGCTCTTCACTGCACTTGTCTTGGAGCATCATCTGGACATTTTCCAAATTGCGCTTCACCTCCTTCAGCTTCAAGGAAAGAGCCTCTGTCTTTTGTTGGTAGTCTGCACTATCTCCACAATCTTCCAGTAAAGAAAGGACCTTTTGTTCAATCTCTGATAACCTCACCTAGAAGGGACAGCAGATAATTACACATTGTCAGAAGTGCAACACTCCTTTTCTGACAACATTCTGAAGTCAATGCTCACACCTCCCCTCTCTGAAAAGAAGAGAATCATGAAGGGAAAAAGAGAAATAGCTGCAATCCCCCTAGGTTTTCCCCAATGTAGTCTCTTTATTCTGGACAATTAAATGAATTTTATATAGAGTTAGTCTTTAAAACTGTTTCAAACAAGAGCATGTGCAGGAGGTTATCTTAACTCAGATATCAAGTAATAAAAGAGGAGAGCAGAAATGACAGACTCCATTTGAATGCAACCAAGAAGACAACACCCCTCAGTGGGGGAGAAAGAGGCAATGCACACAAAGCTCACATCATTCTTTGGGGGGGAATGATGCTGAACTACAAACACATCAGGAATGTTTCCATGTGTCAGCCAGGCCATTATAAACTGTTGGCATCTGATTTTTGATACAAGCTGATGTGAATCAAAGTGCATCCCTGCATACTTTAAACCCATGTTTTTAAGGTGAGCATGGATAAAGGTACCATGACTCAACTGCAATAAATTAATTGCTTTACATCATATGCCTTTATCTAGAGACTGTTTCTCTTTCATTCTGTGTGTATTTTTCTGTGTAGATCCTGACTAGGTTAGAGAACCCTCTTCCCCCACCCAAGTTAATGTCTTACCATTGAGCCAGATTGTTTGAAGCCAACAGGAATTCAGCCTGCTTGTTCCTACCAGCTGGAGCTACCCTGGTGAAGTTTATGCCGACAGGAACCCTGAACGGGATCCAGACACAGCCAGCTACTTGGGTGCATTCAGGACCCTAATTCCCACAAAGTTCAGCACCTGAGCACTTGGCTGAATCACAGCCTAAACCCAGAGGCACTCCAATTAAAAACAATCACCCAAAGCTGGTAATGTCTCACAATAATTTAAAACTGGGACATTTTGGTATTGGCTCCTTTATTGTGAGTGAAATTTGTTGCTCTAGGTAGGTAGTGCTTGAAGCAAACTGGTACACCAGACTGGCACCACAGGGAGCCTCAGCTCTGTTTTAATCTGCACATGCTGCATGCCAGGGCTCTGACAAGCAGGAAGTGAAAAATGTCAAAAAAACCCCAACTCATTTGTTTCTAGCTGATTTATCATGAACGGGAACAATGAAAAATTGCCCTTTAATAGAGGATAAAATCTATGCCATAGTTTTGAAAATAATCCAAATCAAAACAAAGCTTTATATACACTCCAGAATTCTATCTAAATCCCCTGGATGCACACAGATCCCAACTCTAAAACCAGGTATTTTAACCAAACCCTGGCAAAGCTGAAGCTGAAGCCAAGCAGTCACCTGCTGTGTGCAGAGTGAGGGAGATGCTGAAGCAGGAGGGGGCAGCAGGCAGAGCTGCTGTGCAGACACAGCCCAGGAAGGGACTGGGGGATGGCAGCAGCAATGCCACACCTTACCTGGCAGTCAGCGAGCTGCGGCTCCACCATCTGCTGCCTTTGGGGGGTCTGAGGGTCTGCCCTCAGCGACATCTTAGTCCTGTCTAGCCATTGCTCCAGCTCAGCCACCTGGGCCTGGCACAGCAGGAGGATGGATTCTGGCTCAGGCTTCCCTCCATCCAGGGCGGCGCTGGGGACTGGAGGCGGCCGGTGGCTCTGGAGCAAAGCACATCAAAGCAGCCTGCTGAGCCACCTGGCTCTGTCATGTCCCTCCCCTCCCCTTACCAGCGACAGGTGATTAACTTCCACACTCACAGAGCCCCGGAACAACTCTGCTGCCACGTTCCCAGACTTATGGTGGGGGGGAAGAAACCCACAAAACAAGGAGGAAAAAAAGGAAAGAAAGGGAAACTCAGCAGGCTGGCGATCCAAGATCTGGTGTAACAGGTTTCCAGGCAGCGATTTGCATCTGCAGGGATCTACCTGAGCACAGCAGCTCTACCTGAGCACACAGGAAGTGATGACTCACCATTAACCTGCTCTCCCCTGAGGAGAGATGTTTTTCTCTGGGAGTTACACACAAGCAATATAGTTGCAAGCTGCAAAACAAGCTGTTGGACAAACTACTTGTGTGTGTTCAGTTCCAACAGTTAAATATGCTTTACTCGGGCTCTAGGTCACACAATTTAAAAATTGTGTATTTTTTAAGGACAACTTGTGCAATTCTTCTTAAATACACTCCTTGAAGAAGCAATATTGCATTGCTCATGTCCATAACAAAGTACTTTGAACTTGGAGATAAAGAGCAGTGATTTGGAAGGCTGCACAGGTCTGTATGTGCTTCCACACAGGCAAACACACTGGTACTTAGTAAATAAATGAAGCACAACACCACAAGAACAGCTCTCGTGAATGCTTCCATGGCTCCAGAGCACACATTCAGGCAACTGAGATGGCCACTGCCAGTGCACAAGCCTCATATTAAAATGAGATTTGGCAGGAAAAAAAAGGGAGCCAAAATGCATTGTTCCAGCTATCAATGTCATCACAGAATGACAGAATAGTTTGGATAGGAAGGAGCCTTTAATGGTCATCTAGTTCAAACTCCCCTGCTACAGGATACTGGAAAAAAATTCTTCACTGAAAGGGTTGTCATGCATTGGAACAGGCTGCCCAGGGAAGTGGTGGAATCAGCATCCCTGGAAGTGTACAAAAAATGTGTAGATGTGGGATTTAAAGATATGGTTTAGTGCTGAACATGGTGGTGCTGGGTTAATGGTTGGACTCTCTGATCCTGGAGGTCTCTTCCAACCTTAACTATTCCAGGATTCTGTGATCCTAAAAGCTGAAGCTGCTCTGCCACCAGGCTGCTGCTTCTGATCTTCCTGGAGCACTCATGCCCATACACTCTTGTATTTAACCTAGAGGCTGGTGCCCACTCTTCTCTTGGCCTTTGTATGTCCTCCAAAAAGCAGCAACACCTGTCAAGCTCCTTAATTCCTCCTGTAATTGCCATTTTAAAATTCCATGGCTCCATTCATGCCTGTATGAATGACAGCAGCTTCCTTGCTGAAAATACTCCATTTTGCTCCCTAGGAAATTGCACTTTCAAGGAGCAATTGAAAATTTATAGCCCAGAGCACCAATATGAAGAGGCCCACAAAGGCTTGCAGGTATCCTACCACATCACACTGCAGCAAACTCCAGCAGCAAAACCACAATGGACCAGGCCCTCTGCCCACTGGGTAGGTCACACAACTCACTCAGGAGGTCACCTTGTCCAGGCCTTCAAACTCACCATAGCCAGACTGTCACCACCTGTGCCAGGACCTTCAGTGCCCTCCAAAGTTTGCAGAGATGTTTCTTCATCATATTTACTGAGTGATTCAGTTACAACATCCTCATCCTGCAGAGAGGCAACAGTGGAAATAGTTCTTATCTTCCACATAGACGTGCAGTAGTGGAGATGTGGCACTTTGGGACATGGTTTAATGGACCTGGCAGTGTTTGGTTTATGGCTGGACTCGATCTTAAAGGTCTTTTCCAACCTAAATGACTTTCTGATTCTATGTTCCATTGCCTTGTTGTGCTAGAGAAACCTGAAAGAGCAGCAACCACTCAACCTATTGTGGTCCTGGCCCAAGAATATTCACAGAGAGCAGTTTAGTTATGCCTGTGGCACAGATGTACAGAAACAAACAATTGCAGCTGTCACAACATTACTGAGGCATCATGAAGAACAGAATGGCACCAAAACTGCAGCTGATTGAGTGTCCTAGACACTCCATTTCTCATGTAAAAAGAGAGAGAACCTCTCCCACAAATCATCTCCCACATTTTTAGAGCTTTTCCAGGATCAGTGAAATCTGCTACTAAATGTGCATTTCTACCTTTGGGGGTTTTGTGAAGCTGAAAAGAATTAGAATAATTGAAACATTTAGATTGGAAAATACCCTTAAGGTCACTGACTCCAACCAGTATGTACAACAGAAAAAGAGATTCTAAATGGCAATATTATTGTGAGATAGAAGATATTAATAAAGCCACCTTGTCCTACAGCTCTCTTGCATTGCAGGCTTCAGCAATAGTTAGATCTTTACCACAAAGATGAGTTCCCATCCCCACAGAGATAAACCTGAGTGCATTACCTGAACAATGCCATCTGACAAGGTACCAGAAGACCAGGAGGTTGCACTGTCTTCCTTGAGCCTTTCATCATCTCTTTCTGAAGGCCAAAAGCTTGCATCTTTCTCTGTGGTTGCACTTCCCTTTGAAAGCAGTAACAGCTCAGCTTTAGCTTGTGAGCAGGAAGCTCAGATATTCCTCCAGGCAAAGTAAAGCACTGCAAACTCCTAATAACACTTTGCTCTATTTCTGCCTTGTTTATCTATCTATATCTGTGTTTCCCAAATCCAACCTCTCTTCTTGCTCTATAGCTCTGCTACAAGATGAATGGCAGCTGGATGACATTGATAATATTCTCTAGAGACCACAGAATATTCTTATTTTTTACAATATTAAAAAAAAACCTGAAAAAAGCCCCAAACAAACCATCAACCACCAAAACAACAAGAAGACACTATCCTTCTCCAATTCTGTCCCCTAAAAAGTCCTACATGCAAAGAAAATTGTGCCAGTGAAGGTGCAGAGTGAGAAACCTGAAACTGCTTGGATCAATAGTGAGGCACAAGCTCTCCAAGCTGTTTGGACTTCTTTGCACTGCCTTGCCACGGAGTTTTTTTCCAAAATAAATTATCTTTGCTCCTCTGCAGTTCACCTGGACATTCAGACCCCTCAGATTCAGAGCAACCTATAGGGCAGTGTCCCCTAGTTTCTCCCAATCTCTCAAAAATCTCTTCTATTTTAACTTCACTCCCAACAGTCTAATCACACACTCTTTTACTTAACTTCAAACATACAAATAAATTTTGTTGTTTATGTTTTGGCATTTCAGAGGCTAATTCTTTCATGGAAACATTGGTATTTAAGGCCACATTTTGCCATTTACACTTCATAAAGGGGGAACTACTAAATAGGCAATCCCACCAAAAGCAGGATCACACCTCCCAGAACAAGCTGCTGTGTACTACTGGCAGTGGAATATTGGTACACTGGATTAAGTGCAATTCCTTTGCATCCTGGAGTGATAACAGATATTTTAAGTTGTTCTGAAATATTTCAGATTTTCCCATTTTTCATAATTCCTCCTTTACCACAATCTTCTATCTTACATACACAGCTGTATATATCTAAAATAAACTGGACTCACCTTGCTGTGTAAAGAACAGTCTTCTGATTCTTCATCTAAGGAAGGTAGAAGAGATATCACACCTCTTTTTTTCAACTACAAAAACACACAGAGAGACAACCCAATTAATCATGACAAGAACAGCAAAAGCCTCTTCACTTCTGCCTGTAAACCAAAACAAAATCACCACTTGAGATCCACTTTTGGAGAAACATTTAACACCTGGCAACCTACATTAAAATAACTGAAAGCTGCAGGTTCTAAGTACCTCTGAAAATTGGGATTTGTTGGTGTTAGATTTCAACAGCACAGATACAAAAGGGAGAAATTTCATTTTGCCTCATGAAAATAATTTATTGAAAATCCCAGAACAACTGATTATCAACAAAACTGCACATGGAGCATTTTGCTCTTGATTGATGAAAACTTCACATTGCAAATGAAAAATGCTAAGAAATAACCAGATGCAGACCTTTCCTACCTTCTCCTAGACATGCTCACACTCTGTCCTTCTGAACACAAAGGGGAGGAGAGGCAGTATTGATTCACAGGGGCGCTCCTCTCTCACATGCCACTCCTCCAGGAGCAGGAAGGGTTATTTACCTCCCCTCTTTGGCCCTCAGGTGAGTGACCACTTACCTGCTGACCAGAAACATCAGTCCCAATCAGGTCACTCTGTGCTAATACAGAGCTTGGAGGTTCATCTGCTGCTTCAGGCACTTCTTGCTTCAGGCGCTGGTGAAGCTCAGACATGGAATTCTTCATCCCGGTAAGGAAATCTTCCTTTCTTTGGCACAGCTTTATGATCTCTTCTTTTACAGCTTCCATTTCTCCCTAAGGAGCAACAACATCTGTAAGCATCCATTTTTCCTTTTCAACCAAACAGCAATGTAACAGATGACACCAGTGATGTATCTTACTGGTACTGGGGCTATTTCCCCCTTTTCCTTTTTCTGGGCTTTGGGACAGTTCCCCATTGTCACTGCAGGAGATGTCCAGGTACATGCAAACCAGCAGCAACAGATTCAGCTCAGGACAGCACTGGCCACTTGTGATGCAGAAGTTGGTAGTGTGGAAGGAAATGTGCCAGGCTGGAACGAATTCTAACTAGGTGCTGCATATCCATGAGAATACCAGCTTCCTCCAGAGCAAAGGGAATGCAGACTGGTTACATTACTCTGTGTGTCAGAGCAGATGATGCTACTTGCAAGTACCTTCCCTGACAGCCTGACACTGAACACTTGGGAAAGCCCTGAGGAGGGCAAAGACAGCAAATGAAGGTAGCTCAGGGCTCAGTCTTTGGTGAAGCTGGCCCAAAGGAAACAAACCACTTGGTGGTGTTGGGGATGTGGCTAGGGCCAAAATTATCCCATGTCTTTGAATGTGATACTGGGAGAAATAAATGGACCCCAACAAAGCTTAAGGAAAATATTTAACGTTCCTAAACTAAGAGGAACGTTAGTTCCTAAGAGACTAAGCAATAATCCAAGTAACTGCACTAACAGAGGAGGAAATAAATCTGTCTTGGTCTCCTTCCTGGCCATGACTATTGCTCCAATCAGTGTTCTGCCCTTAAGAGTTTTCTCCTCGGGCTTTCCTTACCACCCAGCCTCCAGGTGAACCAAGAAATCCCAGCAAATAACAGAGTATGACAGGGGCATGGAACGAATTGCCCTACTGCCTTCATTACTGAAAGTGCTAAAGCTCTTTGAAGCATTGTTATTTGCTCAGAAGACTGAAACCTGGCTAAATATCCCTTTGCATACTGGGGTCAGCTGATCACAGCAAGCTTTGATGCTAGGCTTGGAGTGAGAACAGCACTGGCTCCACACCATGCTCTGTCATTAGGGATGTTATGCAAGTAATAATCTGTGGCAGATGAAAGCAGTGAGGCTGCTGGTCCTGTCTCCACTACAGCTTCTGTGAATAGCTCTAGGGTGGCAGCATGACAGGAAAGGTGGAGGGAGGAACTCCAGCAAATTTTGCAAGGACATGGGAACTCTGCTCTGACAATGCTTTCTTCCTTTTGTACACTCAAAACCAGAAGATAAAACCATCCAAAGGTAAAGGAAAGAAAACGTCATTTCATGAAGAAACAGACATCCATGACAATTTGGCATGTTTTTATGGATGTCCACTAGGAACAGTATATCTATTTATTTCACGGCAGGAGATTTGCCAGCATAGATTTGCCAGCTACTCTTGTAAACTTAATTAGCAATAACATCCTCAGAAACCAAATCTTTCTTAAAATCTCTTTTTTTTCTGAAATCCTCCAGTAAAACAGGCCATTCCACTGCCCACTTCTATTCCTGCAATGCTGTATCTGCCAAGTTTTCTGCTAAAACAAGAACTATTAAACATAAAATCCTGCACTCAGAGACAAAAACAAGGAAGAATCAGGAAATGAGTCATGCTGAGCACTACATCAAGCCTCCAACATCCAACCAGCTGACAGCAAGGCGACTATGCACTTAGGAGCCTACTGAATGATTATAGTTATTAGGGAAGTACAATAGAAGTGTATTAACTTCACTGTGACTGACTAGAAAAAACGGAGCATTTCAGAGGCACTTTATAAATAGTTATTACATTTAATTAGTAATTTCCTGACTTCTGCAGTGCTATGCTTAAACCATTTATTTTTGCATTAAAAAATCAATTCATCCATTACAGAAAGCAGCTGACTGTAAAGAGAAAAGCAACACGTTTACCAGTGATGAAAACACAGTGTGGCAATGAGGACAAATAAAGGAGTCTAATGAATCTAACCCTAACTAGAATCCCCAAAAGTAGCATTGCATGACCAGTTATCAGAAAGGGACCCAGTTCTCTCCTTAGGCACTATCCCAAGCTGCCACTTCAGGAAAATGAGCAGGATGCTGAACACAGGTAAGCTCTCAGTGCTGTATATTGTTTCACCAAAACAGCTGTCGTGAAAACAGCACCCAATTTTTCTTCCAAGTTGACACAGGCATAAATGACACATCAAAATCAGTAAGGAGTATGCTATGAAAGATATAACCAGCTTGCAGAGTAATATTAATTGTAATTAATTGCATGGTCACACTATGGCATTCAATTGCCTGCTTGACTGTGGTGTAGGAGGGAAGCACACCACTATTTCTCAGTGCTCTGCATCATCATGATTAGTGTTAGTCAGGATAAGGAAGACACATGAGAGAGAATAGAATGAAACCCACCTCTGGACTAGGAGTCTTCTGAGCCTGTGGTTGATCTTCATGTGATATTTCAACCAAATTGTTCTTCAGCAGTTGTTTCAACTTCTCAATTTCTTGCTCACATTCTTCTGTTTTCTTTACAGTTTCCTGTGAAATAGCAATCTCCATAAATAATTTTGAAACAAGGAGTACATAAACAAATAAGTCAGTAAAGAAACAAAGAGTACTTGAACTGAAGAGTACTGAACCTCTTTTGTACCTGAAGTTATGTGTTTGCAGAATATAGTTATGCAGAATCTGTGTTTGTTCTGCTAACTTTGCACAAGCCCATCCTTCACTAAGTTTATTATTCACTTACTAAAGACAAACAAGATGAAGTATGGTGGGGTATTCTGTCCAGGAGCTCCAGAGCAGAACTGTGAATTTGGCTATCGAATGGAAATGGAGCAGATTTTACCACATTCATTGCAATTTAGAAAAGGTTGTTAAAAAGAGAGAAATTAAAGGGTTTCTTATCAAGTAGAAAGCCTAACTGGCTTTTACTGGTGCTCAAGTCTTTACTGCCAGCTAGTTCTGCACTGATCACAAATGAACTGTGCTGTACACCATGCAAACACTGCAGCTCAGAGGATAACCCAACCACACTGTCTGACTATTTGAATACTTCCAATAAAAATGATAAGCATTACCAACATGTGAACAACTGTGAACATGGCTTATAGAAAACAGATGTTATAAACAGCCAAATTCTCTTTTACTCATTTGACAGTGACAGCAAAATCTCATTGCCCCCCCAGCTTTTGCTGTTCATGCAGAAATGGGCAATCTCCCCACACTCATTTGCCAGTCACAGCCTGTCATGATGTCTCAGGTCATTAAGAAATTGTCACATCTGCAAGTGAGAATATCTTGTCAAAACACTGAATGTGCACAGCACTTGGTGGCTCTGTGTTTCTGGACCCAGAGGCTGACAAACAAAGAATATCCAAGGACTGTTCCTCAGGTGCCTGCAAAAGGTAATGAAGAAACAATGAAGTCAACAGGCTCGATCCTCCTGTGCTGACAGCAGCACCTGAATGCCCCAACAGGTCAAAGATCTCACTGCAGAGTGTTCACAGACTGCTTTCAGAGCAAAGAGTCTCTCCTGGTATGAACAGCAACAGTGCCATTTCTTCAGTCACTTCTTTATAGCAGCACTCCCACTCAAGAAGATGCAGGCTAATAAGGTTCTACATAACCATTATTATTTTACAGGTCTTAGAAGTGAGAAGAAACTATTTTCCCAGTTAAAAAAAGAAAGCCAATTTGAAGGGGAAGATATTTGTGGGCTATAATCTTAGTGCCACAGGCAAAGAATTAGAGAGGAAAGAAAAAAGGAATCAGTCTTCTACTCAGTTTCAATGAGAAAGTAAAAGAAGATCTCCTAAAAGGAAAATTCTCATACTCACACCTTCAATTCCACAAGAATTGGACTGTTTAGTAATAAATTGAGTCCTACCTCAAATTTCCTCAACTAACTAAAGAGTTTGAATATTTCATAAACAGACTCCAATGTCTTCTGTCATGGACCAATATGTGAATATAGTCACTTACCTGAAGATAATTAATTTGTTTCTGCCTTCTACTCAGGGAAAAGAAAATCCGATTCTATAGTTTATCCAATATAACAAATTATGCCATATATGTGAGACTGAATTTCTTCCTACAAGTGCTGCCTTTCTTCTGAGTTATTTCCTGGTTAACAGTTGCTCTTTATTTTTCATATTGTGGTAATTCTAGAAGACCTACCCATGGGAAAGGCCCACCTACCCACAATGTATTTGTTTTGGAAAAGCTTAGTGAAAATGTGGTCAGTAAATAATCAGATATGCAAATAATACCACTCTCTTGCACTGAAAACCAGCAGAAGCAGATATGGCTTCCAAACTTTCTTCCTGATGACGTTGTTTAGGTGTGGAACTTAACAGGCCATAATAAAAAAAAAAAAAAAAAAAAAGGACAAAAAAAAAAAAAAAAGCAACATCCAACAGAGAATTAAGTCACTTAAAGTCCTGCCCCAGAGTATTTTCAATACCTATTACAGGCTTTGTCTCTGACTTACTGTTTCAGGTGNTCCTGGTTAACAGTTGCTCTTTATTTTTCATATTGTGGTAATTCTAGAAGACCTACCCATGGGAAAGGCCCACCTACCCACAATGTATTTGTTTTAGAAAAGCTTAGTGAAAATGTGGTCAGTAAATAATCAGATATGCAAATAATACCACTCTCTTGCACTGAAAACCAGCAGAAGCAGATATGGCATCCAAACTTTCTTCCTGATGACGTTATTTAGGTGTGGAACTTAACAGGCCATAATAAAAAAAAAAAAAAAAAAAAGAGGACAACATCCAACAGAGAATTAAGTCACTTAAAGTCCTGCCCCAGAGTATTTTCAATACCTATTACAGGCTTTGTCTCTGACTTACTGTTTCAGGTGTTACAATGCAACTTAATTATACAAAAGCTACTGGTGCAATATTCCATTGCCTCATCCATAGCAAAATAGGGGCAAACCCATTCAAAGACTAATCCCCAGCAGAAAAAAATGGATATATTTGTACAGGAAGCTCGGCTCCCATTTGCTTTCCTCTCTAGCAGGATTCTTACCACCTTTTTAATGCAGCACTCAAAATGCCATGGCTTTATTCCTTTGTTACACCTTAGCTGGTGCCACACTTGTATTGTGGTACTGCTGCTTTCCACCCATTCAACTGCACTGGAAAAACTCTTTTGCACAGTTTGATACACTAGCTGCCAAGAATTGCAATTTTTCCAATCTGTTCTCTCACAAAGAAATTTCATTCAGCTGCAGATTGTTGGGTGTCTACAAGATAAAGGCAAATGCTGAGCAAAGAAATGTCATAGCTTTACAAAAAGGAGAAAAGACTAAAATCTGACCTAATACTGCACAAAAACCAGTTACAAGTGCCATTACAACAACTGATAATTGGAAAGCACCCTGTTTCTGATGCTTTTAAGGTGCTTTGAAAATTCTCCATTATTGATCTGGTAACTCTGAAAAAGGTACATTTTATCACATCCATTTTTTGGATGTAAGAAATTGTATGGACTAAACAAAAAACAAAAAAGAACCCAACCACCCCCCCCCAAAAAACACACAAAAAAGAGACTGTAAGGATTATATAGATCTAATATAGCCGCTGCTTTTTCCTGACTCCAAACATCCAGTTTCTCTTTGTGTTCTGTTCTTAATTTCCCAAAGTGAAAATCAAAAATGGACATTCCCATTTTAGCTGTCTGCCTGGCCTCTGAAATGCCCACTTAGATGTTTTAAAGCATTCTGCTTCACCCTAATAGCTTAGGAAAAGCAAATCAGCAAAGGTAATGTAACATTTTTCTAGGTCTGTCAGCATCCTGCCAAGAAATGGATGAGTCACACGAGAACTTTAATTCCTCTGCTGCCGTGGGAACCTGTGTTAGCAAACTCCAGATTTCCTCCAGCCTGGGCAATGGAGCATGACCAGGTCCTGAATTAAAATTTCCCTGAGCTGGTACAACCACACTGCTCAGTGAAGTGCTGCACAGAGACTCCTTCAGGCCTGGAGCTGTTCCATAATTGTCCCTGAGTTAACACTTGCTGACCCCCAGCTTTGCCTTCTCCTGTTGTTGCTTCCCTTCTGTTTCCAAACCTGGCCTGGCCAGCAGCACCTCCAGGACCCCTGTCACATGCTGGCCTGCCTCAAAACAGTGAATTAACCATTAACCTGTAGGGAATGGCCACTTTCCTGACTCACTGGTTCGGATTAGAAAAGACCTTCTGCTGTTAGCAATTGCTCTCTAATGGCTGTCAACGAGAATTTCCATGGTCAAGGTGAGTTTCAAGAGTTGAACGTTGCAGATGTGAGCATCTGCATCTAACACTGGACTTCAATCACCAGTGCAAACCTGGGGCATGAAACACCTGAGCCTTCATTTCTTCTACAGTATGTTGTCAGCTGTGACTGAATTGAAAAACTGAAATGTATGCCAAGACTATTCAGTGTGCTTTGTTGCAGGATCAAATTAAATAGGAAAAAAAAAAAGAAACCAGAACAAAAAAAATTCCCCAAAACATTACACAGAAGACACAGTAGGTTTAACTACATGGCTGCAAAAGCAACACTGTTTAAAGATCAAAATCACTTAAAAAAAAAAAAAAAGTGGTTCAGGTGACTTAAAAAAAATTAAAATATATAATCAATTACCTCCAGTAGCTCATTTTGCTCCTTAGTAATTTTTTCTAATTTCTTCAGTTCTCTCAAGAGCTGTCTTGCTCTTTGGAAGACTGAGAAAGGTTGCATTTTCAGCCCTGGCAGCTGAAGAGCATCTTCATAGGACTGAATATGAACAATAGTTTTCTGCATGGGAGCAACATGCTCCAGTATAACCTGTCAGGATAGAACAGAGATGATGCATGTGATACTGAGTTAGAAAACACTTGAGTTCTCTGTGGGCATATTCTCAACAGTGCTTTAATTTCAAGTGTTTTGTGTTCAAACCATGACTGTGCTTCTTGAAAAGGTCTCTTAACAATCTCACCTCGGGGTTTACAGTGATCAGGAAAAAAAGCCTATATAGGAGTTTTCACAGACCTGTCCATGTTTAAGTTGGTCTTTAGGAGAAAATTCCAACAGATCTTCTGATGACAGGATTGTCTTCATTTCTGCAACATCCTTCTCAAACACTTTCACATGAGATTCAATGGCATCCAACTCCTAGATTTTGGGAAAAGAGAGTATTTGTAGGTAGTCCCAACACCAAAGCCAACTTGCATTTTGGTCTTTCACTTAAATTTAAGAAGAAATACTGAAAAATGACTGCAGCATATGCAGGATATGTTAACAGATGTTATCTATCAAAAGGCTGGTTTTTATAAATTACTTTTAGTCATAACTTCTAAAGGAATTAGGTATTCAAGATCATCTGGTCTGTTTTAAACCCCAAATATAGAACTGAAATATCCTTAAAAATTCACATTATAAATTAGCAGTAGTGAGAAGAGAGTTTTCCAGTCTGTGATAGTTATCAGAATAGGAAAATGCTGCCATTACATTGTTGCAGCTTCCAGTAGGAAGTGACTTATGTCAGATGGAAAAAGAATCTGCAGACAGCTGTTTCTGAACTCTCACAGGGACAGTCACAGAGTAGATTAGGCTGGAAGGGATCCTGAAAGGTCTCTGGTACCCATTAAACCAGGGCACTTGGGGTCTGATCCTATTGAGATTTAGGTATCTCTTGAGGTGGGACTATTACTCCTGCTTGGAGCTCCTGATCTAGTGTTTGACCAAATTCACTGCAAAAAAAAAATTAAACTCCTTCCTACACTTGAGGTCTGCTACTGCTCATCTTTTTGCTGTCATCCCAAGAAAAACCTGGCCCAATCCTGTCTGTAATCCCAGCTTCTCACCCTCAAGCTTCTCTGGGCTGAACCGACCCAGGCTCCCAGCCTTTCCTCCTACATCCTGTGCTAATCCTGAAATTTACAGCTTAATAAGTTACCAAATGCCTTCTGATGGTTTGTTTCCAAACAATTAATTTCCTCACTTGGCACACTTACAAAAACCAGCACTACACCCTGTTTTCCATGCAGGCAATATAATCTGCATTTCCTAACATATGATGAAGCTCTGATAAAAGGCACTTATGGGTCACCCAGACTTACATCAGCCACATGCAGGATTTGTGGAAGAATCTCTGCTATCTCATGCTGTAAAGTTGTTACTTGAACATCTATTTCATTCAGCTGCTGCATTATACTGTCAGTTTCAAAGATGGGTGACAGCTCCTCCAGCTCCATGGAGATCCCGTGCAGAAGATTTTGCTTTTGCTCTGAGTCTTCCAAAGCCATCTGGAGACAAAACAGGAGCTTAGTTTGGTACATCACTGCTGAACATTAAATTCATGGAGGTAAGGATTAGAAGGAACAAAATGCTCCAAAAATCATCAGGCCAGTTGTGTGTGATGTGAAGTCTCTTCCCCTGCAATGAACTGGGTGAGCTTTTGGATTAAGTGCAGTGGACGCTGTCATGAAGAACAGCGAGGGCTGCAAGAAATGCACAAGATCCATTGTCTGGGTGGTGTGTGAAGGAAAGGACTGAATGCATGTTTCCACTCCAATGCAAACCCAGACTGCATTTCCAAATCCACTAGTTTCACAGCCCAGAACAAATAAAACATTCCATTTCACAAACACAAGCTTTTGCCACAAAAAACATTAATGGGTTTTAGAAATCACATTGTCCCCATTGTGGCTACATGATTTTGTAACATATCAGCCCAGAATGGCCAGCTACTTCCTGTCAAGAACTCTAGTCTTACTACAAAAATCTATGTTCAGAACAACTTTCTCATTTGGTCTAAGCCAAGGAGTGGATGCACAGAAAACTCGAATTTTAAGTACAAAATTGCCAGAATCTTTTTTTTTGCCACTGGCCCTGATCTTCCCTGTAATATTACAAACATTAGATTTTTGAAATTACCAATCAGAATTCCTTTCAAGAAACAGTGAGCACAGCCTTCCAAACCACAACTCACTTCAAAGTTTCCATCTAACACACAGCCATCAAAAAATAGAACTTCGCCTTTTTGGCTCACAAACAATATAGAAAGAATCCTACATATGCAGGCAGTAAAAACAAACCATAGCCACTCAGCAGGGTTACAAAAGACAATCACACATTTCTGGAAGTTGTACAACAGTTCAGCACTTGCACAAGATAGATATGTTCAGCACCAGAAACATCTGTATTTCCTGAGTGTCAACTATAACTACTTTTCCCTTAAAGGATTTACTGAAACTGGTCACTTTACTTATGTCAGTAACAATTAAGAATGGAAAACTGCATTTGTACAGAGCAACAAGTGCTAATAGAGCATTTATCTGCATCAGCTCTTACCTGGAGCTCATCAGTGTGCTTGTGTAAGCTTTTTGCAGAGTCATGCTGAGCATCAGCTCTTAGCAAACTGTTGGTGCTTTCTATCCAATCTTTCACATTTTTCAGGTGCTCCTCATATTCTTCCATCTTGTTGGTGGCCTAGGAAATTACAGAATTTTACAGAAAGTCCCAAGTTAATTGCTTCATGGTATAAGATAAATGCATCTATGAACTAGATTAAAAGAAAATCGGGTGCATTTGCATCACGGTCAGTTAAATTAGTATGGTGAAATAAAAACCATTTTTCTGAAACAGTTTTATTATTTCAGGCTATTCCCTCTCACCAAAATACTCTTGGTGCTTGCATGTTTACATTTCATGGGGGCATTGTCACAATTTACATGGCAATGGCACTTGAATAGACATCCCCTTGGCAGAGTCTGAGAGAACCACCTCAACTCTCACCCAGGGGCAAGAACTCCCCATACCAACCCTTTAACCATGGCTTGAACCATTGGGGCAGCCACTCCAGAAACCCCAGCTACATAAGCCTTGCCACAGCAGGCTAGTGACTCTACCCATCTGACAGCCTCTGATGATGTTCCATGCAAAGCCTTCACTCTGCTTTTTTTTTTTTTTTTTTTTTTTAAATGGGCTTGGATTTAAAAAAAAACTGTTCTATTTGCAGGCACCTTGTTGAGAATGGCAGTTCTGCGCTCAGCACGCTGTGAGACCTGCTGGTACTGCCTCAGGGGAGCCTCCAGGATATCCATCAGCTCCTGGGCCTGGCAGGAATTCTGCTCCACTATATCCTGCACCTCTGCATCCAGCTCGTTGAGTTTGTAATGCCAAAGGTCCAGCATATCCCAAATTTGCTGAATGTGGAGAGAAGGGAAATGAAACAGAAGGTCAGGCTCAAAGATAACAGCAGTGTTATTTGTTCTTCGTGTGGGACATGAACTGCAAAGGTTTCAGAACTGGTCTGATGAGAACAGAACACTTTGCATCTGCTGGTGTGATTCACAGTTGAAAAAAAGCATGGATTTTCCTGTGAGAAAGAATTGATAAATATGCACCAGCTAAATGCTTGCTTGTACTTCTTTTACAGACATAAGATGAATGGAAGACTACTTTATGCTAAACCAGGCTCTGTAAAAACAACCAAAAATCTTTTAACACCCACAGATTATATTTTCGGCAAGATTACCTTCTGAACTTCCTTGGCTTTTGCAATGTTTTCACTCTTCTGTTGTAACATCTTTTCAATAGCATGAAGGCCATTGTTAATAGTTTCTGCTTTTCTTTTCAGCACATACTGAGGAGAGTTCTGCAAGATTTCAGAGCTAACCTGCCAAAGCAAAGAGAAAACAATAGGGGAGATTACAAAAGATCTGCTTGTGGTTGTGCACCACCTCACCAAACATATTGAAATTCTTTTTGTTTCTCTTGACAAGTCAGTTAAAACCACTGGAATGGAGCTACATTTGCAGGGAGAAGCATTAACGTGAGCAGGTTCAACATCTAAACGTTGTTCACTCATTTGTTCTTGTTAAAAAATGCCTGGCTCAGAAAAGCAATCCCTGAGGAAACAAGCACTGAGGCACTGCAGCTCCCTGTGTGCTTTGCTTCAGTTTTCATGCTGCCTGGTGGGAAGGGTCACATTTGGATTTATTCTGTAAGAAACCCAGAATGACACCTTTATGTCTCAGATGGCAGCTGTGACTTCCACATAACAAATAAAGGAATATCAAAGTGCATCAATGCACAGCGAATTTCTCAATATAAACTTGGAGATTTATCACTAAAACAAAAAAGCTCTGTGGAACTTAATTTCACTCTGCAGGACTCCACAGAAATGAAAAATTGGTGCACTGGAGGGCCTGATTTTCTGTGTAAAGAGAAAAACTATCAAAGCTGAAGCTGAGTAATTGCCTGAGCACAGGACTGAGCAACACAGCATAAGCTACCAGGTAACTACAGACTAGATAACGTGCAGGGAGTGAAAAAGTCCTTGATCTTGCCCAAAAGTGACATCTTTCCTTACTAAACCCTGCTGGCTGCCAGGGTCAGCCAAGCACCTGGAAATCATTAAATTGTGGTAAATTCTTTGTGTGCTGCAGCCCTAGGATTTAGGGGGCAAATGGACACTGAACAGTTTCATGCTGCCTTGATGCTAAAGATTTTTAATTTAATAGTTATTTTAGTTTGAAGCTCCTAGTACTAAAATACTTTATCCTTGTTGTGGGATGAGGAATTGAAACTATTTTTAGTTAATAAATTATCAACTTGTTTCTTGATTTTATTAACATCATTTATAGATTCCAACACAACCTCTCTAAAAAGTACCCGCAGTCCAATGTTGTATTGATTAAATTTCATTAATCAAAATAAATATATTCAGAAAGAACTAGAGGGCTCCTCTGAAATACTCCTGCTTATACCACTAAACTTGTGAAGTCAGTCTGTACTTAGTGCCTAAGACTTCTTAGAAAAAGGAATTCAGGCTGTAATCACTGAACACTTGACCATACTACTATCCTGGAATTCACCAAACATGGGAAATTGTTGGTAACTGTAGTGCCAGCTTCCAAAATAAACGAGAATCATGTATGAGTGATGTGACACAGCTGGAAACGAGTAAACAGACTGAGCTCTGACTTCATCTGTTTCATCAGCACAAAAACACTGCATCTGTCAATGCTCTGGTCATTAGCAAAGCAGGATTTTAATTTCAAGACTTCTTACTGGGATAAAATTTATTATTTATGGCATCAAATGTACAATTTATTCTCATTTTTTGGTTTGCAGATTTAGAAGAAAGCAGAATGACATTAAAATACGACAACTCAATTTAACACATGCTGGTATCTCCTAATAGGTAACTTAACTGACCTGCAGTTCCACCATTTATTTTGTTTCCTAAATGCATTTTGAAAAATTCCAAGGTAGTTTATATGGTTTTCCAATACCTAAATGTGAAAAGCAAATGTTATCTAGCTTCCAGGACCAGTTCTTTCACTCCTATAGGTAATAATGTGTGCTTTGGGATAACCTTTTATATCTTGGTAAATGAAACAGTAAACAACAAAAAAATCCCAAAGCATAAATACTGTTTTGCTTTCCTTCTCTTCTCTCCTCCCAGTTGGTGATTCTGAAAGGACTACTCTCATTTTGAAACATAAACTATAAAGTTAACCAAATTAAAACTCTTAAGCTTTAGTTATAATGCTGCCAAATATTTTATGTAAGATAAATGAGTAATTTGATAGACACTAAAAAGTAACTGGATTTCAAAACTGTTCTATTAAACTTTCAAATTTGATCAAATTAACCGAGATTTAACCTTAAAAGTTAGCATTGAACATTATTATTTCTGAATATGAGAACTGAAAGGGTTTTTTTTCTCATTTTTAAAATAACACAAATGAGTAAGCAACGATGGTATTTGTATCAGGCTAAAAATTTGACCCCAAACAGAGTAATACTCCATTTTCCCTTAATTTTGCTTTCAGCTAACTGCTTATATCCCTTGTAGATAGAATATATTGCAAAAAACTGATGCAATGGGACTTAGTTATTTAAATTTCCCTGATTTTAAAGGAAGGCGACCATGTTCTCAGAGGTGGTAAAAAGAACCATGTCACGATACCCTACCACGTGTGCAAATTACACTTAAAAAAAAAAAATCCTATTTCAAAGTCCTTTTTTAACCTAGTTCTGAAAATAGTTTCTCATTTAAGTTGTGCAAACTTTGCAATCAACTTTGACTACTCGTTCCCAGTTTAAGAATCAGATTGAATAGAAGACAGCATCCAAATCACATGAAAAAATATTGCTAAAGATTCTGCCATGTCCATTTATAATAAAAAATAAAAATGTTATATCCACACTGCTTACCATAAGATTATTCTAAAAAGAGATCTAGGCATGAGGAATGATTTATACATTTCAAATTGATCAATATGAAAACCACATCAGCAGTTACCTTCTCTTCTAGGTCTTGCAATACTTTCTTGCAGTCCTCCAGCTGTGTTTCGATCTCTGCAGGGACTATTGTGTACATTTCAGAATACTTGATCCGAAGTTTCTCCATGATATCCTCCAGAGCTTGACTCTCTCTGGCAATCACACTCTGAAGCTCCTACAAAATTAAGAATAACTTCAGCAGTTTTACCCAGTTTTTACTGAGTGCACGTGTGTAAATGTAAATATATGTGTATATACACACACACATAATGTATTGTATATTTCCTCCATGATTATGGTTTGGAAAAATTTGGTTTGGGGTATCAAACTTGATTTGATTACCTCTGCAAGCAGATAAACTCGAAGCAATACTGACTCATTTAATGAAATGATGCTTTTCAATCTGTAAGAATTAATTAAACCTGATACTGCTCCATGTTGGGGAAATGACGTTCACGGCAGCCACCATCTGAAGAGCTCCTCTGACTAAATGTTAACCTTGGTGCTCTCCCTTTTGCCAAAAGTGCATTCTTCCCTTTGAAAGAGTTAAATAGCCAACGTCCATCCCTTCATTATTATAAACAACACAAAGGCCACAAAAAGCAACAGGTTTCAGGCTGAAGTGTCTGCTTTCAGGCAATTATGCAGAGCAGCACAGCAGGCTCCTCTCACAACAGTAGCTTCCAGTTCTGCACGAAGAATGCAGGTTTTATGAGATAAAAGAAACTTGACCAACTGTCTACAGCCTGTGGCCTAGAAATAAAATCCGAGTCAAGTCCTTCTGCAGAAAGAATGAAGAAATTCATTTGTTTGGAAGGTTTTCTACAGTTTCAAGTTGGAAGGTTCTGTTTGCTGGCTTTATGGTTCCTTTCCCCAGTGCTCAGCTGTTTGAGAAACTCAAATGTTAACTCAAGTTATTGAGAAAAATTATCTAAACCACCTGCGAGGCAATGAAAGGCACTAGAATTAACTGCCTTTGCTTTTTCAATTAGGAGTAATGGTAAGCCACTAGTTCAAAGTCTTCACTTGGGAATCTTTTCCTTCACACAAATGCAACAGAATATATATGTAAAACACTGAGACTGATTTATTTCCTGCCATCCCACAACAACTGGATCTGGTATTAAAAAAACCTCAAACTCTCAAAACCACAAAACAGCTGTGTGCCCCATTCTCTCAGGGAAAAGGCTGCTGTGGTCAAATGGCCCAATTAAGATTGTGCCAACATTTATGAGAGTTCACAGATTCCCTGAGCTGAACTGGAAAGAATCAGTTACAGCTCTCATCTCCAAAACAAAGCATGTCTCTGCAAACTGGTTTTTGTGTATTACTGCATGTTTCACATTTCACAGATTATTTAGCTGGAAAGCAGGTACCTATCAAAACTGTCCCGATTTTTTTCCCAAGGTTTGAGATAATAACACCTCCCCTTTTCATCTGTGTGGGTGAATTTAAAACTTTTGCCACCTAGCTTAATCAGGTTTGTCATCTCAAAATGAAATAGGTATTTCCACTCAATAGGTGCAGTGGAGTCCTGACTAATGCTATAGATCTCACAGGAATTAGATTTTCTTTGGAAGTAAGGGATGAAATTACCCTGCAGATTTTGGCTCACTGGTGTTTGGACTATGTAAAATTAATGAGTTCTTCAATCCTTTCAGCTCAATCTTCTCGAAAGGAATAGGCCTGCTGTGACATACTGCTAAAAAGAGATCATTTCATGGATGATCATTTTGATCATTTGATGATCATTTGATTTGATCATTTGATTTGATTGATGCTAGCATCTGCTTGTGCCATTGCTGTCAGAAACAGGAACAAGGTCTAAACTCGCTTTTGGGTGAGTTTTAGGTGCTTGGATTATCAAAATTCGGATGTGAGGGAAAAGAGCAGACATAAAGCAGTAGTAAAATTTCCTTCTGGATACAAAGAACTCAGTAAAAAAACCAGACACAACTCTAAATTCTAATTCTAATTAATTTTAAATATAAAACCAGCCCTTTTAGACAAATCCAAGGTCTCACCACAGCAATGCTGGCTTATGGGTTTTCAGAACTTCCTAAACATGTAATAAACATTTCTCTGTCATGCTAACCCCCCATCTGCCACCATGGTCTTTGGCTTCTCTATTTTTCCTAGACCTTTGCTAGGCTGGGGATACCCAACCAGTTTTTATACAAGACTCAGCAAAGAGAGTCCAAATTTGTACTACATTTTAGTGGACTAAAATAAATAAAGTTTTATGGCTAAGAAATAATTGCATTAAATATTATTAAAAATAATATTTGATCAAGACTTTAAAGTTATGATATCAAAATAAATGCAGTAAGAGTAATTTGAAACAAATAATTCAAATGATAGCTAAATAAACACGTTCAGAAAAGTGTTAGGAATAATGTATCATAAAATCAAGAAATGCAGAAATCTACAGACTGCTGATGGCTGCTGGTGGACATTGAAGTTCTGATCACAATTTGATTTTTCAAAATAATTTACCAAGTTAACTTCCAATTTGGAACAGCAAGTCCAGAGCACCTGGAACTGCCCTGGGTAGGTATGCAGAGGGGAAAGCAGGCAGGGTGTACATTAAGCAGCCCTTTCTAAAAGGAATGGAGCTGGCTGTGAATTTCTCTGCTACCTGAAAATCCTCCTGTGCCTGCATAGATGCCCACAGAGGGAAAGGAACACAAACCAAGGCCATGGCAGGGCCAGTTGTATTCTGCTGAGCCAGAGTCATTATCTTTAAGTCAATGTGAATAGACCTTGCCATTAATTGTATCTGGAGCAAGTTCCAGCACCAGCATAAACCAGGACATATTCTGAACACATGAACAATAACAGAGCTGTTACCAACCTCCAGCTGTTCTGCCTTTCCATCAGCATCCTGCAATAACACAGATGCAGCATTCTGTAATGCATTTGTCACAGCACTTATTTCTTCAGTGACCTTGTTCCTCTCTTGAATCTCAGCTTTCACAGAATCTTTATGGTCTTGAGCTTTTTTGTACAACCTATGCAAGATTACCAGAAAGAATATATTTAGACTCTACACTAAGCAGAAGCAAAGAAAATGCTTAATACAGATATTATGTAGGTATATATCCAGAACCATGTTTGTCTGTAATTTAGGGTTTTTTCTGTTATTAAATCTGTGAGTTTTAGTGTCACTTATTATCTCAGTTTCTTTAAAGTCAGATCCTCAGATAGTGCTATTTGCTAGACCAAAGCAGAGATCAGTCTGAAGATGCTGGCAGAGCAGGCATTGTTCACAAAGATTACCATGTCCAAAAGCAAACCCAGAGAAGGGTGAATACAATCATCAGATTTGTAAAAAATACTTGAAGAGAATTTTAGACAGTGGCACTCAGTAAGATGAAAGTTGCATTGTTGCAAAAAGCACAAGGTCTGATTTTCCTGAAAGCAGAAAATCTTTAAATTCACAAGCACAACCTCTAAAACTGACTATTGTTCCTTGATTCCTACTGCATTTGAACACAAATTGCAGCTTAGAAATTATATGGCCAGGCTCAGGTCTTCTTAATAATATTCCCCAAGGCCCATACTGGAGACAGCAGATGGGTGAGACGGAGCATTGGTCTGACCCAGGAGAGCATTTATTGTCTTTTACACTCCACTACAGCTTTTATATCTTATTTGATATCCAATAAAATCCTGTGCTTGTGAATAGTCCTATCTGAGATCTCCAACAGAAATTTCACACCACTTACTTTTTACAGCGCTCTTGCATTGCCTTTATCTCACACAAGGCAGGAAGGGCAGCTTCTCCCTCAGCATTTTCAGGTGTATTCAGGATGTTTCTTATCCGATGAAGAAGCAAGAGTAAGAGGAGCTGCTGCTGGTTGATGTTTTCTTCAAATGAGTTCACAAAATCAAGTAACTCCACCAGCTCCTCTCTGGTGGCCTTTTCCTTCTCTTTAAGGCTTTCTGGCTGCTCTTCCTGGAGCTTATCGAGAATTATTGTTTCTCGTTCCAGCTAAGTAAACACCATGGCAAAGCATGAGATAAAGTGTTTTTTTATTCCACCATCTGAAGTTACATTATTCATTTACTTACACGGGTGACTAAGTACTGGGAATTACACAGTCAGAACTTGAACCTTTGAAGTGTGACAAAACCTCTGAGTTTGCTTTAACAAAGCACATAAACCTGTGCAGAGGTGCTCTGGGTTCATAGGACTGAATAAATATCCTCATGATTTCTGACTCTGGGTTCTAGAATGGATGGGGGTAGCTGAGCAGCAGGTGGGAAATGATGTTCTGCCCTGATCTCAGCCCTTTGCAGGTCATTTTACTCACAGCCCCATCTCCACCCCCAGACTTACAGATGTTGGGCAACTCACCTCTTCATTGATGAATTTCCATTCCTGCTTTAATTCTTCACAGGTAATTTCCAGCCCTTTGGCAGCCTCAAGTAAACCCAGCCAGTTTTCCCATAGCACTGTTACAATCCTGCCCAGAGCCCTGTCACTTCCTCTGCATAATCTCATCATCTCTCCAGAGATCTGCCTCAGCTTCACCAGATCCTCTTCAGCAGAGTCGATGCTGGAGACTAAAATCTTACAAGAAAAACAAACACATCAATAAATAAAATGCTACAGTCAGGAGTATTAATGAAGTATTCAGTAATTCAGTGATTAGGATTCTCTAGGAAAATGGCAATCACTCCACTGAGCTGGTAAAATATGGTCATAATGAGGGAGTTCTGTTGGCCAAGACTGTGGAGAAAGATGGAGTAAATAAAACGTCTCATTTCTACAGCAGTAAGATAGACTCATTTTACATGGTCAATTACACCTGGTCTTCAACAAGTACATAAAAATATTAATATATTCTGTGGTTTTATAGATAGATAAATATAGGATAAAGAATCCCACTTCTTTCTACTATGATGTCACATGGTATGCATAGCTGCATTAGTTTTTAATGAGCTTTTCAAGTTCTTCACAGTCTTTCTTACCTTGCTTTCTTCCAAATGCTCCAAAGCTTCTTTATAAGACATTGGAATCTTAGACAAAGATTGTCTAAGCATCTTTTCCAATTTCTTAAGATTATCACACACTTTATCTTTGGTTTCTGTGTAGCTTTTGTGTTTTTCAAAATACCTGCATGAAACAATGAATGGATCAATTAAAGTTCGTGGTTGTTGTTCCTCTCTCCAACCGTAACACCCAACAGAATAAAAGTTTTATAAAAACCTTTTGAACTACTAGTCATGAGTGTTCTGCAAGTTATTGCCAATTAGCATTTGATAAATACTTCAAGTTTGATACCTGAGGTGTTGATCACTGGATCATGATCAAGCAGTTCAAAAATCCTATACTCACTCTCCCAAATATTTTCTATACATGTATCTGAAGGCCCTCCAGATTTCTTCTGTAGCTGAAGGAAGGAAACCACAGCCTGTGCCTTGTTTGGGCTTTACTTTCCCAAGCCATCAGAACAGCCTATGAAGACATGAATTAGGGACACTCTGAAAACTATTCTAACCTCCACCAGATTCTGGCACCCTATGAGCCTCACTCAAGCTCCACATTTTGAAGAAATGACTGCACTGTAAATTAGTAGCAATATGGTTATTGTCTGGCAATTTTCCATTCTTAATAATCACACCTGAGGACAACAAGAATACTTACACCCTTCTTTTTGCTGGAATTTCTGAATAACTGAAATTCTATCAGAGCAGAAGTGGCACTGGATTTCTTCTCAGTCAAGTTTCTCACAATAAGGAACAAGATCTATGAAGATCTCTTAAACTCACCTCTGTTCATCAGCTTCCTTTCTTTGAGCCTTCTTCCTTAGTGCCAAACTCTTTTCCATCAGTTCTCTTAAATCATTTTCCAGACATACTTTGTCTTCTGGCTTCACTAGGTCCTTCAGCTTGGAGTGCAGGTTTTCTAAGTCAGCCTTTGCAGAGTTGAACTCTTCCCAGTGTGGAGTCTGACAGATCTCCACGGAGCCACAGAGCTCTGCTGTAGCCTGGGCTGGAGCTTCACATTCCTCCAGGAACCTGGAAGCCCTCTGAAGGGCCTTGGTGTAAAGCTCACCAGCCTTACATGCCTCCTCCAGGGCATTCTAAAAGCATTAAAAAGAGAAAGGAACAATAAAATAAGCAATAAAATAAGGAGCTGCTGTGCTCCTCTGGATCACCACATGGTCTTAGAATTTCACATCTGGCTGTGTTTGAGACCAATGCTGCCAGAACTGGCCTGAGGAGGTGAGGGAGGACATGTGGCAAACATATTTGCTACTTATGTAGTCACAGAGCAGTGCTGTAAGCCCATGTATTTATTGCCCTGAGGACAGGAATTATGTTCACCACTCCTGGTCACATTGGTTTGACCTGTGCTTTAATCTTCTTGATCATTCCCAACCAGTAAAGCTTCTCTTTATAGCAGAAACCAGGTGCTTGGATTTTTTTATCATTGTCACTATTGAAAATGTTGCCTATAATCACAAAATGACTGCACCCAGTCTCTTTTCCATTTTTTCTTGTGCTAATCCCCACTGATTGCTTATAATCAAACTGAACACAACTTTCTTTGTTTCCTTAGTTTCTGTCATGATTACCATCCTATCCAACAATGCAGAGATGATCACAGGCCAATTCAGCTGTTAGAATAAACGAGGATGTGAGTCATGAAAATAAAAATGCCACAGTCACAGACACCTAATCTAATTATTGAGGAAAGACATATGTCAATACTTCACTTTCATTAAATATACTTACAACACGGGCAGCAATGTCTGCCTTCAGTTGTGCTTCATGGCCTTGCAGTGTCTCTATTTCTACAGCAGCAGCAGGAGATTTCTCTTGTTTTTCCCTCTCTTTTTCCATTATACATTTAAGAGCAGAAAACTTTCCTTCCATCATATTCTGAATTGCCTCCCATCGCAGCTTTTTATCCTGCATTGTATTTATGTCTATCACAAGTGGCTGCTGGAGTTCTAATTGAATATGCTTTATGATGTGGAATATATTTTCTACTTCATTCTGGCTACCTTCCTTGTTTACACTCTGTAGCCCAGAGACCAAGTTTTGAAGAAACTGCTTCAATTCCTCAACATTTTTCTCCAGGCCCTTTATTTCTTTCCTCTTAGATTCTTTGAATGATTTATCAAAGACCTCATTTTTGTTTATTTGATTTGCTGCCTCCTGGGTTAAGTACAAGACTTGTTGAACTGTCTGCAATAGAATCTGTGCAGATATGACATTCTCAGCAGGAGAAGAGCTGGAGCTATCATTTAGGATATTAGCTTCTTTTCTTACAGTGGATGTCAGAGTCTGGATTTCATTTAGCAATCTTTGAATCTTATCCCATTCCCTAGCAATATTTTCCAAGTGTATTATTTTCCCTTTAATTTTATTTTTAATTTTAGAAAATTTAGTTTGCCATTCATCCAGCTGCAGTGAGTCCCATTTCAGACCTACACATTCAAATATTTCCTTGTACTTCATTACTTGTGACAAACTTGACTGAAAAGCTAACACTTTTTCTTTCAGTGCTTTGCATTTGTCCTTCAATCCCTGCTTGGCACCTACTGATTCATCATCTTTCAGGCTCATTTCACCATCCTGCAGGTCATCAAGATCCTGCTGCAATGAAGCTATTCCTTCAGCAAACTCTCTGGAGACAGCTGTCTTTTGTTCTACTTCATGAAGTTTACTTTGAATTTGCCTCTGTGTCTTCCTTGCTCTATTCTTCAGACTTCTTAACTGATCAATCAAGAATAGTTGTTCAGACAGGCTCAGCTGCCCAGCTGTGACCTGACTCTCTTTACAGTGGGATGAGATCAGCCCTTCTATTTCCTGTATGTCCTTTAGCATCTCCTTTAGAATGGCTTGTTGGCTGACCAGCTCTGAGCACGTGCTGGTTTGGTTTGGGTCAGGCCTGGCCATCAGCTCGGCTTTGCAAAGCTGAGAGTGAACTTTGTCTATTTCTGCCGTGAGCCTTTGCCTCTCCTCCAGCTGGAGCTCCAAGTGCTGCAGTCTTTGAGCAGATTTTAAAACAAGAGCCTTGTATGAATTCTTCAGTGTTTGTAAAAGGAAGGTGATATCAGAGACCTCCTCTGGCTCCAAGCTGGGAAGGATGTGCTGGAGCCCATAATCCAGGGATACAATCACAGGCTCTCTGTTTAGGATGTCTGTGTTCATAAGCTGACAATTTCTGATCTGTGATTTGACATCACTGGGGAAAAGTGCTGCTTTCTGATCAAGGTGGGACAGTGAATCTTTCACCCAGGAAATATTTTCTTTCAGCCTCTTCATCATTTCATGTTTCATGAGAGCAGGACCAGTGGTCTGAATATCCTCTTGAGGAGTTTGTTGTGCTGACAATGCTTCCAATTTGCTCTGCAAATCATGAATAGAGTTCTCCAAAGTGACCTTCTCTTGATCACTCCAAATTCTTTTCATCTGCAGCTCAATCTTTCTTTTTAGTAGAGAAAGACCATGTTTAATGTCCTGTAGCTCTGTGGTCCAAATCAGAGGATCCTTGGCTTTTCCTGCAGCTGAGGAATGTAACTCTGCTTGCAAATACTGTTCTTGTATCAGCCTCTGAATATCCCGTGCTTTATTCATAAGCAGGTTAAATTCATCGATTTCTGCCACAACCTGATCATGTTTCTTTTGTACTGCTTGTTCCATGTGCTGCCACCAGTGCTCCAGCTGCCTCATTTGGCTCTCTGTCAACACTTTATCCATGCATGTCAAATGCTGAGATAAAACTTCTTGCTGACTTTGCAACTGGTTTAAGACATCTCTTTCTTTTCGTAAGGACTCTATGCATGCCTTAATTTTCTCCAGAAGAACTGTGTTGTTCATAGGACCCCTGCCAAACACATGAGTAATGTTTAAAAATAATGAATTCTCCTTACACATAGACATTTTAAGAACTAATTTCACTGTTTACAGCATAATTCACTAACTTTATTCCCTTAATCACATGCATCTCTCAATGTTCTCTTAGGAATTCCCTAACCACCTTTGCAGTATCTTTATTTCTTACTCATCTGTAAAGCATCCACTATTCAAAGATATCTGTGCAAAAAATATACGTTCTACTGTATATTCTCTAAAACTACAGTGTCTACTAATATAGAATGTATCCCTTGTTTTAAAAACCTGCAACAATGTTATGTCATCTCTAAGGGAATTAACAACATTTTATAGCAATTTCTGGTTGACAATGAGAATAAAAGTTGGTTATAAAAAAACAGTGAAATTTCCATTCATGTAAGGTAAACTCTTCCAAATTAATCTACTCATCTTTTATTTCCAGGAGTTTTTTTAAATGCCCATCTAAAACAAATTTAGTAGGTAGATTTTTACTACATTTTTAAAATCTCTTTGCTGTAAATTCACAATTTCGTAAGTTTTAAATGTTTTCATATTATTTTGGTACATTGCCATGACAAACTAGCTCTGTGTTTTGAAGAATAATTCACAAAACATAGAAAATATTTTATGTGCATTGGTTACCTCTGATTTGGTAATGCAGCCTCATTGCCATAGAATTTTTTCTATCAAGTATGGTTAGTTTTCAGAATAAAGAGGTATTTCATTCAGAAAAAAACCTATAATTAACGTGTCCATAAAGAAAAATGAGCTTTTCACGTGTCACATTTTTAAAAAATTATTTTAAGATGGATTTTTTATAGGTTTTTAGCCCAGCAACTACTTTGTTTTGCCTAAAGAACAAAGAGAGTAGATGTTGTTTAAGGATAGCAGAGAGTCACCAGAAATTCTTCTGCTTAACTCTGTTCACAGACTTACAAACCTCTAAGACTTCTCTTGAAGTGGATGTAACTCCATATCCTTGTCTGAGCATTACTGAAGCATGTCACTAAATTCAGTGTAGAACCATATTTGCCCTGCAACCTCTTAACCAAACCCCTCCACTCTACTTACATTTTTATGTTATCTTTTTCTGTTGACAAATTTTTCATGGAGGACTGTGCAGCAGAAAGACTTTTCTGGTATTCATTAATTAAACAGCACTGTTGTTGCTTCACTGCCTTAACAGCTTCCAGTTCCTGGAGCAGCCTGTCCCAGCAGGGCACCACAGGATCTGTGGTTTGCACCTCTGCTGCATTTGATCCTGTTCCATTGGGAATTGCTTCTTCACTATGGCACAGAGATTTTGCTTTCCACGTTTCCAGCTCAGTTTTTAAACTCTACAATCAAGTCCACCACAGAGAGAGAGAAGGATTAAAGGATGATCTTGAAGACTCTCAGCTTTCAACACAAAATACAGATAAATAAGGATTCACCTACAAGCGTTTTGCTGCTCATCCACAAGCAAAGGAGCACATCATGGAAGCAATTCCAGGTGTAACTATCACTGCACTCTGGAAGAGCACTACAAACTATGGGATTTACATGGGCATGCATCAAGGCATGGTGTTTGCAGACAAACTGACTAATTGTGCAGTTAAAACTCAGATAAGGCTATGGGTGACAGTTTTGGTTTGCCCAAGCGAATTGCAGTTCTGCAAGTGTATCACTGCATTAAAAGTGAGGAATGGCTTTGCAGTTTCCATACCTCCAGCTCTTTTAGTTGTTCATTTATAAGCACCATATCCAGTTCAGCCACTTCATTTTTCAGCTCATTGACCTTTTGTTCCTCTTCAAAATATTCACTGTTTATTTGCACTCTGGGAAATAGTTCCTTCTGGACAACCACTTCAGTGCATGTGTCCTACAACAAAAAACCAAGATTCTTATTTCTGAAGGGTCTAAACCAGTAAGTTTTCTGACTGCAGCACTTTGCTTCACGTGTTTAAGCCATGCTGTGTAACCTGTTGTAAACCTGCTGTGGTTTCCCCCACAGCCTCTGTGGGGGAACCAGGATCCAGAAACTGGTAACTCTGTCCCCTACCCCTGCAGTCACCCCTTCGTGTCAGCACAGCTCAGACAGCCTTGAAATCTCTGCCCATCATTTCAAGTGAAACTCCGACATCCTCACCTTGAAATAACATCCTCCCTGCACCCACCTCTGCTGCTGATTAATTCACAGGTCTGTTGTGTCTTCTCCCTCTTCTCCTTACATATTCATGAACTTTATCCTCTCCTCACACCCACATTGCTTCTGCCCAGCACCTGCCCTGACAATACTGCTGTGTCCTTCACCAGGACACCTCTGCAGCTCTTCACAGGGCAGCTCATGCATGAAGCAGCTGGGCTGTGACACAAAGCCATGGCTGCCACTGTCACAAGTGCTATCCAAGATCTGGGGTAAGATGAGAGCAGCAGGGAGTCATGTCTCAATCAGGGTGGGGAGGGATTAGGAGGCTCCAGAGCCAGTCCCTGGCACTGCCTCTGATTCCCACGACAGAAGGACAAGTCACTTGGGCTGGGGCCAGCTTTAACATCACCTTCAGCCATTGCAGACAGCATCATAAATGAAATATCACAGGCTGGTTGGATCATTTGATGATTGCTTAAAAATCTTCCTGCATTTCCCTTTTCCTACTGCCTATCTGATCTGTTCCATGTATAAAATTCCTATGAGTGAATGCATACAAATACACAGACATTACTGCAGTGTGAGCTTCTTCGTGGTACTAACATCAAAAATCAGCAACAGTAAAATAATTTTGTCTGATAAACTTCGTGTATTACTACTTTAGACACTGTTTTACTAGAAGCAGCCAGATATTACTGTAAGCTGTTGTTGTCATCTGTCCCTTAGTGGATCATGAGCTACACAAAATCTACCTGCTTTCAAGTGTGGGAGACATACAGCACACAGCACCCATCATCAAAGAATAGTTCTCTTTATTTGAACTCTAGGTTATTTTCAGTCAAAACTGAAGAGGACACTCATAAAGTAGTCAGTTGGAGAACTTTTCAATTTCTCTGTGTACATATCCATAACAGTTGTAGCAATTCAGACACAAGATTTAATCTCAAAAGACACTGGAGTGCCATAGAACTGAAGTAAACATTAAAACTCAGCTAAGCTATCACACAGAAAGGAGGAAATCCACTTTACCAGATTGAAATATCAACACATCAAAAGACACAGACAAGTGTCCTGACTTTCAGAAAAACCTTTCTGTGTACTTGTTTTGCTTGTTTGTGTGATGTTCTCATTGCACACTGTGGCACTGCCTCCATGGATACAGACAGGGGAGGCTGCACCTCAGATCCTGTGTCCAGTTTCAGACCCCTCACTACATGAAAGACCTTGAGGTGCTGGAGTGTGTCCAGAGAAGGGCAATGGAGCTGGGGAAGGGTCTGGAGCACAAGTCTGGGGTTGTTTAGCCTGGAGAAAAGGAGGCTCAGAGGAGACCTTATCACTCTTTACAACTCCCTGAAAGGAGGGTGTAATCTTTTTTGTCAGGTAACAAGTTACAGAAGAGGAGGAAATGGCCTCAAGCTCTGCCAGTGGAGGTTTGGATTGGAATTAAGGAAAGATTCCTTCACTGAAAGGGTGGTAAGGCACTGGAACAGGCTGCCCAGGGCAGTGCTGGGTCACCACACCTGGAGGAGTTTAAAAGACGTGTACCTGTGGCACTTGGTGACATGGTTTAGTGGTGAGCTTGGTAGTGCTGGATCAATGGTTGGACTTGATGGTCTCAGAAATCTTTTTCTACCTAAATGATTCTGTGATGATTGCATAGTTCCTTAAATGCTTTCCAATAGTACCCACCACAACCTCCATAATGTTTCCAATAACTGAGGTTAGTCTAACAAGTCTGGAGTTTACTGGATCTTCCCTCACACCCTTTTCATAAATCGAAATAACACTGCTAGCTTCCAGTGAGCAAGGACTTCTTCATAGTCCCAAGACCCTTGGGAGACTCTGTTGGGCTTCCAGTGAAGGCCCAGGTAAGACCTGCCCATGGACAGGCCAGCTGTGGACCTACCTACAGACTCACCATGAAGATCAGATATAGTCCTGCCTTCAATTTGAGAATGTGGGCTCCAAGATCAGCAGTCACAGGGCACTTGTGACATAAATCCTTTACTCTTAAAGAAGAGTAGACTTAGTAAAGTCATTTAGTAATGTAACTTGTCATTAATTCAGCTTGAATCTCTGCTCCTTTCTCTACTTTATTTCATTTATTTTCTTAAGCTTGATGGCCCTTGGATTTCAGTTTTCTGCTCTGCCTTCTTTATGGCAAAATTATTATAACTGATTGTAATAACATGGAAAGAAGTTTGTATTGATTAACAGTTTAAAGAGGAAGTCTAAATGTCATAAAGACTGATTATGATGGCTCTAAAAACAGGGTGAACTCTTTCTTTGAAAAGATCCACTGAAAATTATGATGTGGCAAGGACTTTGGATGAAGCTCAAAACTATCATGGACATAAATAAGAACTATACACAATGATCTTGATTTTGATGTGAGTAACTGTCTCTTCTTTTAAAACAACTTCAGCTGAGGCCCACGTGGAAACAAAAATTCAACAGCTGGCACATTTCACTTGAAATAACAGACTGTGGGTTACCTCATGTGCAGGAACTGGGGGATTTGATCCCAGACCATCTTTTTCAGCTGCTACAGATTCCAGGACTTGACCTTTCTGGCACAGCTTCTGTTGAACCTGCTCCCCATCTTCTCTATGTGTCTGATTCTCGACATCACTAGGTTCCTCCTTCTGCTGTAAGAAAAACAAAAGAAACCAGTAATCAAAAAACTCTAATCAAACCTGCTGGGTAGTAATTACAGTGCTTGAGATGAGAAAGCTATGAAGCCCATAATTATAGGTAGATGAGGAAAACCATAATTACACCTCACAATTTACTGTGAGCAAGGTAATAGCAAAGAAAACCACTTCCAAGAAGCAGTGCTGTAATTTTGTTATAAATTTTTAGAATAAATTGCGAGTGTTCTGACCTACGCTGTTCATATTTCATTATTCTAAGCAGGGACTTTGAATTGTGTGCTCCTGGACAAGTCTTAAATGCATTTTTTAAAGGTTTAGCTTTTTCCTGAGGACTTGCACTTGTACTGTACAGAGTGTCTGGTTAGACACCCAGGCAGGACAGTCCCGTGGGTGACCTGAAGATTTGCTGGATGTAGGTTTCAGTATCTCACAGAGTTTGCTAAAACTGGAATTCTGAGAAGAGTCTGGCTCTATAACACCTCTCCTCTTCAGGGAGGGGATGGCAGCAACAAGACCCCTGTCAGCCTTTTCATCTCCAACAGGAACTTGGCCTCTTCCCACTCATTATGGCTCCAGCTCCTAAACACTGCTCTGGGTGTCAAAATTCCCCTCAGACCAGAGTGCACCACACAGGGCACAGCATCTCAAACACAGCCTCACACATGCAAAGTACATATGTAAATAAGAAATCTATATAAATGAAAGCCAGTCGAGCACAACAACAGTATTCAGGAAAAATGGTCAGGAGACTTCAGAACACATCCAGGTGACTTGGAATGCAATATCCCTTGGAGTGATCCTCAGCTAACCACTAAAGAAAAAAATCTGCCTCTGGACTGATTTTAAACATCTGGGAAAGAATAAAGCATGTTACTACAAACTAATTATCACATCAGACAAAAATAGCTCAGTGTAAACTTGAGGTTTTTCTTTCTCATTTCTTAGTAGTATCATCCCCACTGCAACTAAACTGGATGCATACAGCCTCAAATTCAACCCCTCTGGTGTAATCTCATGTCCAGTTACCTGTGCTGGATGGGCTTTTTCCCTAGATTCATCAACTTCAATACCAACACCATCCTGATATCTCTCCAGTTCTGCTTCACCATCCAGAACTGCACTGTCCAGAACATCCTCCTGGAACCTGTCAGGTCTGTCCATATCTGGGTTCTCCTTATCAGCCTCCTCCTGATTTGAAAAATGCAAAATGTTTATGATCAGTAAAAGTCACAGTACAAAATTTGCTAAGAAACTTCCGCCTGCACAATTTGTCTACTCTACCTTCAGTTTAGATTAATGAATGAAGGAAAAGGCTGAGATAACTCCAACCCACAGAGCTGGAAGCCCCTGCTTACCCACTCTGAAACAGTTTCAGGACAGGGAAAACAGGAATAAGTGCTCACATGACTTTTAGTACGGTTATAGAAGTTTCTGATTAGACACATTTGGTAACTATTGACCTTGCACCTCCTCCAGAAATCCCAGTATGGACAGTTTCCACTGTGATATTTTGATGGTCATCTCTCCCAGGTACTCTTATTACTCCATGGTCAGGTCAATGAGTACTCCAAATCATTCTCTCAGCCTTGCACATATTACATTTACATTTTTACAAGTCATTTACAGCATCAGTGTCCTGAGATCCCATAAAAATCAGGAGTTCCAGGTTAGTGACCTCTCATTACCTGCAGTGATGAAATCTCTTAAATTCCCCATCCCTGGGAGTGTTCAAAGCCAAGCTGGAAGGGATTTTGAACAATCTAGTCTAGTGGAAGGTGTCCCTGCCCATGGCAGGGGGTAGGAACTGGAGGAACTTTAACATTCTTTCCAACCCAAACCATTTTGTGATGGATTTTAAGAAATTACAGGTAGCTGGTGGATTTTGCATCATGGACAAAGTGGGTCCAAGCCCTGGGAATTTGCAGAAACCATCACTTTGATCTCTTGCACTCTTCACATGAGCTGAGGGGATGATTTGGAGAAAATATAATTTATCATTTCTTTCATCAGATAAGGAAAACATGCCTCCCTATGACAACACATTTTAAGGAATTACATATGGATTTTTAATCAACACAGACACACACACACATATACACTAACTTATATTAAAACACATTTGTCAGGTACCTGAACAGCCTGCCCCAATCTGTCCTTGCTGTGATGGTTATCCTGTAATGGGCTGTCTGACAGCACACTGCTTTCCTCCAAAACTGGAGCATTCTGCCTCTCTTTCTCAGACACATTTCCATTTACATCTTGACCCTAAAAGAAATCATAGAAAACAAAATCTGCTTGTGTTACCATAAACATTCTATTTTAACATTTAATCTCTGAATGGTAAAAACTATTCTCTCTGAAAACAAACACTTCAAACACTGTGCTGCAGTTCTAATTAGGTTCTAAACTGGTTTAAGAGAAGCTCTCAAAGCTCTTAGGCAGAGGTGCATCTGCAATTTTCCCATCTCCACAACTTCTCCCCATGTCCTGACCAAGGATACTTGCTCTAGTAAGTGGCAAGGAAAAGTTACATGCATTTAAATGGAATTGTATTTCAATGGAAAACTGCTGTTTTAAATACGTTATTGGCTTGTTACAGACTTGAGAGTCCTTGCCACTTCTTTGATTTATACACTTGTATTCACAGGAGGCTTAATTTCAGTGAAATTAAGGATGCAATACACAGAAGACATTTGAGATGTCTCTTTAGCCAGCTTTCCATTGTTGTTACTGTCAACAAATAAACTCACCTCACTCATTTCCAAAGGCTCTTTCAGCTCCACTGCTCTGGGGGTCTCCTCTGCAGAGACTGGAGTATCAGAAGTGATCTGTGTCTCTCTCTTCAGCATTGTATCTGACTTATCTTCCTTTTGTATTTCATTACCAAGCTCATCTTTTAACTCAAGGGCTTCACTGAAAATGCTTTCCTTCTTTTGCTTGACATTTTCAAGTCTTTCTTCCAGACTTTTGTGTTCACTCTGAAGTGTTTCAATCTCATCCTTAATAAACTGTTCTGGTGAAGAGGTGTTTTGTTTATCAGTTTCTGCTAAAACCAAACTTTTCTTTACGGTGTCTTCACATCGGCTAAGAGGTCCCTGTTGTTCCTTTAAACACGAAGAAAACATTTTATTTGAAAAGTACCTTCATTCAATATACAACGTTGAGATCTAAAGTCAACCTCTAAAATAAATACTTGTTTTGAACAACAAACTGTGTTGAAAGGTACATGCAGACCTATTTGCTGCAGAAAGTCAATTACTAAACCAATAATTTCGTCAGCCATTTTTATGCACAGAGAACACCTGAAGCTAAAAGCATTATTTTGATAAAATAATCCCATAGCACACTGGGTGGTACATGGTGATCTTTCCAAGTTCTGAACAGGTAATTCCCCCCCTTGCCTCCTCTCCTATTCCTTTTTCCTCCTTAGAGGTATAGCAAGTTCTGAAGGACAGGGAATTGCAGTGATCCATATCTGAGCTATGATTTCAGCTTACAGCAGCTCTCTACACTCACAGCTACAAGACTGATTTCTGCCAAAGAGCAAGACAATGTTTACTTATGCAAGAAGGACACTTCTTAAAAATGAACTTGGCTCACTGAGTTTTTAAAAATATTCTTCACACTGGCTAAATTAAAGACACTTTCTATTACCAAACTTAATAATCTCTTTCCTTATTATGCCCCAAGAGGAAAAAACCAAAAATCCTAACCGACCAAACTGAAGAATCCTGCGTGCTTGAGCCAGAACAATTCCTCCTGAACCTTCAGTTCAGCCAATAGTAAAGTTCCCTCCAGTTCATTAAGAGTGGTTTGAGTCCTACAGTTATCTTGATACAGGAACATTAAGTACTTTTATTTTAGAAAGTTTTCACAGCTTTTCGGTTTGACTCCATAAGCAGTTCTCTCTTTCAAATGTGATGGTCTCCATGATGCAGAAACTGCAACATACCTGTGATCTCAACTGATTTTGCTCAGCTGATGGTTGTTCCATTGCTGGACCATCACACTCAGCAAGCTTCTTAGAGACAGTTTTCAGCTCAGTGCTCAGGCCTATTACCATATCCTGAACCTGCTGGTGCTCTTGAACAGGGCTTTCCAATGTCTGCATGATGGTCTAGAAACCAAGGAGTTTCTAGGATTAGCCCACCATTATCTCAAAAATCATCCACAGACTGTTACAGCTTTTCTAGGACCTCACCAGCACAACAAACTTGCTTGTTTCCCATAAAATATCTGGCTAACCATAGGTTAAACACAAAACCATCTCGCTCTCTTCCCAGCACATCATGAAAAAAATTTATATTCATAGCAGGAAGCAGAAGGGTTGGCATTTCATAGAAATGTACTTGTAAAAAGGATATTTTCTCTTAAAATGGATGAGACATTAGAGACAGAATGCCACACAAGATACAAAGCAATTTGCACTCCATTGGGTGAAACTGAGAACAAGCAAGATGCTGGAAAAGAATCTTTCAAATGTTTTCCAAATTCATCCTTCCAAAAGGAAGAAAACCTACCATGGCTTGAAGAACATAAGAGCAAATGCCTCATATTATAGCTATCCAAATCTGCTTATGCAGGTAACAAAATGTTCTTCACATTTACTTTGGTCTCATTTGTTTCAGTATTTATCCCTCAGGGACACAGAGGGAGATATTCCCTCCTCATTTTCAGAGGAACTTCCTCCACTCCCAGCTTTACCCATAACCTTCCCACCTGAATGACACCACAGCTGAACACTGGGAACTGCAACCAACAGGAAAGGAGAGTGAGGTCCCAACCTGGAGCTGGCTGAGCAGATTTTCATGCTGGTGCTTTAATTCTGACCATTCTGCCTCTGTGAAGCAGGGATCGACAGTGTGGCCCTGCAGATGCTCCTTCTGGCTTTTCAGTTTGCTAAATTGGGAAGTCAAGGCTTCTGTTTTCTGCAGGAGGTCAGCATAGTTTGCCAGCTGAGCTTGCCTCTCCTCCAAACCAGGCTGAAGGGTAAAAATCTCTTGTTGCTGTTTCTCCAGTTCCATGAGAGCTTTTTTCAGATCTTCTTTGCTTTGCTCATATTGCTCCCTGTTGCACTGAAGTTGGTCTTGAGGGCTAAGAAAAAAATGCTGTGCTTAATAGTGTTAAAAAACCGAATGTATTGATTACCTGGAAAATGTCAAAGTGTGAACAAGTCAACCATTAGAACAAACTTGAGTGTACTGAATACTTTTTTCTCTAGATTTTATATTACTGATCAGAGTGGAATTTTCGAAGTGATGAAAAACACTGAAGTCATTGCAGATGAACAGGACTTAAATGCAGGACAAATGACTAACCCTATTAAACCTTAACCTATAAACCCACAGTTTATAGCATCTGAGATGTGATGTTCATGCTCTGTATTTTTCTGCTTTTCACTGCAGCAGAAATTCGGTACAAAATTCTACAATATTATTATGAATCTGCTTTCCTTGACTTTCCATGACAGCCTCCTGAAAGGGAATGCTCTGTAGAAGACACACATCACATTTCCTTGGGTGGGGGAGTGTTTCAGAGATACAGACAACAAAACCAGCATTTACAATATGGGGTATGTTAGTACAATCCTGACCTTTACATTGGATTTCTCTTTGTGTGCTTTATATGCATGCATGCTGATCTGCTGCAGGTGAACAGGCTGCTTTTGTCCACAGGCAGTATGCAATGAGACAGAAGGAACATTTGTATGTTCACATTTAGTGATGGAGCTCAAATATCTTCCAGATGGAACTTAAATGCCAACATTTGAAAATATGATCCCACACAAACAAATCCAAATAAATAGTCAGGATATAATTCTGTAAAGTACAGCAGGATAATCAAGGACAAAAGCAAAGCTTCATTGTTTTGGGTTCTGCCCCCCAAGATTCATATTTTTTGGCAAATAAACAAAGCACATCCTCACATACATGAAATGCTCTTGCATCAAGTTCCCTGATCCAGCTTCTCACTGCTGCTGTTCCTGTGGTGCATCTGCTGCTTACAAGCCTGATCCTGCAAGGTCCTGAGCATCTCCTCAGACATGCAGAGCACCTGCACTCCTGTCTTCAACAGTGTGCAGAGGATGCTCTGCATTCTGCTGTGCTGGATCCAGCACAAACAACTCTCCATCTTCCCGAGCACCTCTTGTGCTGTTTTTACTGACAGCTCAGTAACAACAGGAGGAAGCAGAAGATTCTCTGGCTATTCATGGCCACACCAGAAAACATCTCTGGCTATTCCCCACCTGACCATTCAGGCCAAACCGTGACCTGCCCCTCCACAACTCTGCAGAAATACAACTTTTTCTGTGGGTATCTCCTTCTCCTCCGAAAGAACAGAAAATTAATGGAACGGATGCAGGAAGAAGAGAAAAAAGTCAGTATATTAGTAAGTGATCTCCACTGCCTCTTGGCAAATTCCACATTACCTGCTGTATTCAGTAGCCAGCTCACAGATGTTTTCCCACTTTTTCTGGAGCTCAGAAATAGTCTGCTGAACCTCTGGCTTCTTATTTTTCTCATTTCTCAATATAGTTTCTCCTAGAGCCACCATGCTCTGTATTTTGGCCTCACCTTCATCTCTGAGACTTGTGATTTCCTGTATTAAACAAGAAACAGAAGCAGTGCATATACAATTATTTTTGATTACAAAATAAAAAGTATTACCGTTATTTTTTTCATGCTTTTCACACTGCTCTTCAGGACAAGAGAAGTTTCCTAATATAGCTGACACAAACAGATAGATTATCTCATTTTCAAACTCTGGGACAATTAGGCTGATTTATTAATTATTCTCTACAGAGAAGACCCATATTATGCTGACAAATTACAAAAATGCTCAAATGACAAAACTACAGGCCATGAGCAGTAATAGGATCTTTCAGGAGGTACTGACTAATCAAGCATTATCTTGAGGTGGAATGTTAAAAAGGAATATATTTAACACAATACCTTTATCTGATTAATCCTTTCGTCTGGTGGCAACTCACTTCCTTGTGAACTCATTTTATTAAGAGTCTCCTCAAGCTTTTTGATCCAGCAAGAAACATCCTGGGCAAGGTCTTCAAAATTCTGTCCTTCCACTGGAAGTCTCTCAGTGTTCCCTGCCATTTCACTGACACGTGTTATCAGTGCATGGTACCTACTAAGAAGATTACTGGCTTCTGAAAGGGTTTCATATTCTGTCAGCCCAAACTCCCTCAAGGAATTTGATAGCTGAGCCAGGGAGTCAAATGGTTTCCTGAAAAAAAAAAAAAAACAAGAAGTTAACCAACATCTATTTGTTGCAACAACATGGAACAATTTTGTTTAGAAGGCAGTTCTTAGAAAGAGACCAAAAAGCCCAATACCTCTGCATTAATAATGTTTTATAGACGTTTTCGAGTTCTGTATCATCTTTATTGATCTCTTTTACTTTTTCCTCCTGAGCAGAGAGCCATTCTTCCAAAGCCATGCTGCTTTCTTCAAGGCTAAAGGAGGTATAAATAGAGATTCAGGTCAAAATAAGAGGCATCACATGGCTAAAACCTGCTGGTCAGCAGTGTTTTGCTGAAAAAGTAATAAAAATATAGTGTCTGATCAAGCAAAATTTTGAACATAAGCCTAATTTTAACTATCTCTGTTCATGCCACTGAAATTGTCTGTAGTTTCCATACAGGTCTGCTATGAAATTGAAAACACAACCCACATTGAACAAACAACAAAACATTTGATTAAAATACCATCTTTTGTAAAAAGAAAGGTTACTTGCCATTCCCTATGGTTGCTTAGTAATGAATCATTTGATACCACTTGTAATTAAAATGTCAGACACCAGATTAGCTCCCTACCTACTGAGCTGCTGCAGAGAGGCACCAAGCTCCTTTTCCCTTCTCTGACATTTGGAGATCAACCTTTGCAGCTCTGCCTCTTGGTCTCTCACACGACTGTTGAGGTGGTTAATGCTTGCTTTGGGCAAGTAAGGCTTCACTTTATTCAGTAGAGCTTTAACCTCTTGGATGTCTCTATCTCTGCCTTCAGATGTTAGGAAGTGCTGAAAAAGAAGACAAGCACAAGATCCATTTGTCAAATTTGCTGTGGTGTGATAGATATTTCTGTTACAAGAACTTTTCAGCTCCTGTTATCTCCACCAGTATTTTCTTCCAGCAATTTCAGTTCCTGAAAAAGAATTTATGTTAATTCACAGTTTTCTGACTATTGCACATGTAAATGGAAAAGCTGCTGTTTGTGAAATATGGAGAAAGTGGAATTGATGACTCCTTTTTTCTTCTCTACTGGTACACACAGAAACAGGCAAGCAGCATCCAAATCTAGCACTGACATCACTCTATCTCCTTCTGCTGCTTAACTGTGATTGCTTCTTGCAGATGTTTTGGCTTTTCCATCTGTTTTCTGTTCATTCTGTCTGATTTGAAGAGAAAATCTTGCTACAACAAATTAAATGCAATTTTTTTTCACATTTGAGTCCACTGGGGTCAGAATTTCATGCTACTCTCTCCACATTTGACTTTCTGCAGCCTTGCACACTGAAGTATTTGGTCAAGGTCCACTGACTTGCATTAACTCCTGTCCTGTCTCTCACTTGCCCAAGTTGTATGAACCTGAACACTGACACTTCATTTCAATTAAGTTTTATTTTCATTGCCCATATTTTCCTAATGCTTTAAGTTATATGGGATGTTCTTTCAGCCTCCAGTTATAAAAGCACTATAGTTAAATTCAGTCCCAAGAATAGTCTGGTGGGTAAAAAGAGCAACACTTCTGTGTAAAAAGAACAATCAGCTTTAGAAATTACAGTATTTTAATACTTTACCTTTAGCCTCTCTAGTCTTTCTTCCAGTATGGGTTTTGTTTCTGAGGGCTCAAAGCACTCCTTCAGAGACAGCTGAGTGCTGCTGAACCAGTCATTAAAATTCTTGCAGTGACCTGAAAAAAAAAAAAAAGGCACATTCCAATTTTTTCATTAATTGCATGCTGTAAAAGAAAATCCTGTTTAACATGAAGACTTCAGACAATTTACAATTACATTTATCAGTGCTACTGTCAAAGGTTGCTTTTTACTACAGAACATGTGACTGAAAATGCTGCAGCTCTTAATTTTTTTAGCTAACATTAGTTGACAATCAACACACCTGTTCCCTAGAACAGACAAGTCTGTTATAGACAGCAGTTTGAGTAAACAAGACCTGGAATAGCCTAGTGCAAACTTTTCTCATTTCCACACAGATTAATACTATTTTAAAAAACATTTGAAGACACGAGACTATGTTTGAGCCAAATGTCCTACCTGCTTAATCCTGTGCCTGCTTAAAGCAAAGAGTAATATCACTATTTATTCTTGTAACTAATTTTAAATAAAAAATAACCGGAAAAAATTAAAACATTAGATTCCTGTATTTTTAAATTAAGTATTCTGACATTTGTTCCTGAATTATGCTTTACATTTCTTTTATCTAACGTTTTAAATGCAAAAATAAGAAACCAAGTACTTGGATTCAGACTGAGTGGTTTGCTGCGATCAAAATCCATTTTTCTGCAAATCTTTATCTTGTTCAGAACCCTGAGGCAGTTTGGGACATCAAAGCAGTTTCAGACACCTAACCAATTAACTGCATAACCTTTAAGTCATTGGAGTGGTCAATGCAAACCTGTAAAGGTAAATCATTGAAATGTGTTCACTTACGATCCAAAACACCCATAAAGTGATCTTGAAGCACATGTTTCTTGCTATTAAATAAATCAGTGACACATTTAAGCTGCTTATTTAATTCATCCACATCAGGACAATCTGTCTCTTCCTGGAGTAATGCCACAAGGTGTTCTTGCTGCAGAATTTTCTGGTGTATCTCCTAAGGTTAAAAAAAAAAACAAACAAAAAACAAAGCAGAAGTTTTAAAAGTAAGTTTTGAAAGCTAAGCAGAAGTTCACTGTACAGAGCTGCTTTAGTACAAACCAGAGTTTTGCAAAGGAGTTTAGCCCTGCCTGTCTGTCAAAATAATTTCTTAAATTATGTTGGCATTAACAAGGCCATCAGTAGGTAGGTATAAGCACTAAACTTTCCTTGAGCAGTGTGTATACACCTGTATGCACACACAACCCCACAGAACAGATATGTGAATAGAACCACAGCATAGAATACTCACAAACTACAATGCCTCAGAGATGCCACAGGCATTATTCCACCCCCTGAATTCCTTTTCTGTGTGTCAAGACCCCGTGGGCCAAAAGGTAACTTAGAGGGAGCTACAGAATTAATTAAAAACTCTATCTTCCCTCCAATGGCTGTGATTTCAGTGCCCCAAACACTGGAGGTCTGACACCCACGATGCACATAATTCACTCACTGCTTCACAGGAGGTTTAAATCTTGCCAGCCTAAGCCTCCAAGCTCGAATTTCAGCAAATATTTGGCTGAAATTGTCTACTAGGAGCTCCCCTTGCAGTCAGGCTCTGGTGGCACAAAGCAGCCTCTGTATATTACCCAGCCATGGAAAATAGACTATTGAAAAACACACACTACTGCTGGAACATATCCTGGGCAATATTGCTGCTGTGTCTAGGATTAACCACTTCCAACAGCTGCAAGGGTTAAACATGTCTGATCATTCCAGTAAAAAAAGGCTTTTCTTCTATGTTTCTGGCAGCTTAAGGAAATATTCAAGCCAGGCTCTTCACTTGAATTATTCGAGCAGTCCACAATTCACACAGGATGAACACTTACGACCACCTGACCAAGAGAGAAATTATGGACAAATGTATAAAATATACACAATCTGTGGCATGCTACCTCTAGTTTAGTAAAGATCTCTAAGGTGTCTGAAGGAGATAAAGCTTTGAGAAGTGATTCAGTCATTCCAATCTGTGTCTTGGCCAGATCAAGGTCTCCCTTCAGCTCTGCTGTATTCACGGTGAGTTCACTGCTCCCTCGCTTGGCTGACAAGAGCTCTTTTATTAGCTCCATTTTTTGCACAACAGATGATCTGATGACCTTAAAATTGGAAATAAACATACATAAATTATACTGGAGTGATTTCCCAGAACATTACAAAAATCTATGATAGACATAAAAATAAATTAATTGATCTGAAGCCCAGACATTTCAAATACAGTTTGTTTTGATTTGTTTCCCTCCCACTACAGAAATTGAAAAACATTTAAGTTCTGCTTTTCTGAGGAGGAGTGATCTGAGTTCATCTTTATTAGCATTTTTACTGGTGCTGTTTTATTTCATCTGTCAATCTCTCCAGTGCCTACTCTGAGCTGGATAAAGGCCTTACAGGAGCTTCAGCTGCCATGCAAAAGAGGGTGGCAGCTCTCTCTGTAACACACCCCCCTGCAATGATTCCACAGGGGGAAATTCCCCACAGTGACCCAAAAAAAGCCAGCAGAGAGGCTGGGAGCTCTGGCTTGAGACTATTCACCAAGGAACAACAGGTCCTGAACCTCATCCTTGAGTTGCACAAGGCAGCAGCTGGGTGGGATCCCATGGTGGAACACCAGCCCAGGGACTCAGGGATCTGGAGCAGCACAGCACAAGGTTGCTGAGTCCTTCCCTAAGCTCCTTAGATCACTCTACCCAGTGAAACTCCTCTGAGTTCACTGCCTGCTGAGGATAAACACAGAAATAGCTGAACAAGGTCAAGCTCAAGGTGCACCTGACAGACACTGTGAGAAGGTGATTACAGAACTGCTACAGGAGCAAGGGAAGCTAATACAGCTTTAAAAAGGAATTTATTCTTTGTTGTGTGAAGCTAACACAGAAAGATGAAGATTTCCTTGTGATACCCCAAAGGAAAACACCACAGTAAACATCACTCTGTGCAAGAAACTCCACATTACCAAGCCACATTAAGCCACATCCAGGCAAAGGTAGAGTTTAAAACTGACAGTCAGTAAAGCTGAGCTCCTGGGACCCCCAAAGGGGTGTTGAGGTCCATTGCTGTTGACCAACAGCTAAACACCAGGTCTCACTGATATCAGCCTCTTTGGGCACAGAAATGAGAAAGACCAAATGACAGGTTTGGTTCTAACAACCTCGAGCAGCCTGAGAGATACAAACAATGAAATACCACTGCCACTGGCAACAAAATGCCTCCAACTCTCCTGGAGTATATATAAATAAAACCAGTACCTGGGTGTGGCAAAGGCAATACTAGAAGCAGGGTTATAGTAAGGAGTACTGGTGTATCAGCTGTAAAAGCTTCTCTGTACCTGCAGCTCCAATGGAGTTTCATTACTATTCAGAAGTTCTTCTATCTCAGCCACTGTGTTGTCGAATTTTTGGAGTTTCTGCTCTTGGACTCGTAAGCATGCCTAAAGGTGGAAAAAACACATTGGTAACTGTGCTTCCCTCCAAATTAGATCTCTATGTTTATGTTATATTAAAATTACATTAAAATATTCTGATTATGCGTTTTGGCACATAGAGGTGTCACAATTTGTTCATTTCCTGATTTTCAGTTTAGCAATTAAGCATTTTTTGTATTCGAGTCAGAAACACCCTGTTTCTCAGGTAAAGCAGCTGATAATGCAAATCTAGCATATACTTAAGAAACCTAATTATTTTGCTTCAAGTAAATTTGCAGGAAAATAATTTTAATTTTGCATTCATGTCTTGCTGATTCTACTAAAAAGGATATTCTCAGATGTCACAGACTTTAAGTCAGGAATTGGCATCCTGGTGGCACGTGCTTTGGTATGGAAGTGATAAAATACAAAACACTCCTGTAAGCACCTTTTAAATGTAAATCTTTTGCATATGAAAAGACCTCCACTCATTTGAATGTATTTTAGAACAAGGCAGTAATGTGAAGGTAAAATGCAGCTTCAACTTATGAACAGGATAATGACATTGTCTCATATTCCCAAATCGATATTCCAAGCTCCCCGAGGACAAAGCCTTCTTTTTGTAGTCTCTGTACAAGCAATCATCAAAACCCATTCACGTGCTGCAGCCCTTTAAAAGAGTTTGCATTTGCATACAGGCTACAGGGAAAAGCAGAACTTCTCTCACATTATTTATACTGAAATTATCCTTAAATACACAGTCCAATAATTCACTGCTCTGTTCTTTTTTGACATGCAACATATTGTTCTGCTGGGTGCTCACAAAGGACTCTGGGTTTCAACCCTGTGTAATGTGATACACATTGCAACAGTTGGGGGTCTTTTTTGGAATTAACATAAATGCAGAGGCGTTCCAGGATCAACAAAAAGAGAAATAAACAGGTGATAAATGAACCTGATGCCCTCTGCACTTGGAATCCTTCTACAAAAATTCGAACACAATAGGTTCAGTTTTCTCTCCTTCTATTCCACTTTATAATAGCTGCTCATGGGAACATGGTTTCTGTGTCTCTTGCCCTCTTCTCCCTCCTCTTTTGAGACTTATGTCTCAGGAGAAAGCAGCAGAATCACCTTGGTGTAGCCACCTCCAGCACAGCCCTTCCTAAGGAGGAGCAGTCACACCAGGGGCACGGACACATCACGCTGGACTTGAGCAGTTTCCAGGTAACAAAATGGCCCAAAAGATTCATTTTCCAGCTGATGCATTTTTACTGGAGCCTCCAGGGATCTAAACTACTCCAGGAAAATTCTGACAGTACAATGGTAGAGATAACAACGATGTGACAAAATATCCACGGCTGCACAGTGGGTAAGTCACTGTTTCCTAGTGAAGATCCATAAACAAAGAGCACCTTGGCTTTTTACTGCTCTGCAAATTAAAACAAATGAGCAGTGCTAACAGTAGGAGGAAGCTGCAAACAACCGTAGTAAAAACCAGGCCATTTGTAGCTTGTAAACACGGAGGAAAAACTGCCTGCAAATTTTCAAACAAGAGGATATGCAATGTATTTATGTCTCAATCACTCTCAAGCAGGAAATTATTTTTGCTTAGTAGACACTGGTTGTGACCACAGTGGAGCAGCACAGCTGGTCTATGGTGGCCCTAAAGTTAGAAATTAAAATATTCACCCCCGTACATGAAGCTTTCAATGGCACAGACCTCGTGCATGTGTTTTTACACCCAGCTGTACCCTGATACCAAGAATTAATGTTATAATCTGTGCCAAAGGGGCATGGGCAGCCCAGGCTCTGCTGCTGCCTGCCCATGTGCAGCCCCTGGAGATGCTCAGCAGCCACTCTCTGTTGAGGCTGCAAAGAATTACACTGAGAAACACACCAGGACAGAGGGAAAACAAATCACCTCTGAAACCTCTCCTCGAGCTGTGCCTTGCCCAGCTGTCCCAGAGGCTCCAGCATCTTCACTGACAGGCCACTTCTAGCTGGAAAAGTAATCATTAGCCTATACACACTCCTTTTTTCTCTGTGCACTGCTGTATTCCACAGCCTCACAGGCCTTCTCATTGCTCCGTGTTTGTACAGCACCACACAGTTTTGCAGTGTTGCATTGATTGAAAACCATTTACTACACATATACACTATCAGTGCATTAGTTTCCAAGATCTGTATCCCCAAATAAAGGCAACATCCTTAGAGAAACCACCCATGTGGATACAACTGCAAATTTACAACTTCCTCCGCTGGTATTTCAGTGCAAGGTACATTTTTATAGCCATATCACTATACTATAAAGGAAAGGTAAAATATTTCCATTTAAATTACCTTCAGCTGAGTGAGGTCCTCCTCAGTCAGGCAATGGTCTTCTGCATTCTTGAGCTCTGCATTTGCCCAAGCATCGATTGTGCCAGATAAGCTCAGGAGTTTGTCCCACAAAGCCTGAGCTCTTCCCAAATTATCACAGTAGTTTTCGGTCTTTTCGTTGATCTACCATTAGATTGACAGACAGAGAACACATACAGATTAAAAAAAAAAAATTGAGTTATATTCTAAAAGCAAAAGCAGCATGATAAAATAGGAGTGAGACAAAACCACCCACAAAAACAAGAGCGGCAAAGGGAAAAAAAAAATCTCATGTCTTCACAGTGAACTGGTCATGGAGAAGATACTTAAATCCCTGCCACACATGTCACCAAACATACCAATCACAGCAGCAGCTTGCCAGTTTTAAGGCAGGTTTAGGAAGGAGCCTTGCTCATTAATGTTTATCTACTCCCAGTAAATACCATTTAATCTCAGTATTGATGCACTGCTTAGATCGACAGTGGTGAACATTTCTCACCAAAAGCACCAGCACTCTCATTTTCCAGACTGTCTCCAAAGTCTAAATCCATAGAAGTTGTTATGGAAGCACAAATATTGCCTTTCTGCATTTTCCAGAATTATTTACTGCCAAAGAGTACTGACAATATAAACTGCCTGAGAGATCAGAAACATTACATCCATAGATACTCTGCAAGCTTTGCTCTGGTAAACACTTGGATTTATCTCTTAAGAATCTCTGCCATATTGCACTTAATTTATTCAAAATATTACACCCGAGTCAGAATCAATTACTATAATGCATAACAGATAAGACCACCCTGATAATTTACTTTTTACATACATCCAGCCATCTGTCCACAATAATGTTAGCCTCATTCTCAAACGGAGGCTCCTCAAAGCTTCTCATTTTATTCAGCTGGAATTGCAGGTTTTTGCAGATCTGATTTATTTTGTCTACATCTTCAGAGTGTTCATTAAATTCCTCTTTTGCCTCTTCAATCTGTGAAAAAGACCACATAGATATTTGTGAGCATATTTGCTTATGATTGTTTATTCAGCAAAATATTTTTTAACTGATTTGCTGGGTTGTTTTGCTTAGAGCAACATAAAATAATCTATTTGATACAATCTGACGAGACTAGGAAAGCATCCTGTGTTGTTATATCCCTGCCATGCTGACAGGAATATTTCCCTGTTAGAAATCCATATCATTCTGTTATTGGCTGCAGAACAGCTGAGAGGGAATATGGATAATTTATTTCTAAGAGAGCCAAAACCACAGTTTGCTTTTGAAGTCCTAAGTACCAGATCTAAGGGGACTGTACATCCACACACAGAATCTTGATTACAGAGATAAACAATGCACAGTGGATTAATCATCTGAGATACTATTACAACTCTAAAATATAACCTGCTTTGAGCTATTTACAAAAAAAAAAAGCTTAAATCCTACTTAAACACAGACATGTCAAATATGTCACTGCCAGAAACTGAAACATCTCTTTCGCCTACTTTCTATTTAAACACCAAGTTGCTTCTTTGTGTTTAATTGGAATGTCAGTGTTTACAAACAACATGGAAGCTTCCTGGAAAAGAAACACTGACCTCTAGTGCTAGGCACTTTGATGTTAACAGCTCTCTCCTTATTTCCCACAGACATCCTGGGAAATTTCATCTTCCCACACCGACCCTGCCCAGCACTGAGCTCGGGGGAGGGATGGCAGAGCTGCTCTCACAAACCAGAATTCTCTGCTATTATTCTAATATAGAATTCTATAAAACAAATATAGAATTCTATATAATAAATATAGAATTCTACAAAACAAATATAGAATTCTAAAATAATTCTATAATATAAACTGATATAATCTATATTACAAATCATCAGCACTCAAGGACATGCCTGTACTGTGCCACAGCAATTTCAGCCCACAGCTCTGGGAGTGGGAATTGCACAGCTCAGGGTGAGGAGGGAGGGCTGTTCCCAGAGGAGTCTCCATACAAGCAGGATCTGGGATATGCAGGCAATGTCCCCCTTGCAGCAGGAGCCCAGGTGATACAAGATGCCCCAAGTCTCACTGGTGGGACCAAGAAGAGACTTTGCCCCAGCTAAAAGGGGTTGGCACAAGCAGACACCATCCCAGTGCCTGAGGAAGACACCACTGACATTCCTTCTTAAATTAAACCAGCCCAGGCACTGCCTGAGAGCAAACACTCCTGGATGCTATGGGTGATGCCTCATCAGAAAGCCTAAAAATAGGATCTGAACAACCAGTTACATAACCCAGGATATGGGAAACCTGTGCAGTAAAATGGTCATGATGGACATGATGCTGTTCACTGATCTGTTAACCATGGACAACAATGCCCAGTAGCTGTATGCATTTAGCCAAGAAGCTGGCCATCACATTTCTGACAGAAAAGGTGAAAAACTTTAAACTAAATTAAGTTAAATTAAATTAAGGGGTGTCCAACACTATCTGCTCATTCAGTATAAGTAGCTCATCAAGTAATGTAAAAGCTACTACAAATGTTTAACTCCTGTCACAGACAGTTTGGAGCAAAAAGACAGGACTTAATGTCATCTTCGTACTAGATCCTAGCTCTTCCATGGGGTTTGGGTTTGTTATTTTAATCCCTCCCCAGAAGAAGACTGTTTCACTACGAAAAAACGACTTAAATCTACTTACAACAAAAATACAGAGTCCCTAAATGTATTTTGGAAGCCGAAGCAAGGCCTTAGCATCTGCTCTGAAGGCTGAGAGTACAAGGCCAACCTTGCCATCTGAATGCTCCCATGAAAGGCTTTTCTTTCCTTTCCACTAAGTTCTTGTTACTCACCTTTGCTATTAGTCTGTTCAAATTCTCCTTCCCCATGTAAGACGTTTGCTGGGAAAGCACAATCTCCTGTTTCTGGATGATGCTGGTCAGACTCGTTTTGCAGCTTTGATACTGCTTTAGGAGCTCCAGAACCCTTGCACACTGCTCCTGGCTATTAAAAAGAGATGTATTATTTATGGCCTAAGCATAAACCTGCAGCCTCAACCTCCTGTCTGCTTCCTTCTCCTATATTCACACACGTGGGGAGTTTGACAACTGTGTCTGGATGAGAGAAAAGGAGTGATGAACCAGCCTGAAATCCTGCAATAATGTGTGATACCTGTGTGGGATCCAGACAGTTTTTGTAATCAGAAATGTCCTTCACCATCATATGTCTCTGAACCACACTAAACTGTGATGAGCTGTTGTGTTCATATGATCCTCTCCACCAGAAAGGTGAGCTCAGTCACCAGTAAAATGAAACAGCACGTGCAGCAGATCTCACAGCAGCATGGACAGTGGACATCAGCCCATCCTTCAGTGGGGTATGAAAACAGGTTACTCCCACCTGTGCAAGCCATGAGATTTAACCAGAACTGTGCCAGTCCATGCAAAGCCTCAGGGCATCTTCAAAAACCACATTTGAAGCACAGATGCCCTGAGCAATCAACCATTGCCTTTCCCAGTCCCACTCTCACAGAATTATCAAACCAAGCTCCCTTTATTTTGCTGCAGAAGAGACTGTTTTCCCAGCTGTCCTTTTCCATTTGTTTCAGTTTATCTTTTCTGTTTCAGTATGCTGGCAGGAAATTCACAGCAAAAATAGAAGATGCAGCATTCCCAGCAGCAGCCAGGTTTTCTTCTGGATGCCAATTAAGTCCAACACATACTGCATACCTGCTAAATGATGGGACCGTGATGTTTTAAAAATATGCAAAATTCATGAGCTTTGGCTGCAAGCTTCCATGTGCAATTCTTGGTTTAATGATAGTTTATGTCTCCACTGTACCTTTAAGTTATGGTCTAGGGCGTTTTTTTCTGTTTGATTTCACAAGCAAACTTCTTACTTGAACAATACCACTTAAAAATGCAATTTTCCTCCTTACCATTCAGCCAGCAAGAGCTTTGTATCCTCCCATAACCTCTCTGTAACTCTGCACTGCTCGTTTGCTTCCTCTGCTTTCTCCTCATCGATCTGCAGGAGCTTATTAGCAATTTCTTGCATAGGTTTCATTTCAGCACCAGCACGATCCAATTCCTTTTCCAATTCTGTTAATGATTTTATCCTTTATTAGGGAAAAATGAAATACAGCTTTATATTAAAGTAAGCCTTTGATCTGGTTCACAATGTAATTATTAAGTTCCCTAGAAATTCATCTCAAGCTCCACAAACTGTATTAAATGATATCATAAAAAGTCTAATTTGATCTTCAATTCATGTAATCTGACACAGGCCCTCAGATGAGTTATGCTGACCTCAGCACTTGGAAAAACAATCCAAATTCTGAAGGGCGGTTGGGTCTGTATGAACACAGTGAAATTAATTAGTATTAAAAGGCAAGTGCAGTTTGTCCATCTTACACTGCAGAGTTTGAGATCAGGTGCATCACTGCCCAGCAAGGGGACCCAGCTCCCTGTTGGACAGTTGTCTTACTGAAAACTAAGATCAAAACAATCAATCAATCTCCTATTTTTTCTTCCTCAATGCTGCTTCAAACACACATATATACAGAAGTTTGAAAGAAAAAAAAACGGAGAAGGCTTCCTTTGCTAGGCTGTGATGGTACAAATAAACTCACAGCTTCTGTCAGTGTTCCACAGATAATTCAAATTTCAGTGCTCTCCTGCAGAGGGGACCCAGGGACTCCACTGAAATTATGAAATCAAAAGAGCTTTAAAAATAATTCACCTTTTTTGAATAGCTGGAATTGTCGGATCCTTCAAGCCTATTTTGTTAATTCTGTCACGTAGATCCTGAATGTTTTTAAGGAGTTCACTCTTTTTTCTGGAAAATGTCTTGTATAAGTCTTTTTCTTCTGTAAGCACCTGCTCACTTGAGGGATCATAAATTGCATTTAGCTCTTTAGATAAAGTCAGAACAAGGTTTTTACAGCAGCTCTTTCTCCCACATTCAGCATCTTCCAAACAGATATTAACAGTCTTCAGGCGTTCATCCAAACATTTAGCCTCTTCTGCCAGATGAGAAACTTCTTGTGCAGCCTCCCTCAAAGCTTTTCCCTGTATTTCAGGTTGATTTGGGGGATCTGGGAGACTTTTGATGGAAGACTGGATCTTCCTCAGGGTGGCCATAAAAGCTTCCACATCTTTAAGGACTGTCTCACGGATCTGCAATTCACGGCCCATTTCTTCAAGATGATTTTGACAGTAAATCATAATTTTGCTTGCAGCTTGCAGATCTATTGGATTACATTTATCCCTTGCTGAACTGTCTAGATCTTGTTCCAATTGTTTGCACACTTCAATCTGATCTAATATGGATCTCTGCAGCATCTGGAATTTAGAGAATGACCGAAAGTGTCAGCAAGTGAAAGAAAACATATCCTGCATTCAAGAGCTGAACCTATGACTGAAAAACAATTTGTAACAGCAGTAAAAAAGTATGCTTAAAAGGGTGGTTAAGATAGAAGACCTATTCTGGATGTCAGTGGAGGGAAGGAAAGAGAACAAAATAACCAAATCAAATGATATTCCACACACAGGAAATCTGATCAGCACCACAGAAAGCTCAAGGCTCCTTCCAGCAATCAAACAAGGAGAGAGATGATGATAGTTCTGGGACTGAAAGCAGCAGGCTCTCACAGCAGGACATCAGTCAGAGCACAGGCAGCCACAGATATATTTATTACTCTGCCATCTTTTCAGTTCTTTATGCTATACTTTTGGAGCAGACTTCCATGCATTTAAAAATCTCCTGGTGCAGCCTGCAGGCTCTCTGCTTACAGCCCTCAAAGAGCAGCGTGTCAGGTTGTGAAAGCCAGCTGTGCACAGAGCTGGGCAAAAATTCTGGGTCCTTGCAGCCAAAACTGGTCAGACAGAGCACACATGCTCCCTGCCCTACAGCTTGAGAGACCTAAACCCTACTTCACTGGAGAGCCAAGGGCAGACAAATGCAAACTTTCAGTTCTGTGTAGTTGTCAGTGTGCTCAGCCCAGAGGGCAAGCCAAGAATAAAACAGAATTCACCCTGCCCAGTGGACCAGGGCCTGGGCATCAGGTATTGGAGGCAGGGAACAATTACTGCACCCACACTGAGCTTCCAAACCCATCCTGAGCTGTGCTCAGACACTGCAGCAGATGTGACACAAGGCAGCTTGGCTGAGCTCATAAATTAACAATATGTTATGTGCATGACTCCATAAAGTGATATAAGGCCAGGTGGGAACACCACAAATCTGCATTAAAAGGAGATCCTAACCTACAATGAAATGTTCACAACAATGGCTTTTACAGTAGAACCTACAGAGGGTCCCTGGCTGGTTCTACAGGACCAATAATGTTTAAAACATAGAGACTAAAATGCTGTTACAGATTTCAGAAGGTTTGGGAAGTCTTGTCAGCAGCCCCAACCTCCTGAGTGAAAATTCCATGAAGTTCTCTACTTCCTAGAAATTATAATCTATCCTTGCTAGGGTGTGGTCTCTGCATCTCCCCTTACCTTCAGTTCACTATAAGCAAGGTCAGTGTCCATCAGATTAAACTGATGGATGTACTTTTTCTTCAGCCACTGATTTAATGATTCACAGAGAAAGGTGCATTGATTTTCTATTGGCCGGACAATTTCCACAGCAGTCCTTAAAGAGTTTGCTCTGCAAGAAAGGTAACAAAACATGAATTTGGAAAGCAAACAAGAAAAGACACTCAATATTTTTAAGCACAAAAAGCCACAAAAATAATGTAACTGTCAAACAGATCTAATCCTCCTTCTCCTGAGGTCAGATGAGCTTTCCTCTGATTAAGGGGAAAAGCAATGTGAATCACTGTGAATTTAACCAAAAGATGAAAGGAAATAACAGCAATACATGGGAATAATGCACAGTTATGTAACAAAGATCTGTCTCTGTTCTTCTTGGGGAGACTCACACTACCTTCCATGTGTATATGAATGAAGAAAAGCTAAGAACAGTTTAATTTTTTGCAGAGATGAAAAGGTTAAAAATGTGCAGCTCTTTTCTGCAACACACACCATCCTCTTCACAACACACACAATTAGTTACAATTCCTTAGCTAATACCAGTAAGTGTAATTTTATACCTGGTATTTATATTATCCTGAAGTTCTTTCCACTCGCCTTGTAGCTTGTTTCTTGCCTCAGCAAGAGCAGCCTGCTGCACTTCAGCCACAAGATTTTCTAAGGCAGATGAGATGTTTTCCAGTTGTGTCCAACTAGAACTGATTTCATTGTCTATTATTCCCTAGAAGACAAGCAGTTCTAATGCATTAATATGATCCTGCATTTCTCAGTGGACAGTTCATAAAACTACAGTCACAAGAGTCTCTACAAAAACAGTGAAAACATCATCTGAAACTAAGAGTATCTATTTCCTTTTCCCCTTCAAGACCCAATTTTTAGCTGCATGCAAACCTCCAGCAACTTTTTATGGTGACAATTTCCATGTCAGATACACGCCTTGGCTACATTTATAAAAGGCTCAATAAATAACGGGCCAGGCATTCTTACTACAAGAATGAAAATATCTCCACCTAGCTATGTTCAGAAGAAAAACAAATGTAGAACTGAACCAAGTTCTGAGATTCTTGATAAGGCTTTGCAGTCCCTTCAAGAAAGGCCCTGAAAAATTGCAGTAATAAACTTTTCAACATCAACTCTGTGCCTTTTGTTGTTGCCTTAAGGATCTCACAGACTTTTCCAAGTTATACATCCTGGAACAGTTCCATTGTGCACAAACACCACTTGGTGGTCCAGCTCTGATGACTCCTGCAGCCCTGGCTATCTCTGCTGACAAAAAAAGCTCTTTTCTGCAGCTTTTTTCCCATTACACCTATTTCAGCCTGCAGACAACAAACCCAGAGCCACGAATTTCTTCTTTCAGCAACACCTGCAAAACTCCACTGCTAAGCAGCAATGCAGTTCTGCTGAATCCTAAATCCTCGATTTCCCTTCTTCTAATACATCTGCTTGCAAGGATGCTGCTTTTCCTTGGCAATGTATGTAACAGAGAAGTGAGTGCTCTACATGAGAAAATAACAATTTAGGCATCAGGTATATTCTTAAAAGATGAATACTTGCCTCTAGTTCAAGCAGCTTAGTCAAAAGGCATGAAGTGCCTTTTATTTCATCAGTAAAGCCAGATGCTACTTTGCCTCTGCTGAGTCGAAGAAGTTCCTCCAGGTTACTTCTTTGTGTGTTAAAGCTAAGGAAAGATGCAAATACTTTCAGAGAGAGTATTACTTTTAATTAAATGGAACATCTCGGGGTATGGGATTCACTGACCAACAGAGCACCATAAAAAAATTAGCATAAAGTCTATTGCAAACACATATTTTATTTAAGTCCAAAATGAATGAGTAATGCATAAATGAGCAACATATTAAAGAGATTGCTCATACAGCTAATTTTCAAGTCTAAATGTCAGCCTGCATTCTCCAGCTTCAATTTTATGAATGTAAAAATATCAGTTCTCTAAAAAACTTGACACATTTCTTTATTTTGCAATATCTGAAGTTATTAGTAAGGCAGATGCAGACTTTCCAACCTAAGAAAAGAAGTAAAACATTCATAGCTAAAAATGTTCTTGCTATAAAATCCTAATGTTTGAAGCATTTAGTTACTTGTGCTTCTTTATCAATTACAGACCAACATTCAGAAAACTGTGGTAGAAAAAAGAACAGGGTTCTGCATAGCCAAAGTGCACCTTTTGTTTGGTACATTCAATTGATTTGAGATAATTTGTCTAGCATAACATCATATCTTAACAACCATGCATTTTTTTTCCTTTAAAAATTACCTCTCTAACAAAGTTGGTATGGATGAATCACCATCTTCCTCAAACTTGTCTGCACAGCTTTCCCCATTGTGATGTTTCACATCTGGTTCCAAAACTGCATCTGCAGCAGGTCTTGAGGTCTGAGTAAAAATACAAAGGTGACAGTGACCTCCACTTCATTCTGTGTAATACACAGCAAAGCCTGACAGTGGTCTGTGAGCTCCTGAAGGAAGGAATTGCTTGATGTGTCCCAAAGGAGACGAGAGATGCCATTCATGAACACAAGATGTGGTTAAACCCAATCACGAGCCCAGAGCAAATTTTGGCATACTTGCAGCCAGCTCAGTCATTCTTTTCACAGATACAAATAAATGCCTCCAACTCTTCACTAGTCTTGCTCTCTCTGTCCTCTGAAAATTGTTCATATTACTGGGACACTATGGGGGATTTTCACTTGAACACAGCTGCCCTCATGACTCTTCGCTCCAAAAATGACTTTTTTGCAAAATACAATTCCAGGCTGGAGGTTCACATCTTCTCAGGATGCCCAGCACTGCTGCTTGTGTGTTAATTTTTAATGTTTACTTAGTCTACATTCACAAGCACAATGGGGTTTTGATTTCTGACCAGAGGCCCAAGGTCTTATCACAATAAGAACAGAAGGAGAAAAAAACACTTTTTCCTTGGGAATGACCTCCCTTTGACAGAGCACTGTTTTCCAACAGTAAGTCTGGACTTCTTACCTCCTGCACCATAAGGCTGTCAATTTGTTGAGAAGAACCAGACTCTTCTCCATTCTCAGAAGCCATAATGGAGTTCCTACAAGAACAAAATATGAAATACAAAGGGATAGAAGAAATCCTAGCTCAAGGTTTAAAATAGTGCAGCTGTGATGAAGGGTAGCCAAACATTGTACTTGCCAGTTTATGAAACTTAATCCTAAGTGTTTAAATGCACAACTGGCCACAGTAATGTACAAGTTATGTATTACCAAAATACATTGGAGTATGCCAAAATTTATGTGTAAAAATGATTATATAAAGCTACAACACACCATGACTCAGCCACCCACCCTTTCAGAGGGGACTGTCCTTTTCCAACACAAGCCAGCAGTGCTGTGTAAGTGTCTGCCACCATTTGTTGAACCTTTTCTACCCTTTTTTCACAGTCTGCAGTGAGTGCCTGTATCCCTGGGACAGCTTCTCCTGAGAGTCTTGCTAATGTTTTAAGGTCTTCCAAGGTCTTGTTAAGCTCCTTCATGCTGCCTTCGTGTGAAAAAAAAGCCTAAACAAAGAAAAAACAATATAATAAGCCCATGTTAAGACATGAGGAAAAGCAATTATTCTCTTTTTTTTAATATACTTCCATTATCTTCTTGGTTGAGTGCTCTTAAAAATCTAAGCTGTCAAACCAAGAAACACATGCTTATTTTCTCTTGGTTCTTTCTAAAATAGAGCCAGAAAGTAAATTTGGATTTTTGGAAATATGCTCCCAACTATATTCACAACACTACACTGATTCTTGCTCGATATGGAAATTCATTATGTTCTATAATTTTTAATTTTCATCCCAAGTATTCTTCACCCTGACATCAGACAGACATGTCCTACTGACTACAGAAAAAGTAGAATATTTTAAAAATATTCCTTGTCAATTATTATACTTCCCAGGGTGAATTCAAGATATACTAAAAATCTGGGGAAAAAATGGAAAAAGGATACCACCTACTTAACAAGGGGTTAATTCTAAAAGTCTGCAAGAACACTAATATCTGCAGTCAAAAAATGTAAAGAAATAATTTTGGTGGCCTCTTTGCTCTGTGCTTACATAACACAGAGCACAAGGGCCCTGCTCCACAAATAATGAACCTAAGAAAGAGGAATAAAGACAGCAAAGCATTCACAGAGAGGCAGAAAAGGAATGTGCCAGGTACCTCATGTTCCTTGATGAGCCCTTTGGTTTTATCCATACTTAGGAGTTTCTTCTCTTTGCCTAACTGCTTATTGATTTTTTTTAAAGTTGCATTAAATTTCTTTTTCTCCCTTTCTACTATGAGCTGGACACAGGATACAATTTCCTGACGAACTGCCTGCAAAATACAAAACGTGTTGTTCCCATGAGATGGTGAGACACTGTTACACAGCAAGTAAAAACATCAGAACACACTGTGATAAGAAAAAAGTGTTTTCAAAGATGCCAGGCCTAATGAGAGCAGACAGTGGATTCTCACTCCTGCATTCTCACCTCCCATCTCCTACGAACATCATCTTCCACCACCAGCTTCTCATGATCAGATGAAATATTTTTCAGCTGCTCAGCTGCTTTCAAAAATTTGTCAAGAACTTTATTGTCCAGAGCATTAAAAGCTTCCTAAAAAAAAAAAAAAAAGAAAAAAAAAAGAAAGAAACCAGAACTGAATGTAACTTATTTAACTAACAAAATGATACCAGTAGCATGTAAAACCAGTGAATAAATCAATGTATACATTACACATATGGGGTGTGTGGTTCTGGTGTGGGTGGGTACAAGAGCATTCTCCATCCCTGTTTATCTGCAAAAGGTTGCAGTATCAGTGAATGCTTTATGGAGAAAAGCAGGTGCTGTTCTTGTAGCAACTTTTAGGGGGAAATTTGGTTCCAAAGACAAAAGATAAAGGTTGCTGAACTCTTCCCCTTCCCTAGGGGATACACGAGGCCATGTCCCATGGCTGTCAGCAGGTGGGTGAAAAGTCTCCAGCAGCACCATGGGATCCTCCAGGATGCCTGGAATGAGCTCTGTGCTCCTCCTGGCACTTGGCCACCCAGCTCCTCTCTCTGCCAGACCAGGCAGCACGGATTTTGGGCACTTCCATTTCCAACATCCCTTTAAGAGATCCACATTTTGAGACAGGACATTTAATTTACCAACTACCCTCTGGGAAAAAGAGGAGATTCAGTATTTGTAATAACCTGCCCAAGAATTCAGGCATGTCATTCTTGATGGGAAGTTTAATTATTGATCAGGCCAAAAAAAAGGAGAAAAAAAAAAAAAAGCTGTAGTTCTGAAAATTATGAGTTCTGATGGAGTGATGGAGTAGTTTAGGACAGGGCACTGAATAAACTGCCACGTAGATTTATGTTTCTTCATTTCAAGTTGTCTGCCAAGTTAATAAACTGCTAAATCAGAAAACTGAGCACAGCATTAATAGCTACCTAAAAAAAAAGTCAATATTTTTCTTACTTCAGATTTTCAGAGACCACATTGCCCTCAGAAATACTCAAATTCAGCTGGTTCAGAACACAAACCCACCTCATATCTTGAAATACATTCCTCAGGACTTAATTTTTGACTGACAAGTTGCACAGCCTTCGAAATGGAGGCCTCAAGTTCTTTCTGGGATTCTTCAAAATTGAGCAAAGCCTCCTTCTCTGAGGGTCTTTTCTCAGATTTAGACAAGATGTTGTTCAGGTCACCCATGACAGCCTTGGAAGAAAGAGACTTTTCAGAACACATCTGAGTGTCAGTAATTAGATAAAGTTATTGCTTCATAACATCACTCAAGTTTTTCCAAGTTGAGATACTGATCTTGGAAATGTTCTACATTTTGCCCTGACAAGAGTTTGGGAGACTGATTCCAATAGTACAGAACCTTTTCTATTTCACATGATTGACAAAAAGTCTTCCTTATTCCATAATGCTAAAATCAGAGATATCTGTGTGTTTATAAATGAGTACCTCTACTTTGCTTCTGGCTTCTTTCACTCGTGCCTCCAGCCCAGTGGTGTGAGAATGCTGTTGAAAGCCCTGACTTGAAATATTCTGCATCAGGGATTGCAATATCTCTTCTGCTGCCACAACTTGGTCTCGGCACGAGGATCCTCTTGCAGCCAAACTCTGGTTGAACAAAAAAGCATGAGAAGCCCTTTAAAGTGTTTATTTGTCTTTTTGTTTAAACAAACTGAGTGAAAAAAACAGCCTTGATCATGGATGGTTGATACTTGGTAAAGCCTTATATTCCAGTTATGGTCAGTGTACTGCACTGTAAAATCTCTGTGTGGAGAAAAAGAAATTTGCTGCCATCCACAGGGGATTCTGTTTGCTGAAGCCATTTCTTTCTGTCAGTGCAATACCTCCCATGTCTTTGCCTCAGAGCCAATTAGATGTGTTTTTAAAACGTGCTCTGCCATCCACACAGCTTCCCAAACGAAACCACACATTTGGATGTGCATCACCTGATCATGAAGTCATCCAAAAGCCAGCACACACCAAGGCTCAGATTTTCCTGTGGTATTCAGTGCTGCAAGGCAGGAAGCAGCTGGGTGTTTTGCATGCAGGAGTAGTGTGCCATGTTTGAATATTTATCACGAAAAGTTGTTATCAGAGCTCTTTCGATTATGAATATTCAACACATTTCTCCCGTTTGAAGTTGTCAATTAGCATTCTCCTAATGATAATCAGTTTCATTGTGGATCTTGACCTATTGTACTGCAGGTAAGGAGAGACCTGATCTCTCCTGCCCCCAGACATGGAGATACCATGCCAGCCACATGTTTGGAGGCTGTATGTCAGGATGCCCTTTGTTAATTAATGTTTTTTTAACAAACTAGAGTGACACTGCAAAATGAGGCTTGTTTTATAAATATATGCCTGTGATTACAAAAAGATGAACAGATCCTTTTCGTCTCTCATGCTCCCAAATCTGTCAGCTTAACACTGTGCAAGAAGGCACAAAGCAACAGGAAATGAACAGTGATTCTGGAGCACAGTTATTGTACGTAGATTAAATGAAATAAAGAGTATTTCTATTTATTTACAGCAGTTACACAAAGAAGTTTCAACGAAACCTCCTTCTGGTGGTCTCCTTCACACACATTAGGTTACACAGGCCCTGTTGCAGAAGTAGTAAAGGTAACATAAGACAGTGCTTCAACTTTTTCAGTGCGAAGCTTGGCATCATTGTTCTGTCTCACCTTCACTGGCAGGTGAAGAAAACAAATCAGATTTAGTATTGAAGCTGCTGAGTTATACACACGGATTTTCACCTGCCATCTGCTGGGAGCTGGGGGTAATCCCAGGCAGAGAGACATGGGAAACAATAGTGACAAATGGAATTTTTTGTTAGAGATTAATTTGTGCTCTATGTGGATACTTAGAACAACTGCCTATAAGATGAGATTCCCAAATTACCCCACACGCTGCTGAAAATACTTTGAGTCTCCCAGTTTTTGATGGGTAAGCCTTGAATACAGCCAAGGTGCCCCCAAAAAGTGCTGTATGACCAGGGGAACTACTCAAATTGACAACTTGCAGAGTTCTAGTCTGCTCCAAGTGCTGTGCTGGACAGGAGTAATTAATATCACTCAAGAACAAGCTGCTGATCAGTGGCACCAACAGCATTTCATTGGCACCTCTTTGTCATCTGGACACACTGATGGTGGAAGATTCACTCCCAGCTCATCTGGGAGTGACCCTGAGAAATAACAAGAAGGCACAAGGAATGTCTTGACTTTTTACAAGTATTACAGCACAAAATCCACATTAAGTTCTGCTTCACTGACAATGCCTCATCTTATCCCAGCTACAAATCCATGCTGCAAGATGAGAATCTGAGTATTTTAAGCAGCATTTTCACCTGCAAATGTTCCTCCATCTCAGGTTGCACAGGCTCCTCGTGACTGATCTTGCTAAGCAGATGTCCCATCTCTGCTGCCCAGCTGTCCACCCCTCCAAGCAGCTCTTCAATTTTCTCCAGGCTCCCTGGAAGCTCCATGGGCTTTTCAGCAGCATTTGTGCTCTCTTCTCCAAGCTATCAACAAAGAGCAGGGTAAGATGTTCATTCCCATCATCTCCTCACTGCCCTCCTCCAACACTGTCACCACCTGGGTCACTTCCCAGTCTTAGCACCCAACAGGGATCAAAGGAGAAATAAATGCCAAACATACTGGTAAATAAAACATGTGAGGCTCAGCTCCTCAGCCCTGAGGGCAGGTGGGACAGCACAACCTGTGCCCATATGGCCTGTCCCTTGTCCCCTCCCCTATAAGCAGCCACATTAGTACAGAGAAAAACTCCTGGCCTGCACCAGGGAACTGTCCAAGAGAACAGCAGCTGGTGTTGGTTAAATCAACATCAGGAAATGTACTGACAGTTTAATGGTACTGGGAGTCACAGGCCAGAGCTCAAGCATTTGGTCTTGTATTTTATATTAAAAAAATATATAATATATGTGATAGTCATAATGTCCAAAGCAATGCCACAAAAATAACTCAGGAAGTCCTTAAGACCTCAGACAGGCTGCTTGCACCTTCTCTGAGTCCTCAATATATTTCTCTGAAGCATCTCTTATTAAGGGTTTTTCTAGCAAACTCTGGATTTCCCTCACCCTTTAATTGCCTCCTTTGATTTTATTGCATTCTCACTAAGCTCATCTCTTACAAAAATGTTGTAGTAATCTTTTGCCACCATTTACTGTCACAGCAGTACCTTTAATAAATGTCAATGAAAGGCTCAACTCAGAAAATTAAGAGTTCTAATATTCCCAGGCAGAGTGAAAATGTCATTCTTGTGAAAGCATTCTAGGAAATGTAAGATGTATAACATTAGGTAGGTTGTATAGGGATTTACAGAATAATAAAAACCTGTCAAGTGAGCAGGTGAAGAGTTGCACAACCTTAGGAATATCTGTGCAGCAATAATAATATCTGTGCAGCAATAATGACTTTCTACTAGCTAAGACAGAGATTGTAAAATTTAGCACAGGCTAAATTGATTACTTCCACTCCTAGCACTGAATTAAGAGAAATAAGATTTCCTTCTGCAATAAGATTTCCTTTTATAAGTGGTTTTGAGATTTCAATTTAAAAATTGAACATTTTCCATCCTGTTATAATGAGAATTTAACTGAGTCACAAGGACTAACGAATGGGATGCTGCTGTGTACTCTCTGTTCCTCAAGCTTTAAAATTTGCAACCTTGAGTTGACTGAAAGATTGATCAATCTCTGATTAGCAAGCTGGTAGTCTAGAAAAGATGACTTTGAAGGCTGCATGGTAAAGAGTAATAATAACTTGTGACTCACAAAGTGTGTCTTCTTGATGAACTTTGCCCATCTCCTGTTCAGTTTCTTCAGCTCTTTGGCAATATTTGATCCAACTTGCTCTTTGCTGATTTCAATGAGATGGTTCCCAGCTTCATTTAAGGAACCATGAATCGAATTCCTCTTTGCCAGGATCTCAGCAGGGATCTAGACAGAGGCATTGAAATCATTTAAATATGATTCAACATGACCCTGTCAAACATTTATTTCCAAAATGAAAAGCAGAAAAGCAACAGCAGCAGCCACCCTGAGATTTAATGTTTTTCTTTCAGGAGTTTTTGAAGTATCTCTGTAAAACAAAGAGAAATCCAGCCAAGTACCTCTTTTGGATCCTCATTCCTGTTTTCTTCCAGCCACGTCTTTAGTAAGTGGATGTTTTCTGTGTAATTACTCCAGGAGGACAGAACTTTCTGTAGGGTGGTGTTTACATTGGAAATATACTCTTTGCACATAGAAATCTTTGCCTCCACTGTCTTCAAAAGTTTACTGATTTCTTGGGGCTCTCCAGCTAGGACATGGAATAGGGATTATTGTTATACATTTGGAAACAGAGAGGTTAATTAAAAGAAGCACTGTTTACATGGAACGGTAGAGGGAATTAAAATTAGTGGCAGCACATCAGTTCAAAATAGAGATCGTCATATCAACTTATGTGCATGAGCTTACCCGAGTCAGGACAACTTATGTTTTTCAAGTCTTCACAGATGTGAGTAGCAGTGTCTAGTTGTGTTTCAAGTTTCTTTTCTTCAATGAAATTCTGCCCAAAGTGAAAAGTAATTGATATGGGTAACACTGAACAACATAAAACTGGGTAAGAAATACAGCTTGGGACACTTTTTTTTTCTTTCTAAATACGAGCCTACAGATTAAATGTAAACTGAGCAAAGCCCACCCAGCAACTCAGCTGCAGCCTTTAGTTTGAAACAAACCTGCTCTTTCAGTCTGCTTGTGCAGACAGTAAAGCAAATAGAAACATGAGTACCTGAATGCCACTGCCTGAGCCACAGCCCTGCATGAGTCAGGACTGCTTGTTTCAAAAAGTTACATCCCCAGGGCAATTCTGAGAAACAGCATCTAGAACAAGTCAGGCAGATTTTAGTCACAAGTCAAAAAGTGATGAAAGCAGAAGGTGGGTTTCCCTGCATGCACAGAAATATTGATGTGCCTCATTTCTGACACAGATCAAGACAAACTGGGGCTGGAGAGGGTGAAAGAGGAAGAGACTTGTGTGTGCACAGGGAATGAGGGTCGATCCTCAGCCCCTCTCAGCCTGAGCTGATCTCACTCCAGCACTCCCTACTCCTACTAATGCCCTACCCAGCAGGCAACAAAACCTTCCCTGTGACTGTGACAAACCTGGGCCACCACATCACCACTCAGCCAGGACTTCACATCATAGGACCAGAAATTAAGCCAGCAAAAAGCCCTAAACTCCCTGGGAAAGCTCTGCATTCTATCAGCTTGAGCAAGGCCATGAACCACAACTGCAGAAATAATATGATAATAAGTATTTATTAAACCAACTGAGGCAACAAACTCAGCACAGATTAACTCTGCATGACCATCTCACTACAGGGTGAGGTTGACACTGCTCAGGGAAACTGCTATTTTATCCAACCTATTGCTGCCTCCTTCCACCCTACTGTGAGGCTGATGAAATTCCCACTAATTTAGCTATGGATTTGCCAGTCTGAGAATCCTCTGAGAAAGTCCACTAAGATGGAATTCACAAGGAATCCCATTAACTTGAGATGGGGAAAAAACAGGAGGCATCAGCATTTTCACCTCTGCCTCTAGGCCTGATGCAGTATCCTTTGTCAGTGTTTGAGGATGGGCAATCCATCCCCTCCTAAAAGCCTACATGTGGCATCAGTTTCATAACTTGAGTCCAGAAACTGAGCTAAGCATAAGATGTAATAGAACAAGACAATTCCTATTCACCATGAAGCATAAGGAGGTAAAGAAGCTGGGAGAAGGAAGAGGCAGCAGCGAATAATGGTTGGTTTTGAAGAAAGCAACAATTGAACTACCCCAGAGAGGGTTCTGTGGATTGGAGCCAGGGAAGAGCTGCTACAGCTGGCTCTATAAATAGTCTAGAAAGAAAGAAATCTTCACAATAAATAATAAAAACGAGCAGAGAGAAAATCACAGTCATGGCTTGCGTTACTTCTCCAAACTGAAGAAAGAACTCTCATTCATAGCAAAATGGAAGATGTTGGGGGCAAGAAAAGCTTCTAGAGAAGTCTACCTGCCCTTCTTTGAATAAATCTGAGATTTCACCAGTCCATCATGCTTCTACAAGCTATAATATCTTCAGATGACAAAGACATAAGACTGAACCCAAGAGAGCTGGGAAAGAATTACCATCAGGGTGTGATACATATATCTGAAACTTACATTCCAATTTTCCAGCAGTGATTCCACAGACTCTTTTGCCCCATATTTCATGTCCCAGATATTTAACTTTAACTTCACCTCATTGGCAATGGCTGAGCACAGTCCATAGTGGTATTCAAGAAAAGTGCTGGGGTTTGTGGAACGAATATTGCTAAATCTGCAAACACAAATGAATTAACAGAAATTTATTCAAAACCATTGGCTATACAAGGCATTAATGTATCAGGATTTTATTCTTAAAAATCAAAATTACACATATGTAAACCTTTTTTTTTGTTATGATAGGAATTAAGTGCTAATATAGCAACAGTGCATTTTTTTAAGCAGCAATAATTGAGCAGCCAATGTTGTCTGCTCAATGTATGAAAAACCTTAAATGCTCCAAAAAGGGGCATCTGCCACTTGTATGTCAAAGCACCTCAGGTTATGGATACAGATTCACTGGTCATTTTGTAAAATATCCTCCAACAGATATTTGGGGTCATAGAAGCTATAGATCACAGTGATTTTTAATGGTGGAAATAAAAGTTTAGAGAATCCCCACCACCAGGGAAATTTCTACACTGAAAATATTCAAGTTTCCTTTCCCTAGTAGTTGCTTCCTATCCCCACTAGCAATGGGCATCTGAAAAGGTCCTGTTAATGAGCTCCACACATAATTAAACATTCATTGGACCAATGAGAGATCCCTGCCTGCTCCACTTGACAGTCAGCCTGTGTTCAGGTCGAAAATGCTCTTTTTTTTGCAAGGCATGGTTAAATTGTGAGCTTTGCTCAAAATAGCAGAGCAAGTCAATAGCAGAGCTAGAACACAGCATTAAATAGAGGGAATTTGAGCATCACAACCTTCTTTTCATTTCCTCTAATTTTTCAGGCAAGACTAGTGGCATATTCTTCTCATCTTCATTCTTAAACGACTGAAGGGTGTCCAAGTGAGAATCAAAACAATCCATCAAGCCCTGGGGAGAACAAGACATAGTAAGACATTCAATTTGATTTAGAGTATTTCATCTGGGAATCTCCAACTCACCTGCCATGAGGGAAAGAGCTATTAAGAACTAGTCAGCACAAGACAATCTCCCAGTGTCTTCACTCAATAAAGTGCAATAAAATTATTTACTTAATCACCTTCTAAAGTGCTTATTTAGTCCAATACTACCTGATTTCTCTTCTCACTGTGCATCTGCTTAAATATAAGGACCACAGACCTTACACTACTCCTGCTATCAGTTTTTTCTGCACCTTTACTATCATTTTAGGAGAAAAAAGCATCACTGTAGCAGCTTCAGGGTATTGAGTTGTTCTTTGCTATCCCTTAGCAAAGATTGACAGCAAAACCTGCTGAATAAATCTATTTATGTCACCTGCTCCATAGCTCATTTGGCTGCTCAATAAATTTGTGTCTAACACCAGGCTGACAGGCTATCAAATTAATCATTCAATAGCCTGTGTCCCATGATTGGGGAGTATTTTACAGGCATGTAAAACTGGTCAGCACCTTCCTGAAAATAAAACTTAAAATTCCCTACCTGAAAATAAAACATAAAATGTACTGCACAGAAGGTAAGCCTATTTCTTAGTGACATATAAAAAAAACCACTACAAGTTCACTTCTATGTTGTAAACTCTGCCACAAAAGCACATTAATGGAAATGACTAAATCCTGGGACAGTCCTCAACCACAAAAATAGTGCACAGATTTCTAACACTGGATTTTGTGATCTTAACACTGTTTCAGCCAGACAGTTATGTGCAGATAACTGGTAGATAATTTCCCAGATCTTAAGTAAAATTTGCATTATAAGGTATCACCTTGCCCACATATTATCCCTACACACTACATACTAAAAGAGGAAAAAATTCTCAGCAGGATGTCTTCCCAGCAAGAAAAGTTAATCTGGAAGAAATTAAGTATTATTGTGTTTCTTCTTCTGAAGGAATGCAATGATTTATTCTATGTGTTTAATGGGAAAAAATAAGTGCCTTAAGAAGTGGCATCAGTCTCTCTATCTTATTCTTAAAAATGCTTTAAGTACTTAGGTTGCACTACAGAAATCTTAGATCAAATGGCTAAAGACTGACAAAGCTGTGACCAGGTAAAAAGTCATCTCTCATATCAGGAACTGACCAGAAACACAACAAAAAAGTGGTGTTATTAAGCCACTTGCAAGAACCTCCACTGCCCATTCTTTCAAATTCTCCTCAAGGACAATGTCACAAAACCAACAAACTTGTTTATAAAAAACCCAAGCATGGCATAATGATCACCAGCCAGGCATCAACACATACACTCTTTCAGAAATTTCAAACTCAAAAGGATGTTTAAACTATTATCTGTGCAAATATTTGAAGATCAGAATAAATAACTTGCATGGTATGAAGGTATCAAAATATCCTTGCCTTGAATGGAACTACAAAGTGATTCAGCAAATATTTAACTTTAAACACACAAACTTCATGAACTATTTAACTTTAAACACACAAACTTCTTGAACTCCCTGGAATGTAACCTTAAGCTCAAGTGCTTTTCTGAACAGGTATGCATTAAGCATAGATTTAAAGATAAAGATGCAATTATCCTGTGCTATTACTTAACAAACAAACAAGTTGCAGGAACCACATAAAAAAAATAGCATAATTTACTCATTCAGGCAGTACTCAAATTTAATCTCACCCCAGTGGTCTGAAACCTGCCTCATAGACCCATGCAGTCATTTAATTAAGCTCATAATTCTTCAAAGGTATGTTCAGAAGTGCTTTTCATCTTCAGAAGACAAACATATGCACACCACTTCCCAAAATGTCAAACAGCAATTCCATAACAAGTGCTTTGCTGGGTCAAACTGAAGCAGAACTTCCTTTGTGATCAGCATACCTTAAATATTACAATTATTTCTCTGAAGACAGACATTGCTTTGAACGGATCCTGCAAATCAGGCAAATCTTCTGCCTGCAGCCGTTCCACCTCCTGGAGCCAAGCCTCAATGCTATCCAGAGGGGAGGGCAACATCTGGTCCAGCTTGGCTTTCCACTCGTTAATCTTTAAAAGGAAAACAAGTGGATTAAATCTCTCACTATTATTTTCTTCCCCATCTCTAAGATGTTGATATAAGCTGCATAAGCTGGTGCTTGAGACATCCCAGGAACCCACTCCCTCATGCCTGCCACTGCTCAAAAAAAAGTGATGTCAGGTAAAATCACCCTTGTTCACCTCAAATCCAGGTTTGCTCCCAGCCCATAACCTCTGCAACACCACAGAGAATTTGGCATTCCTGTCCTTTCCTGGTGATCACCCAAGGCACAGTAACAGGAAAAATTAGTGAAATAGTTACAAAACAGGGGGAGGAACAGAGATGAACAGCTTTCTGTCACGGGGCCGACAGGGGAACATCTCTTCCAAAACCAGCAATTCCCAGCATAGCCCTACACATCCCAATTGGAGCCAACACAGTGAACCTCACTGCAAAGCTCTGACCAACCAGACCCCACTACACCAGTATCTGTGCTCTGAGCCATAACTATGTCCCAAAATAACATTTTAAGCATAAATAGCCCAAAAAACTTTTGATCAGAAGAGTGCTCCAAGATAACCAGATGGAGAGCATTTTCCAGGGATGTTTCAGTCCTGAGGCTCAGGAGGCAGAAGGGTAACACACAGTCACCTTCTGCCTCCTCTTGGGCACTGAATGCCACTCAGACTGTCTGGACTTCAGGTTCAGGGTCAAACCTCTTTGACCATTCCAAACAAAGCATCATCTCCCCACTTTTCCCTCACAGTGTGAGTTCCTGGGGTAGACAGGCTTCTTCATCCATCCCACATGCTCATGCTGGTAATGGGGTGAGTGAGAAATGCCTCTGACCTGAGAGATCACTTTATCCCACTCTTCCCTCATCTGCTGCTGGCCTTCACTCAGCTCAGCTTCACCTCTTTTTGATGACAACACAGGCAGAAAGGGGATTTTCTCTTGGTTAAATGTTTCCATAAATGACATCATTTCCTAGGGATAAAACAGAAGAGTAATTCACAGATGTCAGATGGAAGCTCACAGAGCCAAGTCCTGCCTTTGAACACACTGGTATGAGTTCCATTAACTTCAAAGGGTGTGATGCATGCAAAGGCAAGATAGCAAGAGGCATTCTTGTCTCCAGGCAGTATTTGGGTCTGAAATTATAGGTGCCATTCCCTAAGTCTGTATTTAACATAATGTCAGTGCAGTCAGAACACAATTCTCCCCTCCCAGCAAGAGAAAGGGAAAATTCCTCCTCTCACAGTTCCCCACGGGCCACTTTATTACAAACTCTGGCTACAATATAAAGCCAAAGGAAATTTGACTTCAGCATAACCTATAGCCAGCAATTCAACTACTCCTCTACAACATGAGCTGGGTAAAAGCTACTGCTGTAATTAGCACAGAAATAGCAAAAGTCACTCTGTGAAGGGCCTACGTGTCTGAACCCTATCCAAGTCTCCACCTACATCAATTAATTAAGACACTACTCTTTCCAAAAACTCAGCTCAAAAATGAAATAGCATCTCTCTTTTTCATAACAGAGAGAATTTTAGCCCACCTTTCCCTCAATCGTATGAGGGCATTTAACAATTTCATCATCAGATTTCCAAGTTTTCTTTAAAAGCTTATTTAACACTTCAGTTTAGGCAATGAAGATGAAAAATATTAAAAACACTCACAGAAACAGATTCTTTTCACAGAAGCTTCTAAACATGAAATGCAACTTACTTTGTACTTCTGGTAATACGTTTCATTCTCTGTTTCCACCAGAAGCTTTGCTAACTTCTTCTCCTGTGCAGACAACCAGCCCATGGCCTCTCTTATTTTCTCCTGGTAATTAGAGCAGAAAATTTCCTTTTTCCATTTTGCAAGCATTGTTTGTAATTTACATTGTGCCATAAAACAACACTCATTGAGCCTATGATAAAGTCCATTCAAAGCTATTGAAAAACAAGTAATAATTCCCGGGGACCCTGATGAATTTTGAGTCAGGCACTATTACACTGCAGGGACAAAGTTTTAAACTTGGCACCTGGATATATGAAGACATCAAAAAAAGACCTGAGTGCAGTTCTACTGGAAGGAGATTATCCACATGGAGATATGTGAATAACACTTTAAACTCTCATAAGAGAATACAGAGAAGAGAAAATGTGGGTTTCTGGTCAGTGTTGTCTGTCAGAGGGAAAATCTGTCCACTTTACAAGTCAGATACTAAATTTAAAGCTGGTTGTTTTGTGCATCTGAAAATCTGTCTCCCTCTCCTCCAATGTTTACACAGAGTTCAGAGCACACATGAAAACAACCAGCTTGAAAATGTCCTCTGTAATAGTTAAATGAAAACAAAACCGCCTGCACAGCAATTCCACCTGTACGATCAAACAAAAATCTGCCACATGGAGTTTTCTTCTACCACACAGGAGCATCAGAAGGTTCAAGCCAATTCAGTCCTGCCAGTAGCAGAATCAGAGGATCCACGATGTGTTACTGACTCAGATATAAACTGGGCAAAGACAGCACATGCATTTGAAAATGCCTCAGTGATAGCCCACACAACATACCTGCATGTCTTCTTCAGACTGAGGCAAATTCTTGGAGTATTGCAAAAACTGAGCCACGTAAGTCATGATTGATTTTTCATCCGGATTCACAATGTCAACATCTACGAGAGCCAATACACCATTTACATAATTATGCATCCTTCTAGGCCTGATCACATAATTACACACTGAGCTGCAGTTATTAAAACACATTACCATAAATATGTTTATTTTGCAACAGCTCACTTAACATGCCATTGACAGAAATTAATATGTAATGAACATTCCTTTTCCTTGGGAATATTTTAATAGAACATGATTAAGTAATGAAAAAGTTTCTCCCATGAACAGGAAAGTTTCATACCCTTTCTTCTGCTCATTGCTCCTGCAATCGTTGCCAAGTCAAAAATCCTACAGTCCCTAAGTACAGCTGATATTATAAAATAAATGCTCAGGTTTGAGCATTACAGCAAATACCAATGTTCCATGTCAAACTTAAGCACAGTCTTATAGAACCCATTAATCTCACTCCTCATTACAAAGATTTTTAAAAAGCTGATAATTTACCTTCAGGCTCCAGAAGCCGTGGGATGTTCAGCTCCAGTTCTGCAATTCTGAAAGCCTCTTTCAGGTTTTCTTTGTTGCTTCTGGCTTTTGCCTTCTCCAGATCAACCAGACCTGGCCTCAAGGTTTGGATGATGGCTAAAAAAGCCAGTCCACTTCGCCAGCTGGACTTGAAATCAGTGACACTGACAGAGCCATGCCTATCCCAGAAATAAGTGGAAACAAAATGTGAGGACACTTGAAGAAACAGGATTTAAATACAAATTTAGAAATAGAATATAAATTCAGTAAAATGGAATACGAACCAAATCCAAAAGCACCTTGCCATTGAACTTCTGAACAAGTCAGACTTGTCTGAACACAGCCAGCACTACCCATGACAACAATTACTTATTTTTACAAGATGACCATTTCTTTTTGTCTACTACTGCATAAAAGATTAAGCCTTGCCAATCCAAATCCTTTCTAAATATCACCTTTGTGTTCAACAACTATGCATTCTATGGGGTGGAAAAGCAAGAAGAAAAGCACTGCAGAACATGTATTTGTCTGTAAGGACACCAAGACCTGGCATTTTAAAAATCCAAATCTTAAAAGCGATGTATTAGTGCGGGAAAAAGTATTTATTTTTCTCTTAATTTGCTTAGTGTCTTTAAATCATCTTTTATTAATGTTCACAGCTTAAACAGTGCTGTGAGGCGCCCAGCCATGCCTGCCACAGTGAATTCTGGGACAACTTTCCAAAAACAGCCTGTATGTTATGAGCATGCTACAGCATGGAAAAGATGTGGGGTTTCAGGCAATCAAATTTAGTCACAATACAAAGGGCTAAGTCTTACAAGATTTGTTTCTTTACCAGAAACTACAGGATTCACTGGTAACAAAATATTTCAACATAATGACACTTCAGAAATGATACTGCAAACCAGACAGCAATATTGCTGAAAAACAGGCAAAAGAAAGAGGAAGATTACATGGATAAAGAGCTGGTTTTGATGTGCCAATTAATCTTCTGATAAAAGACAGCTAGAAGGCAAACCTCAGTGCCATTCTACTGGCACAAAGTGTCTGATGTGCTGATGGAGGCCTTTATCTCCCACTAATAACATGGAATATTAGTAGGATTTTATTAGAACATAAAACAACCCAAAGAGCTGTGAAGAAAGAGCTGACATTACTGTAACACACAGATCCTGGAGTGAAGCAGCAGCCCTTGAAGAAAATGTAAATATCTGTATCTGCTCTAGATTGTGTGCTGTGAGCACAACCCCCCTTGAAAGCAGCAGTGCTTTCTGCACATCAGGCATAAGGAAACATCTTGATAGAATTAGGGACTAGGACCAGCAGGATTAGCATCCTTCTTTGGGATCATGCAGCGTTTTGACAGAAAAGCATGAGTTACGGCAATCATAGAAATTCTACATTTTCCATTTAAAAATATTAAAAAACCCTTGAATCTTTGTGAATCAGTGCCAACCATGAGGATTAAAACAAGTAAATCATGTAAACATTCCACTAAACTTATCACACAGAAGCCCCTAAAAAAGAAAAGCTAAACAACTCAGATTATACTGTTGTGTTTAATTAGTGAAATGAGCTTTGCTTTATTATATTTAAAGGGCTTATGTCAAAACATTTGGGGCCTGATTGATGCTAAAAGTACTGGTAACCACAAGTGAAAGTTAAAGGATTTTCTGCTAAGCTGTCAGTAAGTAACCTTAAAAAACAGGGGGAAATATCAGCACATTTAGAGGAAAGCACTAATACAAAGTGGAGCACGCTAATTTTAAGTCTTGGATGGAACTTACAGCGAACACTGCTCTTTTGCCCACAACAAAAGAGCCTTTGTAGCAGACATCTTCCACCGTTCCTTAATTTTAGCACTTTTTTTAGCTGATCTGCTTGCCTTTGGAGAGGAGTCAACAATACTTGAACAATCAGGTGAAGGCTGATTGTAGGTACAGGCAAGTGTCCTGGCCAGCTCTTCAATCTGTCAGAGAAGAGGGGAGATTAATGAGGCAGCAGAGAGAGTTACCCAGAAACACCACAGAGAATTAGACAGGACTCAATCACAGCTGTAACAGCAGCTTCCCTTCCCCCAGAAACCAAACCAGGCTTTTTAATCTGCACTATCTGAACTATTTCGTGCTGAACTCCCATCTTCAGGCAATTTTTTGGCAGGATATATTCACCCCAAGACTTCTGTGTTATGCTGGGGGTATCAGCAATGACATCAAGGGACCTTCTCACTCAATTTCTACTCTAACCAGTGACAGCAGCCCATGACATTGTATTTTCTGCTGTCAAGAGTGACATCTACTAGGCATAGTCAGAGTTTGCCTGGTCACTCAAAGTTCAGGAAAACCTACTTGATAGACCTCAGAGACCTCTACTTGGTTAGAGAAGCTTTAGTTCTAGGTAAAAAGGTAATTGTACATGAGCAGCATAAGACTCTTGTAATCAAAGTACCTCTATCATGAAAAACATGGGCTAAATACTGAGAAAATGAGCTAAATAGAAAACATTGCTTCTAGAAAACACTGTGCTGAGCCCCAGACACCAGTTAGTGCAACCACATTATTTCACTGAGCCAGCTCAGCTCCAGCATCCTCTGCAGCCCTACAGGATGATTAAATCAAGGCCCTGTGCTTTCACACCTCCTCATAACCTCATGCCATGCAAGATGCACACACTTATTGTGTAAGAAACATGACTATGACAGCCTTCATGGTACTGAAAAAGAATAATACAAGAATTGTACATTGTAAGCAGTCAGCACTGAGGAGTGGGGCTGCCTCTGAGAGAGATGGATGAGCCACTTCACACTACTGCTCTTTTTGGAGCTTAACCATTACAGAGCTTAGACAAGCAAAGTTTAGCCTATTTTTTAACCGGTTACTTCCAAAAAAATCTCAGTATGTTTCCTTCCTACCATTTGCAGCTAGTTACTGTTCACCACTGCCACCCCTGCACTGGTGCATCTCCTCTTTGAGCTGTCACTTCCACAAGTCAGAAAATCATCTTTTGTTTAGTACTAATTCATCTTATTTAGCAATCATGTAAATCAACACATTTTTGTGCTTTTCCCCTCTACTAAAACTCTCTTACATTGCTGAAATACTCACATGAAAATGAAATATAATGGTCCAGATTAGCCCAAGCACAATGGAAGGTTTTCCTTCAATAATGTCAGCTACATGAATATTTATGAGCTTCAGCTAAAGAGGGAAAAAAAAGGGATCATTGTTAACAAAGAAAATGTTCCACCAGCTAAACTGGCTTTAGTTGTGCATTTTGAAGTTAATACTCACTGATCTGCTCTTTAAAAATGTCAAAGCATTTTCTATATTACTTCTGCATTGGAAGGTATTAAATCCTTTTTCCCGTGGCTGCAAAGCAAAAAGAAAAAAAAAAAAAAACGAAAAAACAGGTTATATCTTCAACTGTAAAAATTAATTGTATTCTATATTTTGATAAGGGAAGTCCTGCAAATATTTATAAATTACCTTGGATCAACTTACTTCAGTGTGTTTCAGAGTCAATGGTATAAAAATAAGTTACTTGAAACTAACTCTATGTCTCTAGAGGGATGATTCATATGGTTGCACTTAAGCATATCCAGAAATCTTTGCTGGACTTGACAAAGGATTGAGGTAATATTTTTATTACTCTGTCTTACCAGATGTTGACCTGAAAGCACTTCCAACAGATCCAGAAGCAAATGTCCTTGCTGTATGTCTGTATACAGGTCTGAGACAACATAAGGAGGGGTATGCTGCAAGATAAATGTCAAGCTTTTGTCATTTTGAATTCAACACACTACAAAACATCTCACATTAGTCTGCTGTTAAATATTATTTAGCATCCTTTATTTTTTTATTAAGCTACAGCAAAAATTCTGCATCTAAACAGCCACATCTTGCTTCTCCTAACCCATCATTATGTGTGTGTCTTACTCCCTCCCCCTTGTCCTGCCTCTGTGTCTTCTAAGGGTAATTTTAGGCCTCACTTTCAAGCACTCACATTTTTCAAGGAGGTCTCTGGCAAAAGGAAAAAACTAATTAAGAAAGGGAAAGCAAAACAAGTCGGTTAATTCAAATGTTGAGATCTTAATCAATATACCCTAAGTACAAATTTGAGTACAGAGCTGTGTAACTAAACCTCTTTTCACCTACTCAACACAAACTTATCATGAGCTCAGCAGCTTCTGCTCAAGGAGGGAGCAAAACAGGATTATAACATTTTTACCTGAGCAAGTCAGAGCCCCAGCAGCACATGCTGCAGGAGCTGTTTTCTGCGAGCTTAAAGAGCACCTCCACTGCTATGTGGTTTGTCTTAATACTTACCAGTCACTCAGGTCGTCTCATTAAACTCATGTTCTTGGATTGCATAATAGAATAACACTTACCTAATCCCAGTAAAACCAGCTGTAAACTCAGAAACTCGTAAAACCCTGAGACATGTGCCTCAATCCACCACAAGTTTTACCACATGAGTCAGGGAGAGTGACATCCACACACAAACCACCTCATACAAATGTCCTTGGACGTGCCCCAATACAGTGCTGCTGCACTAACTAAACAAATGCTTCTCGGGGCTACTTTTCCCATCCAGTGCCTAAAAAAACTTGCACTAATTTTGTTTGTTCCTAAAAAGATTTCATCTTTGACCAGCATATCTGAATCAAAAAGGCAAAAGGCATGTCTTTGCTAAAGAACCCCCATTTACCTTGGCCAATATTGAATTTATCCAACTAGTGAAGGTTTTCTTCTGTGTAAACTCTCGCTGGACTGGGAAATAAAAACAAAAAAGAAAACAAAGTTAATGGAAAAAACGATGAGGTTTTATTCCTCTTTCTCAAAAAGACACATGGCATTCACCTCAAACCTAAGGCCAGTTCTTCCAGATATTAAGTTACTATTAAGTATCAGTTTTTCTCAACTCTTGTTTTATAGCTGGTATTTTCTTGCTTGCTGAGTTGGTACTGCAAAGACCTCTACAACCATCAAGCACAACCTACAGGATGCAGAGAATAACTAATGAAGGTTTTCTCAGAAGATCAGCAAATACAAAGAGCAGTGTGAACACATAACTCTACAGAGAAATATGTCTGCAATAGTTCTGTCCATTCCTAAATGTTTCTTCAAGGACTCAGAGCCATCATCAGGACAAGATGTAAGATCTTGGAATTTGGGAAAAGCCATGCATTGAGTTGGATGCAGGCTGGAGTTAGGTGATAAATGCACTTCTGTAGGTGAAGCCAATGAGAAATCTTTGCTAACTGAAGGGCTGGAGAGAGTTATGAGGCTGTCATGGGGAAATACAGCCTCTAATAGCATCCTTTCCATTCCACTGCTGGGCCCTCCCCGGGGTGTACAGATTATTAATCCAGCCAAAAAGGAGCACACAGGGTGTTAATAGAGGCGAGAGCAAGAAGGAAGTGCTTGGACTAGTGCAGCAGCAGAGAGCAGTGACATGGGACTCAGAGCATGAGCAGTGACACAGGGATGCTGCTCTGCACCCAGGGCACTCACGGGGCCACACAGTGAGCAGCTGGGCAGGGACAAAGGAAGATGGCTAAGACCATCTTTCAGAAACCACAGCATTTGAAGGGTTTCTCACACCTGCCTGTGTGAGAAAAAGATGAATGTCCATCTCCGGGCAGCAGAGAAGGGAAAAAATCCAATTCCCACAGAAGGTAAGGCAGAGGGTGAGCAGCAGTCAGACCAGACCAGCTACCCAGACCCAGCCCTGTCAGGGGCACTGGAGTTCATGACTTCCCAGCCCATGCTCCCTCCCAAAAAATCACCTCATTTCCAAGACATACCACAAAACCCACACATCCCTAGGGGCTGGAAGTCTGAACACAGGTGACAAACAGAGGTGCTGGCCCCTGAGATGATGGACTGACATCTGCCACCTGCAGCAATCCCAAAGGCTCATGAGAGACAGCCTGAACACAAACTCCTTTTTATCTCCTTTTCCACAGCAGCCTTGACTGCAAGCATTGGGGCTGGCTTCCCATTAAAGGCTTGCATGGAGAAACAGACCTGGAAGACAGGGTAAGAACAGACCATCTCTGCCACCTCTGAAAGCATGCTCTTGCTCAAAAGATTAATTCAAGGCAAGCTTGACATTGTAAGGCAAGTGCAAGACTTCTCAGCAACAGATATCTATGTTTTGGTAGGCTGGGCAGGATGAAGGCTACCAAAAATACCAAGCCCTCAGGGAAAGGAAAAAAAATGTTGACTGTTTGCCCATGAAAGTCAAAATACCACTCACAGGAAAATGTCCCACATTTTACTACACTCTGGGAATTGGCAGCCACAAACCCCAGTCATGGGGTCTTTTCATGATCCAAGACAGACCAAAGGAGTTTCTGTAGAGCTTCATCAGCTCATGAAACACAGACTTGAGGACAAGCCAGGCTCCTGCTCCTCAGCCCACAGGCTGCCTTCTGCCTCACTGGGCAGGTGATCAGCAACAAAAACATTCGTGTTACCTGCATGGAGCACTGCTCTGCATCCTGTAGTGAAGGTGTCTTTCCACAGCCCCCCACTAACCTGCACCACCACCATCCCGGGGGCATGAAGCAGGAGGTTTGCCCTGCTTTCAGGATTGTTTTAGGATTCTTTCTAAGCATCACAAAGATTGCCATCAAAGGGTAACACAAGGGCAATCTCAACGGACAAAAATGACACGACAAAATTGGGTTTTGTTCGGGAAACAGAAAATTAAGTGCACACACGGCACACAGACCAAACAACGCTGCAATGCTCACAGGGAGGACAAAAATAGCATGGAGATAGTGGCTTCATGTTAGCACAGGAGCCAACCACACCCTTGAGCTGAACACCACGCGGGAGCCATTCCAATTACCCAACGAGCAATTATTGAGTCGCTGTGCTCTATTTTATCAGGCAGGCAAGGCTGGCATTGCTAGCATTTGAAAAGGGATAGAGAGTAAATATTGACTGCTCTGCCTGACGCCAGGGACTCCTGCAGCTGCAGCTCTTGCCAAACACACACTGCTGCTGCTGATTTGAAGAACTCGCACTTGGGGCTGGCTACAGATGGTTAGGATGAGACACTTGGCCTTGTTTTGGTTGACATCCATATTAAAATGCTTCATTATGCAATAGGGGCCAGATACTGCAAGTGTTGATTCACATGGGCAGCTCTCAGGCAAATGTCTCACCTGGTGAAAGTACAAGGTGATTATTCCAGTGTATACATATAAGAGCACCTTAAACCTTCCACAAGCTACCTAACACAACCCACTGGGCTTCCTTCCAAGCAGCTGCTCTGCCTCTGCTGCAATGTGCCCTTTTTTCCCACCCAAACAAATAATAATAATAGAATCTCCTCCTGAATTGATAACAGAACTCCATGCTTGCCAGTATTCCCCCAGCTTGCAGTGCAGCAGTCAGGGTTTCCACACCACACACACTCAGTACAGATGTGCTCCTGGCACCATGGCAGCTGTATTGCAATTTTCAGGCCGAGTGTTTTCCCTCTCAGCTCCCCTTCCAATGCTGCTGCTCAGAGGCACTAATGATTTAATCAAGCTCTCCAATTCTTGTCTCTACCATGTGGTTAATTAATACAGATTTTTATTTTTATGAGGGTGAATGGATTCTTTGTTAGGCATTTTGTAGGACTCTAAATGACCTTGGTTTTCTCTTGCCCTAGTTTTCAAAATGTCACCGACCTAGAATTAAAAAAGCTATAAAAAAACCCCAAACCTTGATCATTCCCCCTTTACTTTGGGTCAAAACTCACTAAGCTAAAAACTGGATCTGAGAGAACAGATAAGAACCTGGTAATCTGAAAATACCCAAAATCTATCACATTTCACCCTGTCTTAACATCTCTTTAGGGAGGAATAACACATACAAGCAATGTGTCACGTAGGACAGCGAAAAATCAATACCCACTGCTGGACAATGACTGTTTTATTCAGTAATGAGCTACCAACAAGTGCTACAAACCAGGCTGATCATTAGGAGCACAGGGACACGGCAGGGAACACGTGAGTGCTGAACTCTCCCAGGAGGGAGAGGAGAGCAGCAGCACTGCCAGCCGGTTTTACTCTCAGCCTTCCTTAAACCGTGATGCAGAAAAAAAAAAAACAAGACTGGAAATTAGTCTACTCTCCCCTTCTGCCTTTCATGCCTCCCTTCCTGAGGCGGGGAATGACAGCTCTAAGAAAAGCACCATCTCCTTCAGCAGGGAGCTGGGGGAAGCAAATCATGGCAGAACAGATGTAGCCTGTCCATCCACACTCATCAAACACTGTCACCAAACAGCAAAGAGGATTTCTTCTATCACGACTTGTGTATCACTGCCAGTGAACAATTTACAACTATATGGCTTCTTTAAAAAAAAAATTAAATTTAAGCAATCGCTTTAACGAGAACAAGCCTGTCATTTTCTCATCTGTTTCACCAGGAGGAATTACCTCTTGTGTATGATATTTTGTATGGTATTTTTATATCTTCCTTTCACCACTGAGGTCAGCTGAGGCTACGTGTACAGCAGCGTGCAGGGAGCTCATCAGGAACAGATCAAGAGAGCTGCTGCTCACAGCACAGTGCATCCACCATGTGTGCAGGGACAAAGGTTGTGCTGGGCTCACTCCAGCCCCAATGCCCACAGACAGCCACAGCACCTTCCTTATTTCAGTTTCATTCAAAATAACCATTCCCACACTCCCCAACAGCCCAGCAAGATGAACCAAAGGATGGGAAGCAGGGATAACCAGGACAGCTCCTTCAAGGCAGCACTGCTGGTATGAACTAATAAACCAAGCAAGTACATTCTTTAAATGATTGGAACCAGCAGAAGAACAATTAAGTACTTGCTAATCCAGGGAGAGAGTGAGCAATTAACCCCCAAGCCCTTTGTATAGTCCCTTCCCTTCCAACCAGCAACAGTTTCATGTTCTGCAGACAGGAAAGCAGGGAAAAGAGTTATTTCCAGCATTTATGTTCAGCAACATGGTGTTAAGCAATTAAAAACAAACACAGAATTTTTTGTCAAGATTGAGAAGTTTACCCAAAAGCCAGTGAAGATAAGGAAAATACCTCTACAGGCAGGGATGGGTCTTTTCAAATCCAAATATTACATAAATATTAACTAAGTCACTACTACCACATCAGTGAAACAAGTGGAAACTTTCTGCACTGCTCCTTTCAACCTCCTTTTCCTTCTGAAAGCCAGTTGTACAGCTTACCAAAAGTGCTGCTAACTCAGGAAGTGTGTTCACACCAAGCTTTGCCCTCCTGGCTTTCTTAAACCCATTTTGCTGTTCTTGTCAGGATGCTGGAGCAGCCCTGCCCTCACTGTCTTTACTGCCACCACAAAGTGCTGTTTAGCACTCAGGGACATAGGCAGGTTGAGGTTAAATTCTTAAAAGGTATCAAGTCACATGATTTAGATACCAACATACTTTTAAAGACAAATGTTCAAGTAGCTTTTCTAACATTTTCAAGAAAACGAATTTGTTATTTTAATGCCTGTTTTTAACCAGTTATGCACCAGATAATGCCTTTAACAAACTGAAATTTACCTAGCACGGAACACTTTTATGCAATTATTTTTTATGTTAGGAGTGTGAAGCAGACAAAAACACCCACGACTGAATTTTTTTCAAGGCAGTGCCATGTTTCAGTTGCCTCTCCAGTGCCATCAGCCCTGTCCCATGCCAATGAAGCCTTGCAGTTATGGGAACTGCAGAGCAGCTCCTCATTCAGGCAGCATAAACTAGGAATAAACTTCTCTGCAGCTCCTATGGGAGCTTTTTCTAAAAGTCACCCTGGTAAAATTGTAGCAAACATTTAATGGACTTCTAAAAATCATTATAGAAAAGGAAAAAAAAATGCAGCTGCAATAAGCAAGTGGCCCCATCAGATGAGATAAACAGTTGAAACAAAAAAAAGCTGGGTAAGAGTTATTAATTTACCTGACCTCTGGATGAATTAAGAGGGTCCCAAAAATAAACCCCTTTACTCAGAGATGAGTACAATCTACTACAAGCTGCACAACAAAACCTATCCATATACCATATCCATATCTCCATATTTTCAATTTCACTTGAAATCATTCATAAAGGATTAGACATAACTTCATGAAAATAGTATCATGCATTTTTTACCACTAAACTCTCTTCAAAAACAGTTCTCTTCAAAAACTCTCTTCAAAAACAATTCTCTTCAAAAACTCTCATCAGCTTTAGCAACCACATTCGTATATTTTCATGCTTTGGGTTACAGTAATGACCAGTAACACGTACACAGATTAATGAGTGGAGCCAAAAATCAGGACCCCTGCCGTTAATTAAACAGTGAAAGAGTAAGTACATGCCCCAAACTCCAAGAGCTAAAACACACTCTCTTGTGTTTTAATTAGCTCAGCAAGCATGAAAAGAAAAGGGAAAACAGAGTTCTGTACAGGCTTGGTGGGAAGTGCCACACACGGGTCTGTTTGCTGTCCTAGGGAAGACAGGGAGGATGTGTGCATGGGACAGAAAATAGAGGTTGAATCCTCCCAGGATCAAAGGTAGAGATTCAAAGTATTCAAAGGTAGAGATTTACATTCCACAAGCGAAAAACAATCCTTTCCAGAGTGCCACGAACCCTGCAGAGCTGCTCCTGCACCCGTCCATCCACGGGCAGCCGCGCGTTCCCCGCGCTGCCATCCCGCACTCCTGCTCAGCAGCCGAGCGTGGCTCCATCTCCAGCAGCTCCCAAAGCACTGCCAGGAAGCCCTTCCCTTACCAAGCAGCTGACATGCCTCCTCATCTCAAGTAGCCAAAGGCAGTTTTGGATGTTGACCGTGCCTGTTCAATTCGCAGCAGGATGAGCAGCAGGCTGGACCCCTCTCTGGGGCCAGCCCACGATGCAGTGATGGGAGGGAAGCACAGGAGGAGGAGACACAGGACAGGAATCCTGCTTTATTCCTCCCATGCTCATTGCCAGCCAAGCCCTGAGCTCCTGCCTGCCCCATCCTACAACAAAAGTGACTTCAGGTTTCAAACATGGCCCATAGTGCAATGAAGCATCTCCCTATCAAGCATCACCAAAATGTTTGCAGATTGCCTGGCAGGAGAAACCCTTCCCTTAAGTATTCCCCCACTGGATATGGCCACTCTAGGTCCAGCTCCAGGCTTTGCACCTGCACTTTTACATGGCTGTGCAGCAAGGACTGCAACAAAGCAATCCTGCAGCTGCTCTAGGTTGTGCTGCATCAGAAAACTGCAAAGAAGCAGAGAGATGCTGAAGGAAAGGGCCGAGATAACGTTGACCTTAATCTGATTAAATTTTATTATAACATCTGGGACAGAGGGAAGGGAAAAAAGAAAATAAAAGAAGCCTGCCAGCTCCTGACATAATGCGTTTTCATAGCAATTTCCATTTTCTTGGCAGGGAGGGAAGAGGTAACTATTACTCTCATCTGGGTATCAGCTTGAAAACTGGTAAAGGTTAAAGAGCAATACATAAATCTAAAAAGATCCATATATAAGGGTTTATATTCTTGCAGCTCTTTACTTCAGCCTCATGATTTTGTGACTAGCTTTACCATTTGAAAATGCAAGGAGATGGGGGCATTAGAAAACATTCGGCTATCATTTCTTCACCAATTTTCTTCATGTTTTTCAAGCTTCAATCTCCTTAAAAGTAATCAGCTGACAAGAAAGATGCACTGAGAACAAAGTTACATTATTACCTATTTTCCAGTGAATTTCTTTATGGCGTCTTCTAGGTCAGACACTATTAAGGAAAGGGAAAGTTCACCCTTGAACACTCTCCTACCTAAAAACCCACTAACAAGCTTTTACACTATTAACCAACTAGCTATAAATTAAAAGTAATTCTATAATAAGTAGGACTAATAAGTAGTAAACTCTCCACTAATTACTAAAAGGAGATTGTTCTTTCACTCTCTTTTCCTTCTTCCCAAAAGTGCTGTCCTTGCAGAAGACAGTAACTTAAATAAAAGTCAAACATACCTAAAATAACATGCCTACACATGGTAGGGAAGGGGAAAAAATGAAGCTAATGATTTTCTTACATTTTTTAGGCATAAACTTCACAAAGTTATATGACCAAACCAACTGACACATTAAGTTGATCTTGCCCTAATTAACCAGACTAGACAAGTACTCTATCCCCATGGGATGCCTTTCAGGAATAATGGAAGGTTGGATCATAAAGAATTTAAAAGTAGATTAAAATATATCTAGACTACATCCAGACTAGATCTCACTGCTGCTTTTTTCCTTCATGCACGTCTCCTGTTATGCTATGCATTATACAAGGCTGGACATATTCTTTGAAGCTATATCCCAACAATTTTAAAAAGGAGCTCATAACAAGTTTTACATCCATCTGCAGTCACACAAAATGTAAGCTGCTTTTCTGATAGTTATAAGCAGCTGCTCTTTGAATCTGAAATTTCTCTAACACTTCTCCAGGTGGACCTGAAGATTTAAAGCAATCAATGTTGCTGGCTGCTTCACACATCTCAAGATTCCTATTAATGGAAAAACCTGTTTCACTGAGTGACCCTATTCTTCTTATTTGACCTTTGCTACCACAGATCTGTGAGCAGAGCTGCTAATGGTCCCTATATGTCATGTCAGGGAGCGTGTCTTTGGTGCTTCCTCACAGCTGTATTGCCATTTGCTTGTTTGACCCTGAGCAGAGGCTGCAGTGCCACATCTCCATACACAAAATGTGTCAGTACCATTTGTTGTGTCTTCAATCATGACAAAAAATGGCTCATGTCACTTCTAAGGGATGTCTCTGCATCTTTTACAACAGCTAGGCACAGATAGCTTAGGCACAAGATTTGCAATGTGTTCACTTCAGCATAATATAAGAGCTCCATTTATTACAGCAAAGAAATACAGTCTTTTCAATTTTACTAAGCCGGGCTCCTTCAATGAGATATTGACAAAAAACTTAATCAACACAAACACCAACCTGACTTTTCAGAAAAAAAGAAAGAATTTGAAAGTATAACCCTGTCCTAAAAATGGTGTATAACTTCAAATCTGCCTTCAAGCTGGAGAGTGTTTTCCAAATCTGTTTCACAACAACGGCCATCTCAGCCTTTCTACCCAAGGCTGAGTTTGACTGGCACAACAAATGTGTGTCTGACAAGCTGTGCTTGGTGCAAAAGTCAGACTAGCTCCTGTCTGCTACAAGTTTTTGCTTGTTCTCCTGCAAATGCAATGCTGAAGCAAAACGGAAGAAAATTCACCATTAAAGACACTTGGCTTTAGACCACTATTAACACTCACTCGTCAAAACACATGGCTTCAACGACAGTATTAGTGCAAATATGGATCACAGAAGTGACTTGGCAGAATATTCTTTTGAACCATCTGTTTTTAACATATTTGCTCTCAACCACCCACCACAGAAATTTCATTGTAAGGGAGTTAAAAGGAAATAGCTCTGTGGAAACAGGAGTTAGCCCATCCACTCTAGGATAACCAGGCTCTAAACACACCAAAACCAAGCTTTTCAGCAGGGCTAGTCCTGCTGCCAGGACTAGCCTCCTTGATAGCCTCCATGAACATGTTCAAAGCAAAGACAACCTTCACAGAAAATTCTTATAGAAATAGAAATTCAACATGTAAGTAAGGAAAACCCAGAAATTCTGAGAGGTTGGATGCACTCATTATCGTTTAACTGTCCAGGTAGATGCCATTAAACTGAAATAATTAAAAATCACCACTGAGTACTTTCTTAACAAGTTGTACCACGTAAGTAAGAACCAAGGACTTGACCCATAAAACATTTGTTTAGATGCCACAAAAATTATCCCCACTTGCAGAGGATATAGTAGTTAAAAAGAGAAAAACAAATAAAATAAAATAAAAATAGCACTGTAGTCAATAGCTTAAGACAGCTCAATGCAACCACCTAATTGTCAGCAAACTGAAAACAAGGAAACTAAAGAACTGGCTTGCTTTCATGCTGGTGGTTCCTTCCCAAACAGTTTACAGCAACATGTATTCTGAGTAACAAAGCAAAAGAACCAGTGAGCACATCAGTACCAAAAAAGGCAACTGATCTGAAAATATCACGAGAAAGTGCTACAAGAGCTTATCTGTCATTTCCCTGCTGAAGCCTCTCTCGTGAAACAGAAACATCTGCAAAGCACAGACACTCACCACAACCCTAGTTTAAAGAGGTTTCTCAGAATTCCCTTCAACTTGTACACACAGCCACAGCTTTTTGACAAAAATCTAAATTAAAAAGACACAGAAAACTTCAGTGACTTACCTTGCAGCGTTAGATGGAGATCATCTATTTCAGAGGAAGCCTGCTCCTCTGTTGATGCAGATGACTGCTGTGATGCCATATTGAATTCTATGGAGATTCTTTAATCAATTTCCAAACTGAAATTCTATTAAAAAAAAAAAAAAGGGAAATCAGTACAGTTTTACATAAAAATTGATAATGTTCAATGATGATGTGGCACCTAGATACACGTTTTGTTTTGGGTTTTTTCCTCTTGGTCAGCTGTTCCCTCAGTTTATACAGAATAAAGCGACTGTTCCTATTGCAGGAACCCAAGATTTGGTCCTTTGACTCTTTTCTAACAGTGGCCAGCAGCACTCCACAATACAAACCAGGATCCCAGTGGGTCTTGCCATGAAAACAAAATCCTTTCCAGGATTAGGAAAATTCAAACACCGTTGCTTTCTTTGAGAAAGCCAAGGTGAGGAAAGCTCACAGCGCCTTCTGCAGACTGGTAGCTGCCAAACCTCATTTTTTTAATTCTTGTACCTTTCAGTTCTCCCTTCCTGCCTGGCTAATTGTTACAGAATGGAAACAATTCAGGCAGCATCTGCAAAGATTAAGATGAAATGAAAAAGCAGCAGTTATGTGAGAATCAACACAACCGTTGTCTCTGTCTGGTACTTTTGTTACTCCTCAACCTCCATGAAGGAGTTTGTTTTTCCAACTTCTCCACTTTCCTCTCCCTGGATATCTCCCCTATCTCTAATGCAACTTTAGAAAAATATGTGCTCTATTTTCCTTAAAAAACTGTAAGTGTTCCTCATTCTGCACTATTGTTCAATTTGCCACCTTAGGAAGAACTAGATGCTTAAGATAGAGACTTATTTTTATCAAGAACCCAGAAGTTAAACAAATGCACAAAAAAAAATTAAGCTGAAAATTAAATAAGGACTCACTCTTAAACAAGCTTTGTTACCTGCACAACTGTAACCTTTTCACCAGAAGCACAAGGATTTCCACACCATATATTAATAACTCATCCACCAAGTATATGTCAAAATAAAGGGCGTGAATAGATGAGTCAGGAAATACAACATTAAGGAATGCCAGAGAAATTCTTACATCCATTCCCTTGTGCCCATGAATCATGAGGCAGCCTTTGTTTACTCCACTCTATACTACTTTTCCTCACTCTCTGTCTCCTTCACTGAGCAGAAAGGAGAACATGCATCCCACAAGGAGCTCCTCATTATTTTATTTTCTTCACCCTGAACAACGTGTGTCCTTGTGCTTTATCCAAGAGCTGCTCTGATGACAGGATTATTGAGTCTCTCACAAGATTTCCTATGGCACTCACCAGCCTGGCATGTGAACACTTCACAAACATCCATAAATTCACATTTACAGCACCTAAATGAGACCAGGGCTTATTGCCCACATTTAGAATCAATCACAGCATGCTTTGGGCTGGAAGGGACCATCAGTCCAACCCCCTGCCATGGGACATCACTTGCTGGAGAGCTGTTGGATCCCAGAAACCTGGGGTTTTTGAGCTTTCTGTGCTTTCTAGCACTGACATCCTAAAGAACACTGCTTTTAACCTGAAGCCTTAAAGAAGGCTTCTAAATTTGAGTAATGAAATTAAAATCACAGATGTGTTGTTAAATAGAAGTGTGTGCTTTCACATGATAAGAGGTTTTAAATTTGAAGTTTTATAATGTAAGTATAAAACAAAATTTAAAAATTTAAGTAGTCTCTTTCAGTGTTCATCTTCTTTCTTCTTTTTCATAAATTTCAAGTAATAGTTTCTAATTAGTCAGTGTCACACCATCATGAAAAGTAAGTTATTAAATTTTAAAAATAAGTTTTAATTCTCTACTAAACTATTTAGCTTTAAAAAACCTTATAACAGTTAAATCTTCCTTTTTCCTCGCTTTTAGCAAGTAGCTAAAAATACTGCTAAATGCTCTACACTTTTTAATGAAATTTAATAAACAACCAAATCTAAATACAAAAAATCCATTTCCTTCATATATTTATTAATCCTAACTCTAAATAAAAACAAACAAAAAAAAAATCTAAAACAAACCATTAATTAAATAATACAAACTCCCACCATTATTACAGCAAGCAAAGGCCAGACAGAGAGAAACGAGGCAACAAAAAAAGCCTCTGGATTTCCAGAGAAATAGTTATTAGCTCATAAGGCTGAAGCACTGATTCCACTTCTTGCAGTGACCATGCAGCACTTCTGCAAGTCACCAACAACTCAGAGCTGCAGCTCAAGGCACCAGATCTGAGCAAGCAGAGTTCCAGCTGGGGCAGGTAAAGGTCAGACCCATCTGGATAATAAAAAAAAACCCATTTTTTACAAGAGTTTGGCTTGCTTAGCAAGCAAAAATAGGAGGAAAAGGATTAATTTAATCTTTGGCTGGCACACGAACATGTTGATATAAACAAGCCAAGCCTTGAGGTGAGGATGGAAATCATAAGGTATCTAAATTAGCCAAGAAAGCCAACAAAATACTGGGCAGCACAAACAAGGGCATCACAGCAGAGGTGGAGGAGTCACTATCCCACTGTGCTCAGCACTTGTCACGACATCTGGAACACTGGGGGCAGTTTGGGACCACACTGTACAAAATATTATGTGGACAGGCTGGAGAGGAAAGAGCACAAAGATGACTGGGAGGCATGTGTGGGGAAATGGCTGAGAAATCTGAGTTTGCTGAGCCTTGAGGAAAGAAGGCTAAGGGGAGACTTTATTACCATGTTCCAGTATTTGAAGGGTGCCCACAGAGAGGGTGGAAACTCCCTTTTTACAGGGAGTAACGTGGAAAACACAAGGGGTAGTGGGTACAAGTTACTGCTAGGGAGATTGTGATTAAACACAAGAGGAAAACTTTTCATAGAACAATCACTCATTGAATTAATCTCCCCGGGGAAGTGGTGGATTCCACAAAATTGGCACTGTTATGATTTGACAGGGCAGGAGGCTGGGCCATCTTGTCTAGACCATGCTTTTAGCAAAAAATATTGGACAAGATGGTCCTTGAGGTCCCTTCCAACCTGGAATTCTTTAATAAATACGGGGCTCTTACAGGAGCTGAGGATGGGCAATGGCTGAGCAAGAATCCAGTGCTCACAGCAATGCTGCCTATGCCAAAGGCAAGGGAGTCTTTCCTGGGAAACTCCCTTCTTTCTTCTCTCAAGATTAAGCAATACAAACACAAAGTCTGAAAACGCAAAATGTCAGGTAGCCTTAATATTTCTTGTGTATGACTAAGTCTGGAATTTGGTTTTTTGATCACCACCTTGAAGATGATGACAGATGGCCCATGTGGGATGTATGTAAGCAAACTCCCAGACAGTGGAAACTTACAGATCTGTTCAACTTCAAAGCATCCACATTTGAGATGATGACATGGGCAAAGCCAATATATGTTCAACTAACTTTTATGATGCCAGAGTCACTGGGACCACAGTCCAGAGAAAGGGAGCAGGATTTGGCAATAAAATTCCATTATAATAACAGGAAAGTATGCAAGAGCCATGAACAACTGTGATGGACATTTCATAAACAACACAGAATATACTTTTAACCTTTCTGTGACTGTTCCTCCTCTGTCCCCAACCCATGCCAGCTACAGCAACAACACAGCACAGTGTCTCCTTTTATGTGCTTGCACTGCACTTCATGTGATGGGATCCCAATCTCAGTTCAGATCTCTAAGCAGTAAAGTAGTTAAAGCTAAGAAAACTTCCAGGATTTCAAAGCAGAAAGTATATTAAGATCTAAAGCAGGAATAAACTTTAATTGTTACTTAATTTATTAATTAACTTAAATTACAGCACATGATCATAGAACATGTATAAGAAAAGCATATGGTGTTTTATTCTTTTAAAGTCAATTTATGCCTTCCTTCCCAAAAGGATGGGAAATTTTAAACTTTTTTCTTTAAACACAGACATCCACTCAATGAATCCACAGTGAAGGTTATGAAGACACACAGCTAATACCAGGTAAATTTATGCTAAAGCTTTCAAGTTCCTCAAACCCTCAGTTCACCATCCAACACAGGAGATGCATTTTGCCCTGCCCCAACAGAAGACTCCACAGCTGCTTTGAAGGGGAGACACAAACACAGTCTTGGAGGACACACCTGCAAGGATTAGTCTTCTTTAAAAGGTACAAGGTACAGATTGTCTAAGAAGGGATTATACAGGGACAATATGCCCGCTTTGTCCTCCTCCCTGCCCCAAATTTCATTCAAATACAGCATTATCAACTGTAACTATATCATTACAGCCTCTGGAGTGTAAAACAATCAGGCTCTGAAGAGTCTAAAACCACCAATGGTTTTCATTGGCAGTAGGAAGGATCATCTTTTCCAGCTCATATTTAAGTCAGTTATTTTGTTTCATAACAATTCAATGAACTGCAGAGCTAAACCAATCCCTTCCCCTCCACGAAATGCTGGACAACTAGGAAATATATACCCACAGTGCTGAAAAATAAATCAAATGCTTTCAAGCCACACTTTGTCAGTGGAGATAAAAACAAAGGTGAGGGGAATTACCTTGTCTTTCCCTCTCTCTGGAGAGTGTAGCATTAATGTAGAAAAGCATTAACTTCTTACACCTTGGGATAGCCTGTGAAGTATCACAGTTCCAGGGAACTGCCAGTTCTTGGGAACCTGGAACTGGGTTCTTACTTCCAATGGATTCATTCCCTCTGGATTAATTTATATGAATTACACCAGAGCTGTTGTGCAAGCTCATCTTCTCTACAACACAGGATAAGTGAAACAAGAAAAGTGCCATTAGCAATGTCCTCCTGGAGAAGAAAGCTTTCCATGGTGTTCTCCAAAGGGGCTGATTCTTGGCCACCTGGGCTCAAGCTGCACCTCAAATGGTTAAACCACCAACAAAAGCCTTCCCTGTGATGAGGGCACTCCTAAGACTCAAACCCTTCTTCCCATACCTCTCCAGCTATTTCCACAAAGGGGACCTAAAAATGTTGGTGGAAATCGTATCAGCACAGCTGCATCACATAAATTCTACTGTAATTTCCCTTCCTCTACCAAATTCAGTTGAATTAGCCAGCAGATTGCAGAAAATCCTATGCATTAATATACACACACAGGCACACTGAGAAGAGAG